CCCCCCCACTGAGATTTTGAATTTCTAAAAAAATTATCATTGATCTACATGACGCCCCCATAAAATGTTCCAGCCCCCAGGCGCCCCCCCCCCCCACTGAAAAATTCCTGTCTACGTATAGCTAAATTTCACGAAAGAAAAAGCATAAAAAAGATTACCGTGAATGTGGACTTGATCGATGACTAACTTGAATTACGCAAATAAGGAATAACCCATTCCCCCCCCCCCCCTTTGGGGACAAAAGGCGGTCAAATTCGTTTAAGTCTGAGAGAAAATGTACTTTCAGTCACAAAACACCAATAAAAAAACTGATGGTTGTTTGCATTTGAAAATGTCTATACAGATATGAACAAATAAACTAGTTCTTTACAGATAATCCGGAGCCATTCCCTATTTGCGCCGAATACGAGGCCTTGGCCACCGTTCTTGGTCAGGACATCCACAGGCTGTCGAAGTGTCTGGACAACACCTTGGAGGGTATCAGCGTGCCCGACAAGTGCGTCAAGCCCGTAGCCGTTTACACGATTCACGTGAAGAGGGGCGACAATGCAATTCGCGGCACGCAAGTGCTGTACTGTGAAGATATCAATGAATAAAGGGGCATGATGGTGGGATCAGGCGAAAAAAGAGAGTTTCTCATCCACCGCCCGCGTTCCTTTTTGCGCTCGCAGCCTTTTTTTTAATTATACCATATTTTGCAATATTGTAAAGCATGTTTCCCCAGCACAATACAAGTTCAAAATCTGGCAAGGCTTTATTCACGTTCACGTATCGGCAATATTAAATTGCGAATTGGAACTCAAATAGAAATGAAAACAATGACATAAAGTTAATTACAAGTTAATACCACTCTGCTCTGATGAATAATTTACATTTGTGAATAATCATACCCTTATGTTTTAAACCGCATTTACAAATAAATTGAAAGTGAGGCTACAACTTGACAAGATAAGTTTGCGGTAGCACCATGTGAATACATCTCTTTTGTATGTGTAAACAAGATTTATTCACATGGTGTTACCGCAAACTTATCTTAGTATCTTTCCACCATGCAAACCTTCAAATATCATCGAGGCTAGAATACTTAAATAGTCTGACACCAACCCGTTCAACATTTCACAATTTACAAAACGCATTCAGGGAACATGACCAAACATGGCTAATTCCTCGTGAATAAGGTCCACATAGAGGCGGCAAAAATGTGTCAGCAAAAGGGTCGAATAATGGTAGAATCCATCCGCCATTATGGAAAATCTGCAATCTTGGGGAGGGGGAAGGTCTCCTTCCTTCCTCAAAAATCCCGGACGATTGACTAACTGTTTATGTTAACCTGGCCTTATACCAACATTCATATATAGGCCTACCAACTAATATCCCAGTCACATACCAACTATATATCCATTATATCGCGACTATAATACTAGCTTGGAGAACTATATTTATCTCATAAAATTTGGTTTTGTGGTAACTTTTCTCTTAGTACAGGTGTATGCGGTCTCAACTCAAAACCGGTGTTTGAACTAATATTTCTGCGAAATGGTGGATAAAATGAAACCCGAAATTCGCTCTATGGAGTGGAGGCATCACTTTTTTTTTTCAAAATGGCAACGGACCTCACAACTTCTTTACAAGTAATCGTCTTTGAACGAAAATATCACCCATACATCTCTGGTAACCTCCTGAAAATTAGATAGAAAGTGACATAAAGCTTGAGAGTATTTTCCATCTATTTTGAAGTGATATTATTTATCATTGGCATCCATGGCATTGGCAGTATATTTACTGGTCTGCAAGACATTACGTGAACTGCACACTGCAGCATATTCTGTGCACTAATATCTCCGTCTGCATCTTAGATGTCACAGCTTGAAAATAATGGGACAGTCTCTTCTAACCTTTTTGATTCGTTTTTTTCTTAATATTGACTTATTCAATTGTTACACTTAATTGTTGGTTGTTTTGTAAGAATATTTCTTCATTTTGTGCAATAAAGAACTTATAATGCCTATTACAATATGACTGTCCTTTTGTGTTCGATTGTGTCCTTGTAATGCCTGCAGACAGTCGCTTCACTTAACTTGGGGCTACAGAGCCATTTTTTAGACAACCTGTGAAAGTAGTCGACGAATACGTTTGTATAGGCAACAACATCTCCCTAACTCTGTTCTGTATGGTGACCTTCCCCCTATCTCCACCACCATCAGACAGCGTCGCCTTCGGCTAGCCAGTCACGTTTATCGACATAATGAGCCAGCTAGACAAGTTCTCCTCTGGAATCCTGAAGCCCCTCGACGAAAAGGTCGTCCCAACATGACCCTGAAAACATCCATCGAGCTAGAAACTGTTCTGAGTGGTCCATCTCTTTCCAACACTATGCTCGACAGGGACAGTTGGGCCCAACTCATCAAGTCATCATGAAAATGAATGAATGAAGAAGAGAAGAAGAAGGCCTACTTTATTCAAATTACCCTCATTGTATAAAATGCAGACGCTCCGTATGCATGCGTATAATCCCATTAATACGCGTGTCCACATAATAATTATCCATAAAACGTACGAACAGATATAGCCACAGCTGCGCCTAGTAAAGTTAGTGACTTTCTTTAACAACAATGTCTGAAACCAAATTATGACTGTATTTTAATTGAATTTGTATCCGGGTAAACTCGGTGCTTCTTGCATTGATGGAAAGACAAAGGCGGGCTGGGCTTATGGTGCAGCTGCATACTGTCACCGTCAGTCGCCAGGATTTGTGTCGGGGGGGGGGGGGGCAAAACACATTTTCCCCAAAAAATCTTATAGCATATTCTCAATTGATCATTTTGTTTTAGGGTGGGGGACATTACCCGCCCCACCCCACTGACATCCCTGCAGACACCCAATTTAATTAATGTGTATTAAATTAATAGCAAATATGACTTCACACCTGTTTTTCTTTTTTTTTCTTCTTCTTTATTTGTCCTGTATAGGACACAGGACCAGTGAGCAGTGAAATTTTGACCCCGTGAAATACGGGCTTCTCAGTTGTACTGCGCATGCCTTAGTGAACATAATTTGGATGTTGACAGGTCAGGTATGCAAGGTTAGATTCCACAAGGAGACAGATTTCACGAGTATCAATTTCATATATGACACTGGGATGAAGAAATACAGGAAGAGACTGATCCTCCAGAATCAACAACAACAATGCACAGTCAATTATCTTTGAAACTACAATAAATAACTGGCCTCATTTATTAACTATGTTTTAAACATTCATTACAAAAAACAACATACATTCTTTAAAAAAAATATACATCCTGAAAATGCATTTCAAAAATGTGAAGTATAAATATCATTGTTAAAAAGTCGGGTGCAGCAGAAAAAGTTACATATACAAAAATAATTTTGTACAAAACGTGCAAAAATACAAAGTCCGACGATTCAGCCTCAAACACATTTTTAATGCAATGCATAGCAAAAGTGTCCAATAAAAATAGTGTCCAATACATGTACGTTGGTGTGTATATAAACACAAACCGAATGGTTATTAAAAGTCAAACTTTTAGAGAAACCACTCCTCAAACTCAGCATCCATAATTACATTACTGCCAAAATATATCCTATTTCAAAGAATTGAAAACAAAGTTTCAAAATAAACTATCAGAAAACCTTAAGGTAAAGAGTTTCCACTGGAATTTGGGGAGAAGTTGACAGTCTGCCCATCAATCAGTTGGTCCATGTTGTTTGTCGCCATAGCGACCGCCCGTCCCAGCTGGTGCGAACCCTGACTGAGCATGCTCAGTAGGTCCTTCATGGTGAGCTTGGCAAGCTCCTCCCCTTCCTGGCTGGTACTCAACGGTGCACCGGTGCTCGTAGCAGGGATGGACTGGCTGGCGCCCATTGACGAGTCGCCAGTGATGAGGCTGGAGGTGATGGCGCTGACTAGCGGGTTCTTGTCAGGCGTCGGGGGCGGGGATGGGTTGTCTCCGCCCCTCCGAGGGGGACGATCTATTTGAAGCTGGGAGACAAACTGCTGGGAGAGGCTGTCGAAGCGGACATCCTTGGGGATGAAGGAAGGGAAGGCCTGCAGTCTGCGGATCAGCTCTGTCTGGCAGGACCTGAAGAGGAGCAAACAAGATCATGTCAGTCAAAATGTAAACATGGCATACAGATGTTTGGTTGTATTTTGGACGACGAAAGCCACCCACTGTGTGCTGAGCTTGCAGCTCATATTATTCCTAGAAGTTGAAGAATGAGTCTGCCGGCTGCTCCCACCAATTGCTATCTTCATTCTTTTGTCTCAATGGGAATTGAATTCTTCCATGCCATTTTTAAAAGACGAATTTTGTCTTTGATGACTAGACAGTGGGTGACAGGCACAGGCTTCTCCTTCACGTGCAATGTTTTTATCTGGTACCTGTAAATTGTAACTGATGGATTTTGTATTAAGTGTACTTCCCTTTTCATAAGCTTTGTGAGCATTGTAATTTCTTCATCTGGAGATTAATGAAGTTTTCTTATGTTTTATGTCTGATGTGGTTACAGCATTACAGTTCAGAAATGCTACCAAAGTAACTCATCTTTCAATCCTACCACCTCACACCGCCATTCCTGTTGCACACTGTACTTGCTCAAACCACTGTATGGTTTGATGGATTCACCAGGGAATAATAATAGCATCATGCAATGTAAAGTGGCTAATGGGTTCAAGATACACTTTCTTATACTACTTATTTTTGCCTGTTTACTTTTACTTTATTTCATCTCAAGGCATAAAAGAATACAGTTTGTACTTAGAATTTATTAGTTTGTATTTTACAATATAAAGATAAGAATAATAACATTTAAATTTGACACACATTCCAAAATTTCCCATTAACCCTACCCCCCCCCCCCAACCCGATACTGACAGTCTTTTACACTGGGTTGGCACACCTCCAGAATCAAAGTCTAAAATATGTGTGTGCAGTTTCCTATATGGTGTTGGAATTTGCCAGGATGGGTATGGTTCCTAGTACATTATGCTAGGGAGTTAGGGTTAATCAGCAGACCCCAATGTCAATGTGTTGTCAGCAGTTTTTTCGGTATCTTCAATCGGTCAATTTTATGATTTGAGGCACCCTACAGCCAGTATATGTAATAGCCCATGGCGAAAGTCATGGTCTATGATATGTGAGCAGATTCGCTGATTAATTATGCAACACAACTGCATCTTGACCTCTAGATTTTGACCAATCAGCGGGCGCTTTCTATATCAGGTCTTCGGTCATTCACCTATTGCGCGTCATAGACATAACTAAAAAAAACTGTCACGCGCTCTGTATTATGTTACGCGAATGCGCGCCCGGCTGTTGTATTACAAAATACTGCATTCGAATTAACCAATCCATTAGTCCTGATATGGGAATAAAATGACGTCACAATTTAGTAGAGTCAAGCCCGATTGGCTGGTGCGCGGCTTGCATATATCTGCATATCTAGACATATCAGACGTTATACAGGAGACTTGGCTCCGTGGATAACGGGTGCTACTCAGACTACCCTACAGCATGCCATGGATGGAATTCATAACTGCCCTTTCAACAAATTTACCTTTAAACTTTGATTTGTTTGGGTCCTCTACCCTGAGGGTTTCATCAATTACCCTCACATTACTACCATAAATTCATAGTGCTCTAACAAGTCCAAGTGTGCTTGTGATGTATAATGGGATTTATGTGTTGGGCAAATGTAAATTCTCAATTGGGTTTTGCCCTTTACCAATTCAATTTTAAAGCACTGTACACACAGTGCGATCAAGAATGCAAAAAAAAAACTTCATGAGCCTCCTCAGTTGGGATTCAAACACACGTGCTGGCTGCAGGTTTGAATAAATTCCAATTTCTTGTATTCCGCTCGCCAGTCTTCCACTTGAAATTAACTCTTTTCAGTTCTAGTATCACTTAACCCCCCCCCCCCCCCCCTTTGTTAAATTCTTCCTTCTTTTCCTTGTTTTCCTCTTTGGCTTTTTTTGTTCAGCCTATCATACACCCCACTTTTTTTATAGAAAAGATAACACAATTTAATTGATAGGATCTGGTTTTCCTGTGGTAGGATGGCTCTGTAGAGGTGCTAGTCACCTGTTCCATCTTGCCACTCACTGGCTTCAGCCAGTGGAGAAGTGTAATAAAATAAAATAAAATAAATAAACAGGACCTCCTGCTCAATGGTGGATACGATTGGCCACTCTACACTGATCAGCGTGCTGGGGTCAGCTGGCTGGTTCAAATCTGATACGGCACCTGGTACCACAATCAATCACTTCTTTGCATCAGGCAAATTCCATATTCAATATTGAGGTTTGCCCTTCGCATGCATAATTTCATAAAACAGCACTGAGTTTACATTGTTAATGAAATGACATCAATGAAGGGCAAATCTAATATTGATTTACTAGGCGCTGTCGTAGAGCTGTCTCATATTGAGAGCTTCCTAGAGTTTGACACCACACTCAGGAGCTACTGGCATTACTCAGGGAGTAACAGGCGGGATTCTTATGGTACAGGTTCTAATGGATCAATTGACCTGACGTTGTCATAGAATTGTCTCATATTGTGACAGCGCTTCTGTGCGTCTGACACCAGACAGACTACGGAGCTACTGGCATTACTCGGGTAGTATGGGACAGAACAGGGAGTAACAGGCAGGGCGGATTTGGGTGTTACAGGATCTAATAGGTAAATCTGGATCAATTTACCTGACGTTGTCATATAATTGTCTCATGTTGTGACAGCGCTTCTGTGCGTCCGACATTAGACATACTATGGAGCTGCTGGCATTACTCAGGTAGTATGGGACAGAACAGGGAGTAACAGGCAGGGCAGATTTGGGCGGTACCAGTTCTAATGGGTTAAGGTGGATCAATTTACCTGACGCTGTCGTAGAGCTGTCTCATATTATGGCAGAGCTTCCTAGCATCTGACACCAGACTCAGCAGCTGCTGGTAGGTCTTCCTGTCTTCCATCAGGCATCCCTCCACCACGCTCCTCAGCTCTCTCTCCTGCATCACCTGTGCCTCCATCTCACCCTTCTTGACCATGGCCTGTGCATGACAGAGAGAAAAAAAACCCGTCACACCACCAGATGACACCAAACATCAACAGTGGATGACAATGTAAATACCAATGTCTATTGTGTATAAGCATAAGTGAAAATTCCCAAAGACATCGTGACATGAAATTCCATGACTTATTTACAACTCTTCCATGACTTTTCAAGGACAATATTTAGAGCTTTCCATGACCAATTCCTACACTGTTTTGGCATCGTAGGAACCTATTGCCCTTGATGCCACTCCCTTTCAGTTCCAGATTGGCTCAAGACTACTGAGCACCACAAAAGCATCTCAATGGCGCATAGAGCATGCATAAAGAGGAAGTATAGTAAACTGGAATATAATATAACAAACATTGTGGGATCCACAGAAATTGGTCATAATAGCAATTGTTCGGTACAGCGATTTTCACACATTTTTCGCGCCCTTTTGATGATTGAGTCGCCGAACTTGTCATTAATATTTTCAATTCCGTAGCAGAACTTCACCAAGTACACCCTGGTAGTTACTGAAAGACAACTTCGAACACGTGCGACTATTGAATCATGTAATTACACAGTTTTTAATAGCCATTTGTCGCTCTTCTGTCGACATTTCCAACAACAATGCTTGGTACTTTTGTACACAAAAATTGGGAGCCAAGGCTGATTTTCGGTATAGCCGTATGTTCGGTATAGCGGTGTTCGGTATAGCGACGTTCCACTGTAATACCGTCGCCAAATATTACACATCATTGTGTATAGGTTGTGCAGGATTCCATGACTTTTCAATGCTTTTCTTTTGGAATATCATCTTTCCCTGCCTCCTTATAAAATAACAAAATTCCATGGCGATTCGATGACTTTGCATTATAGCTTTAAATTCCACGATTTCTCTGGGAGAGTTGGAACCTTGATTAGTGTGTATCAACCGTAGTCTAGTCAACTTCTGGAGACCAGCCTGCCAAATTGGTTGCATCCCTGATGACCAACAGTCTTGTGCATCCTAATGCACAGCAGAGTCTTGATGAGGTTTAGACTATCATTTAAACCAGACTTGTTTGCACATTGCTCCTAGTGCCCAGCCAGATGTTATGTCACAAATCAACCCCAGTGTTCTCCAACCTGTAAAAATAACCCGGTGCCCCACCATGCTTTCTGAGGCACCCTCCATGTTTAAAAAGTTGCCGCCATGCTTTAAAAAAAATGAAAAAGTAATAAAAAAGACAAACAAGTGGGACTACCCTTACCCTCCAGGGTATATTTTGGCCAGAAACTCTGCCAAAAGCAGTAACATGCAACACTTGTCAAAATGACAAGCCTGCCCATTGTAACAATCCATCAGGTCAAAAGTCTCAAGGCCAAACTGCCTCAGAGTCCCTGGTCACTGATGTATTGAAAAAGATGATGCTGAGCCAGTATTGTACTTAACTGTTACTGTGTTAGAAATGGCCTAAAAGCTGTCATCCATACATAAATCAAATGTTCATCTGCAAATAGCGCCCTCAGTATAAAGAAATGTATGACTGCAAATAGCGCTCCCCCCCCCCCCTTTGACGGCATACCAACCTCTAATTTTCGAAGTTGGAGAACACTGAACCCCGATAAGACTTGTACATGTACCAACGTCCCTCGATAAAACTTGCTCTATGAAGATCATACCTCCTGCAACTGTATGGCCATCTCTTGCATAGCCGTCTCGACTCTATCTGCATAGACCTGCTCCAGGTTGTCTGAGAAGGGCCTGGCCTGGCTGTGCCATCTGGCGATAGCGTTGGTCATCTTCCGTCTTGGGCCCATCAGTCTAGACAGAAACCAATTTAAGTAAGATTTGAGGCTTTGCATGGTGGAGATACTTAATAATGAAAGGTTTGCGGAAACACCATGTGCGAATAATTTCTCAACCAAGAGAATGGTTCTGAAAAGAACCAGAGTTATAAAATCGACGTTCCGGTCAGTATGCTCTCAAGGGTTTACTTTCTTAGAGTTTAGCACTCTCCTGAAGACGTTCTTAGAGTTTAGGCACTCTCCTGAAGACGGTCAGAGCATACTGACCGGAACGTCGAGTATATACCTCTGGTTCTTTTCAGAACCATTCTCTTAGTTGAGAAATTATTCGCACATGGTGTTTCCGCAAACCTTCCATTATTTAAAAACAAATTTCACAATCAGAAATCGATTAGTGCCTGTGATCCAATGGTCCTAGGTGCAAATCCCACAATAAATTGTCAATGGTCAACTGAAACGTAATCAGTTGAACAAACCTGGACTGATACAACTTTCAAATGACATTTCAAATTCAATTGCAAATTTTACCTGTAGTGAAGTCACTGTAGGTTAAAGAACATCAACGTGTGCAACACAGAATATGCAGGTTGCAGAACCCAAATGCACAATTTTCATAGTTAAAGGGGCACTAGGTAATGAAAACCCCGAAAATGTTATGTTTTGGATTGTTTACTTAGCCTATTTTAAACATCTGGTTGAAAGGAAACCAACCTAATGTCTTACCGTTCCCGAGAAAAGACGAAAAAAGCCCGCTTGTTTACATCAGACATGACGGAGTACGAATATGTTTTTCGTGTCGTTCTCATGTACGCTATACACGTTGTGTGTCTCGGGAACAGCGCGCGGTGACCAATCACCAATGCAAAAAATTGTGGATTCTTCAACGTACAAAAAAGGCGAACACTTTACGCGTACGAATGAAATCACAACTAGCATCAAAACAGCTCGAATTTATGGGGTCTCAAAAGTGGACCCCGAAATTCGTTATCGCAAGCATAATACAGGAATAACACAAAAACGCCCTGTTTTGAAAGGATAGTTGTGTGGATGTTTATATCCTACTTTTAAAAGATATTTCCGATTATCATCACCTCGTTCAAAGCGCGTTTTGTAGCCCAATTGGGCTGTTCCAGGACCTAGTGTCACTTTAATTGAACAGGTTTCAACCAACTCCATCAATTGTGCGCATTTGATGCCATGTACTTATGATTATTTTTAAATCTATGCATTACTGCAGCACAGACAGGTGCCTCATGGTGGAACAGGTGAATTGTGATAGCTACATGTACTGGAGGTCCCTGTTTGAACATTAACTCACTTGATTCCAACTTCTTTCAAGTCACTATCAGTCAGGGTTAGAAACACTCTCAAGTCCACGTCCTGCTCCTCAAATATATGGAAGTATTTAGTTCTCAATCCCAGACTCTCAAGAAGGCTAGCAAGGTCCTGGTAAGGGTACTGCTTGTTATCAGCGGGTTTGTCATAGGGTGCGTCCTGGGTTATGTCACTGGACAGGGGGAGCACGCTGGAGTGGTAACCCACACCGTTTGTTGCGTAAGCGTCCATGGTGGGATTAGTAGATTGGGATTGGTGGGGATGGGGACCGGCTAGCAACGGCATATTGGGCAATGACCCTGGTACCCCATGTTCCTCCCTCCTCAACCCACTGGTGACCAGAGGCTCAGTGAAGAGCGGATCCACCAAACCGAATCCCCTGCGCGTCAGGTCGGCCGAGATCATCTGCGACAGCTGGTCGGAGAGCGCCCCCGCAAACCCCGCATTCTCCGAGGAATTTGAGCTCGGGGTCGGAGGGAGGCTGAAGCTTGAGGTCTCCGACGATTGCTCGTCAGCGCTGGAATGACTGCTGCTACCGATCCCCAGAGCAGCGGCGAAGCCCCCACCCCCGCCGCTGCTGTTACTGGAGGTGCTGCTCTTGATGGTCAGGGCACCGGAGATGCAGAAGGCAGGGTCATCATCGTCATTGTTGGCAGCAGGGTAGTGAGGTGGGAATGGATTCAGCCACACGTTGTCTGCAATGGGAAATACAACCATCGGCAATGTTCTACAACTTTCTTTAATGGCATATTGGATCATTTACTTTAGTATGCATTTTGTTTATTTCCAATAACACCACCATTTAAAATCGTTGGAAATCTTACCTGTTGAACTTACAGCTCAGCAAAACATTTCAGCTCAGTGGATATTAAATTTGTTGAGAAACCAGTGAAAAACCATGCATTTATATAACCTTTTTGTTTTGTTTTAAAAAATCAGTCAATTGACTGATTGTTTGAAAATTGGAAATCACCTACATTTCTTGACTTCTTCAAAATGACGGCAAGCCAGATGCAATCATTTCACGGGGTGTTTATACCAGTACGATCTTTAATCCAAATAAGCTATTTTGATAATAATTTGGTAGGTTACTTTTGGGATCAATGCATCCTTTAAAGGGCTCATGTTTTATCTGAAATATGTTAAGACTGTATCTTCTGAAAAAAATGTCCCTTCTTGACTAATGTGCTTACTCTATAAATCGGATAAAGTTCATTCCCATGACTGCAGGTAGATCCCACCGAAGTACAACTGTTTCTTGTTGCAAGATTGAGAAAATTTCAATCTTGACAAAATGTCGATCTTGTTTCCGTGGGTAACGTATTGCAGATTATCTTCAAGCAAACTTGTATCCTTGATCCTGATTGGTCGATCCATGGCAACAACAGTGTGATATGAGGCTGTATTGCACGGTCCATATCGCACCCTGCGTATTGCGCTATTCCAAGATGCTAGCGACATTCCAGCATGCGCTAAACCGCTAAAAGGTTCGTGTAAAGCGATGGTCCAACTTTACTGCGCGTCAAGTTTGCTTGAAGATAAATTCGTTATCACGCTCGCGCTCGTGGAACACAGAAAAATGTAGTGCGTCTGTGTCCCACATAGACGCACTACATTATTCCATGTTCCACTTGCGCTCACAGGATAACTAATATAGTCGTCATAAGGGAACAAAATGCAGGAAATTTGAAACCTACTACATGTATTTTCGGAGACTCTTGACGATGCTGTTTCTTCTGGGTTGACCAAGGCTGGTACGTCCGCCCTACTTAGCTGGTGCCCGATCGACTGTTCTGCTTCTATCTGGTATGCTACATAATCGCCTGGTAATGCATGGCCTGCATAAAATATGAGATCATTTATACATAAGTTGCAAAACATTTCAAACTGCGCAACATTTTACTTATGACACATTACACAAAAGTCTTATAGTGCGTAAATCCGGGACTTGTGCAACAAATTGTGGTGTATTTTGCGCAATCATTTTAGGTGGCGTAAGTTGTGGCGTAGCAACTGAAAATGACCTCCTTTACAAATAAATCGTGATCGTCGTGGAGCCTGTCATTGCACAACTTATCAAGGTTGGTACATGATACCCATAGCTTTGTGTTTGATAAAAAAAAGACCAAATATTGTTTAAAATGACAACTTCAGTGATTCAACGACTGTTTTGTGAGCGAAAAAAATCATACACAAACAGCAGTCTTATACGCTGTTATTATCCTTTTTCAAGATGTTTACATTATTTAAAAGGTTACGCAGCTACACCACATTTCTTGAAATTGATTGTAAGTTTCCTGCACAGCTGTGCAACAAATGAGTAGGGTCAGTCCTACGCGTGGCACATGTATGCAACTTTATGTGATATTGACTAATGGTTTAAAGCACTATACATGGTTTAGGCAGAAATGTAGGCTTGTGCACAAGTACAGTGGGACGTCGCTATACCAAACACCGCTATACCGTACATTTGGCTACACCGAATATCATCATTGGCTCCCGATTTTTGTGTACAAAACCAAACGAATATTGTTGTTGAAAAATGTCAACAGAAGAGCGACAAGTGGCTTTTATTTCCCTATAGAATAGAAAGGGAAAGCCACCCATTGCTGAAGGTGGTAAGCTCAAAAACTGTAATTACATAATTCAATAGTCGGCACGTGTTTAAAGTTGTTTTTCAGTAACTACCAGGGCGTGCAGGGTGAAGTTATGAAGGGCGCTATTTATTGAAAAGTGAGTATCGGAGCACCGGCAGCTTAAAATCGCTATACCGATCGATCGATATTACATGTACAAACATTTTCTGTGGATACCGCGATGTTCGTTATAGCGGCGTTCCACTGTACCTGTATATATTTTTGTAAACCCAACAACTAGGGATTCTGAGCTAACAGAGCTAGCACAGAATGTCTTTGTTAGCACAGATTGGTGCTAATTATAAGTGCACAAAGCAATGGTTCAGGGGTGTGAGTGACCACTAAAAAATATAGCTGAAAACAGCTGGAAAAGGTGTAAAAAAGCTGAACTTTGGAAATCTCTTATACTTTTGTACACAGCAAGTGAAGGAAAAAAGCTGAAATCAGCTTTAAAGGTGAGATTTCACACCCCTGATGGTTAGAGCAGCAATATAGATTTGAGCTCCAAACTCACCGGCACTTGGCAAGACGGCTCCCAGTCTCCCTCCTTTGCGCTCACTCAGCAGCTTGGCCAGCGTCTCAGGGCCGTCCCGGATACTGGGACCTTTGGTCTTTGACCTCCCTGATCTAGCGTGGGGTCGGTTGGGTCGCTGGTAGCTTTCGTCGGAGGATGACAGATCAACTGCCGGGAGTTGAGCTGAGACAAAAATGACAACAAGACAAGTCAGGCCTAGTACAGCTGGTCCCAATGCCATGGCACTGCTTAACACTTTAGCAGAAAAATGTGATAACCTGCAGTACAATTCCAAAAGTCTAGTAGCAGGTCAATCACAAGTCCTGTCAAAATTCAAATCACAACTCAATCACAGGTCAATTACAGTCTTGTCTCAAGTCAATCACAAGTCTAGTCACAAGTCAATCAAAAGTCTTGTCACAAGTCTAGACAAGTCAGCTAAGCAGAAAATATTGCTTAGCATATCTTTTGTGCTGAGAACCAGTCACATGCAAAACCAATCGCATGACATTTGTGCTGGTAACCTGATTGTGGTAAGCAAATTTGTTTTCATGCTAAGCAAATTTCTGTGCTGAGGAGCTCAGTGAAATAAGGCCCTTGTGAAATAGGTACCTGGTTCACTACGGAGGCCGCTAGGGGCCATGCCTTGGCTGTCAATGAGGCCAATGATTTTCATGTGGCCATTCAGTAGCGCCAGCGACCGTGCTGTCTCACCCTTTGCATTCTTGAAGTTCACATCAACACCCTAAAAAGAAAAAAAAATAAGAGGATGAAGGATTTGTCTTACACAAATTAGAAAACAAACATTAGGAGCTCTCAACTGGAATAATATACGACAGAAATTAATAGCTCTGAATGTCAGGCCATGAGGTCAGTTCTGAGCAGCACCTCAAGATCAACATGTTCTGACCTTTATCACATAAGTAATTGTAGTAAAGCCTCTTGCCCAAGAACACAAGCACCATGATCTCAGTCAGGGTTTAAACCGACAAACAGCCTCAGACCAGTTGGCTACTGTTATTGTTTTACCATGACAATGACAAGGTACACTTTGTCGGGTGCCTGAAGAAGGTCGTAAGGGCCAAAAATGGGTCAAAATGTCAAATTCGGATTTTGCAAGTGATCGATAGAGCTTGGAAAAATCTTTCATTTAATATGCATATTGTCTCAAGGGGGCACGTCATTCTGATGTAATTAACAGTAAACAAAAGACGGAAGTATAGGTTTTTCATTATTTGTGCCTGGCAAAAGGTCCTAAGCGGGTAATTCTAATGTAACAAAATGTTCCAAGCGCGCTAACGTCTCATTCAAGTGGGTACGCAGAGCCAATTTTGTTCCAGGCAAAAAGTCCTAAGGATTTAACATGCCGCTTAAACGTACGTTTAAGGCTTGGGAAGTTCCCGGTAAAAAGTCGTTAGAATAAAAATTACAATAACTCCACAATTAAGTAACACTTTGGCATAAAAATGCACAACATTATTTTAATTATTAACGAATTTCATCAGTCAAAATTCCAACCTTATGTGATTTTTAATCTAGAAATGGCAGCACAAAACCTTTAAACTCAATTATCTCCAAAAGTGCTTTTTGCGTGCTTGGGCTGCTTACGACTTCTTCCTCGTCACACGACGACTTCTACAATAAAAGCACTGAGCACACTCACATGTTCCAGTAACAAGTTGACAATGATCTCATGGCCCTCTGCAGCAGCCATCATGAAGGGGGTGATTCCAAGTCTGGGCTCCCTGGAAGGTCAAAAAAGGAGGAATAATGACATTTGTTAGTGGGTACGTGTGGTCTAGCGGTAGAGCACAGGATTCATGATCGTGAGGTTGTGGGTTCAAGCCCCGCCGTGGCCATGCGTGTTGTGCCCTTGAGTAAGGCGCTTTACCTCAATTACTCCTCTCAACCCAGGTGTTAAATGGGTACCGGCATTATTCAATGCTGGGAAGGTAACAGACTCGCTGTGGAGGAGGTATGGCGATCCCCCCACAGCAGCATATGAGTCTGGCCCAATCGCTAACGAAAGAGAGATGGGCACTCCGTTCCTGTGAACACAGGTTCGTCCTCCTTTACCCTGTACTCTTAGTGGGTAGGGCAAGCTTCAACACCGAGAATTCAGACTTTCTGCAGATTCTGCAGACAGTCAACACTTCAGCCAACAATCGGCTAACACAAAGCTGAAATAATATGTGCACTGTGGATTCTGCCTTTACAAAGACAAATTAACACAATTTCTGTTGGAATTGATTTCACATCATCTACCTGGCGTTGACGTTAGCACCATTGTCAAGCAGGAACTGAACCACTTTCTGATGGCCAGCGTATGTCGCATAGAAAAGCGTCGTCCATCCCTTATTATCTCGGTTTTCCAATTCTGCACCTTGCTAGGATGTTAGAAAAGAAATGAGTACAAAATGAGCCCACAACATCATCATGACAAAAACCATTTACCGGTTAGTTCAGTGGAAAATGTTCTAGTCCATCTGTGCTGCATATTAAGCTTGTGATCGAGAAGACAAAAAAACATGATGTGGAAGCTTGAACACTCAGCTGCTAAAACAGAAAATAATGCATTAAGCACAAAGTAGCCCCGATTCAGTCTCTACCGGTACCAACTCAACTATGCCTTCCTATCTGCTTACAGTCCGATTTTGATCTATTTATCCAAATCAGCTTGAAAACGAAACCTGTACACAAGTTTTTTCCTCACTTGGTATATTTGTTGCTATAACACCTCACCCACAGATTCCGTATCTTGATTGTCCGAGAGTGAGTCACCTGGCATTTGCTATTTTTGCTATCTTGCTGTGCACAGCCAAATGTACTACACATGTACAATCAAGGTACTATATAGCCGTAGCAATCATATCAAAGTACTATCATGACTACATGTATACGCATTGTGTGCAAATGCATACGGGTGTGTGTGTGCGTTGTGCGTTGTGTGTTGCGCGTATTGTTCCCAAGCGCTAGCGCTACAGAGCTGGGTTCAAACATTTCGTTTCATAGTTTGGAAAAGTGCAACTTAATTTTCAACTAATTTCATATTCAAATAGAAGTACATTTTAATTGTATTCAGATTAAATTAATCAGTTATCACTTAAAATCATGCAGAATCTGTGGGAGAGATGGATATGAGCAAGGTACCTGGACTAGGAAGTAAGCCACGCTCTCGTTGCCACAGCTGGCCGTCAGCATCAGCGCGGTGGCGCCCTTCTCGTTCCTCAGGTCCACCTCAGCTCCCGCGTCCAGCAGCAGGTTGACAATGTTGTCATGACCAATGTAGCTGGCATACATGAGCGGTGTCCAGCCGCCCCGGTTTCTGTGATTGATGTTGACTTCACCACTGAAAAGAAAGGTTGGAAAGAGAGTTGTAATAAAGTGATCACGAGTCCTAACTTAACAAATACTCTTCATTCTGTGTCAATTGAGAGTCCCAAATATTCATCATTACACTCGACCGAACAAGGTTTTCAACAGAAACATGTGGCTCATGTTTACAAAAAGCCAGCCGAACTCATATCATTACTATTCAGTAAACAAAATTGATGTCCATACAGTAAACATGAAGTCCAGGATATTATGCCAGCAATGTTTGTAATTTCAATTGAAAATAATTTAATTTTTGAAATGATGGGTTCTTCAAACTTTCCCCATGGAGAATGAAGCCAAATAGTGGAGCAAAAAGTTAGTCTTCTTCAAAAAGTTGTGATACAATGAACTTCAAATGTTTACATCACCTGGCTTCAATCCAGTGTGCAAACGGTTGTAGAAACTCCGTTTTTCAAATGTGACTTTAAATTTGGCTTGTAATGATGCCATCCTACTATGAAATTATCTTTGCCTTCAAAGAAATTGTTACTCGTTGGACGTTAGTCCGCAAGTTTGGAACTCTCAATACTGTGTATGAGAGTCCAAAAACTTGACAAGAAAATAGACTGGCACATAAAACAACCAGTCCAACACCCCTTTAGTACTGCATCAATCAACTGTGTCAAAAGAAACATCTGGTACCCAGTCTCTACTTCTAAACAGGTGTTAAATGGGTACCGGTATTATTCAATGCTGGGAAGGTAACAGACTCGCTGTGGAGGAGGTGTGGCGATCCCCCCACAGCAGCATATGAGTCTGGCCCAATCATGACTTTGAAAGAGAGATGGGCACTCCGTTCCTGCGAACACAGGTTCATGCCCACTACCTACCCTTCTAAACATCTCTCCACAATCTGCCACTAGACTACTGAAGAGGTCAGTCTTTTCAAACAGTTGGATATGTACATGTACCAGTCTAGTCTTAGGCTTCAATTGAAATCACTCTCGGGTGCAAAAAATTGAAGAAAAGTCTCCTTTAAAAAATTAAATTGAAACTTCAAACTTGGCTGGTGAAGTACTACTGAGGACCTTGTCTTTACCGAGAATGAACATTTTGGAGAATTTGGTTGGTTAAAGAGTGAGTAAAGTGGGCGTGAATAGCCCTGAGACCGACAGTAATGACGTCACGCTTTGTTTACATGTCAGTGTTGTAGTACTTGTACTCGGTACTCGTACCCGAGTACTACTTGAGTACTTTTTTTGGAGTACTCGTACTCGTACCCGAATGTCAAAGTACTTGTACTCGAAATGACGGTACTCGTACTCGGGCAGCAAAGTACTCGTACTCGACATGTCGAAATTGTACTCGATCATTCAAGTACTCGTACTCGAATAGCAGTACTCGGGGGGGGGGGGGGGGATGTTAAACATGTAGCTTCACCTACCATGGCCTTATTTTATCGATACTCACAGTTTGAAATGGTTGATTGGCTTGTTGAGAAATCGAAATTTCCTGATTTTCCTCTGTGCACGTCCGGACAAACACATTTAACAGCTAGCCGTGATTGGGTCTGTATATCGGTCTGACTGGGCCTGGGCCAATTAAGCACAATGAACCATTTGCCGTATGGCCGTATTCGGAAATGCGAGAACTTGTACTCGTACTCTGAAGTACAAGTACTCGTACTCAAAGACCCGTTCGTTTACTCGGAGGTACAAGTACTCATAGTCGTACTCGGCAACCTAAGTACTCAGCAGTACTCGGAAAAAAAGTACTCAACTACAACACTGTTACATGTGCATTTTCCTATGTATGCGTTAGACGGCCCCTACTTCGTCTGGCGTCCCGACTTTGCTCCCATAGGAAAACGCATATAAATAAAGCCATAATTACATCATTAGGTCTCAGGTCTATTTGTTTGCATATTTGTCTGCACTCAATGTCCCAGTCTGTCTGGAGGTATGCCACAGAAGTTGGACAGAAGTCTTTTTTTTTCCTCTCTACACTGGAGGTTTCAAACCCTGGTTGTACATGTACATGTACCTTGCAATGTAGGCACTGACGCAGTCATACAGCCCGATGCTTGCTGCAGTATGGAGGTCCAGGGGTGTCGGCTGGAAGGCTGGATCCTCCCCCAATGTACCCCAGCCTCTCCACATGGACAGGCTCTTGTCCAAGAGCTCAGATTCGCTGGCCTCATCGCTTGCTTCATATGGGTAATCCATCCTCTGCCAAAAACCAAAGACCTTCTGCTAACAAGACTACATGTAGGTTAGCGAAGTACAGCACTAAAGCTGGTCCTGGAGCATATGAAATTCTACATGATATGAATTGATTCAGAATGACTATTGGCTATTCACCGGAACTCTTTCCATGCATCAGAAGTCTTTTTCATTAGGGCCTATAGGCCTAAGGCCGAGGGAATGAAAGTCATAGAATACCGTCCTGCTGAATTTGTAAAACAATGAGCCTTTTTTCATTATTCATTATTCTGAAGCACTAACCAGAATCAGACAAATTGCATGATGTCACTACGTAGACATCATGAAAGTGTTTGGGAAAATGGCCAAAGGGAGGCGTTGGTATGCAGCGCTAGTGCTGGTAACCGCGCGTTATACATTGTATGCACGTATTGTATGTACCGAGTGTTCACTGTACTCTGTTCGCGTGGGCAGATTGGGTTTCGCACCAATGTGGTAGCCTACACAGAATACGACTATTCCGCATTAGAAAAATTGTGTAGAGCGAATTCTGATAAAATTAAAAGTAAACTGTTGAGGCAGATTAATATTCAGGGTAAGGCCAAAAAAAAAAAAAATAAGTCGGTCTCTGGTCAGCGTGCGCGTCGATTTTAATCATGCGCGTCAATCTTTTTTTTTTCCAAAATGTTCCGCTGTAGCTCCAACAGCGCCCTCTATTGCCGCACCTCCTCAATTTTTTTTTTATCAAAGAGCACCAAGGAATGGGAAATTGCACCAAGGCAAATGATCGAGAGCACCACGGCAAATTATGGAGGACACCAGTGTACATGAGGACACCAAAAAAAGACTGCTTTACTTTAGCCTGCAAAAGTCACCTTGGATAGGTTGGTACTGGACAATCATCTGCAAAAGTCACTTTTGCATTGTGCACAGAACTCGTAAAAAATAGAGGTGTCCTAAAGATAAGGATTACCGCTATTCCGCTAGATGATTAGGCAAATCACAAGAAAGCGCGGCAAGATTACCATATGCGAAGTTCACTAATTTTCCTCTGTATTGACTAACAAGCCCCTACTCCTAGAACTATGGTGAGCGGAGCCTCATAGATCTAGAAGCCTGCAAAATTGTCCTTTCACACCTAATCCTCCTTTTGTGTAAACTTCTTCTTTCAGCCCTGCATGTTTGTGTGCACCCCCATGTTAAAGTATGTGCCTCTGTCATGTCTGTCATTTCTGTTTTAGCCTCTGAAGAAGAACTTGCTAAGTTCGCAACGTCAGGCCACATTAATTTTAAGATTTATATATTTCAGGTCCATCCAGTCAGTAAGCAGTTTGCAGCAGTTTTACTTTTTTTTTTTTTTCAGAATCCACCTATGTTAGTTCTGCCCATGATACTAGCCCAGGTTGGACGAAGTCTTCATTGCAATACGACTAACGTAACGTAGGGAGGAAAGGGAGTCCACCAGGGCTAGTCTAAAAATTTGGGACTCTCAATACTGTGTATGAGAGTCCCAAAACTTAAGATATTGAAAACATGCAAAACAAGAAAATAGACTGGCACATAACACAACCAGTCCAACACAGCTTAAGTACTGCATCAATCAACCATGCCAAAAGAATTTAAGAAACATGTGGCATGAAGCGGGAACTAGTCTCAATTTACTACACATTTCTCCATAGTCAAGCCACCAGACTATTGACACTGAATGAAGAGGTCAGTCTTTTCAAATAGTTGGACCATGGTTGGACATGTACCAGTCTAGTATTTAGCCTCATTTTGAAATCACTTGACTTCCCTCTCATGTGCAAAATATTGAAGAAAAGTCTCTTTCAAAAATTGAATTCAGTCTGCAAACTTGGTTGGTGAAATACTGAGGACATTTTCTTTGCCCCAGTGGAATTTTTGGAGAAATTTGCTGGCTAAACTGTGAGTAAAGTGGGCCTGATTTAGTTTTGCACGTTTCAGAGCACTCCAGAGCCCTGTCTGCACCAGGGCTACCCATGATACGTGAGTATGTCAAGAGGTAAAGTACGGAGTATAGGGGCAAACTGTGCAGCGGTTCTGTGTGAAATGTCTGCATTTTGATGGACGTTTTTGTACTTTATTAGTGTTTTGTGCTGCAGACAATTTTGCGGGCTTCTAGATCTATGAGGCTCCGCTCACGCGGAGCCTCATAGTTCTAGGAGTAACAAGCCCCCAGATAGCAATTTCATGTCATCAAAGTCAATTTGAGCAGTGAGAAAATACAATCATTTTCTTAGAAAACACTTAGATTAGAATTTTTCAGTCCACTCTCATAGGCTTTGTACACAGAGTGTTGAGTGAACCTCGTATATGGAAATCTTTCCGAAAGCGCACAACAACACCCCTCCCCCCCCCCCCCCCAATCATGCCCCATTCAACCCCATTGACAATTGCCCTCAAAAATTCGAAACCCTGACCTTATCTCTATATCTATGACATGACAGCCATGACTGCATGTTCTTAATGTCGCCAGTTGTACCGGTAAGTCAAATAAATTAAAAGTGAATTTGTTCTCTTACTAGGAACCTTCCCCGTAACAACACGATCGCCTTTTTCTTGATGATGGTCGACAGGTCAGTCGTCTAATCAGACAAAAGAGGCTGCCATCTTGCTTGTCATATGCAGCGCCCTCAGTTGACAGCTAACGACGCCGGCAGAGTGAACTTTCGGTGAATTTTGGTGAGCAAAATTTTGGTACTTTCCACGTTTTTGTTTGACTTTTCAGCTGTCAGAGATATGAGCCCACCCTATACCTAACCATGTCAAAATAATGCCTGTGAAATACTGGGGATAAACATTTGGAAACAGGAGAGTTTGGAAGTTTGAAAAAATTGTATGCCCGTCGATCGAGTTAGGACATTCCTCCATGGTTAGGAGGACGTTCGCCTTTTTTTTATTTGGACATGTCGAGCGCAATTTGAGTCCCCCGCGCAAGTTTAAACTTGCGCACGCAAGCTTTAACTTGCGCGAGGGACTCCCGAAGCATGCAAACTACACCGCGCCATTTAATTTGCGTGCGCATGTTACAACTTGCGCAAAGGCGATCGCAATTTGAGAAACTTGCGGGCGGGATTTTCATTGGTAGCGCCAGTATCACAACTCCAGCAGTACCACTTATGATAATTTATGCTTACGTCACCACAAGTCAGGCACGTCAGATCACAGGACGTAAAATTGCAGTATCAATGGCGATCAGTGGCGGAGCTCCGGGGAGCGGGAGGTTTCGCATCGAATGATCGGTCAACTTCGGAATGTACTGTTAAACTCGTGTTTGAGCAGAGCCAGCTGTGACATGTCGTTCTTCCCATTCCAAACTAACTAGTGCAAACAATTATAATAGCATTCGGTTGTACCACGGAGGTAGAATTACTTGTACTTGGGCTAACTGATCTGTAACTTTGTCAAGTTTAGCGTGCTCGGCGGATACTATTTTACACAGTGTCGGCATTTTGATTACAACGAATAGATAAGGGGAGCCTTCGTTTTTGAAATGACCAATGTTAGATTAACCGGCTTGGGCAGATGATTCGGGTCCCATGCATATTCTTCCATGATTTATTTTTACATTTTAGCATTCAAAAAGTAGGTATGATTACTTTATCGTGAACGCTTGCATTAATTGTTATTTAGTTTGTTTATTTTTACTCTTTTCCTTTTGACACAACCATAGAGAAAGGACATACCGTATTTACATAAACCTTGTTAATATTCTAAAAAAAGCTATTGAATAAAGAATTTATTTTGAATGAATGGATTTGAATCTGTATCAAAATCTTATTTCTGTCGTTGAAAAATCTCCGCGGTTTTCAATCATGATTACTTCCGTGTGCATCCGTGGACTGCGTAACGCCATAACCACAGAAATCCTTGGAGATGCTATGATTTATCCTTTACCCTAGTGTATGGGAATTGGGATGGTTGACCTATCATGTCTCAAGTCAAGATATTTTTCGCAGGGAATAATAGATGACCTGTGAAGCCATGCAGAAAAAGGTGTGTGTAATGATTTTTGTGCCAAAGAGGGTTGGTGGTTTTACCAAGAAAATTACCATACTTTTTTTTAATCGAGGAAAACCATAGGGGCCCACCATGCAAGCTTAAACGGTGCCTTAGGAGAAGTGCATATGGTTGCAAACAACATCAGTTCTAAAACAATTGAAGTAGATGCAGGTATCGAAGGTCGCCGTGTACGGCAATTATGTGCCGAGTCGTAACATTGTACATGTTATACACCCCGTACAATTACATGTACGTACGGAACCCTTGACATGTACATGTATGGGTGACCGTGCTGGTGGGCCTGCTAAAGAAGGACATGCACACGACGATCACGCGCGGACCGACGATGTACATAATTCATAAGTTTGATGACGCTGTACTGTTCACGGCATAAATTATGATAAGTGGTACTGCTGGAGTTGTGATACTGGCGCTACCATTTTCATTGATGAAGAAAAACAAATGTTCGAAACTGTCACAATCGTTTTTAATTTTTAATTCTGTTAGGTAATTGTAATTATTACGCGCTACAAGTACAAGGAGAAATAAATTAATGAATAATTAAATAAATTAATGAACAAATAAATAAAAAAAAAGTGGAATTCAATTAGCGTCAATGAAAAGAAACATTGAGATTTAGCAGTGCTTAGCAGTGCTTATCAGAGTAGAGAAGTTTTTTAGGGGGCGGGCGGGGGCGGGAAGGGGACCAGGCAAGCAATCAAGCACGGTGATAGCTTGGACATGTTGGAGAGAGTACTGAATTTGTTTGAAAATGGAGACAAGTTTCAAGATTTTTTGCCTTGCATAAGTAAAACTAATTAGCGTTTTATTTAGATGTAAATAAATCATAATTTCCTAGGGGTAACCCGTTGTTAACGTAAAAGAATGATTATCATCCCTTCAATTGTTCAAGATTTTTGACATTATTTCATTTACATTATTTTTTAAATGCTTTAAATTATATTACATGTACTGTACAATAAAAAAAGTACTTATTCTTTAAAAATACTAATTTTATTAATTTAGCAATTAATTAAATGGAATCAAGTTATTCATGGTGCCTGTATTAATTAAACTCATCAATATTCTCTCTCAGCAGTGTCAATTTACACGTGAGGACCTCCATCAGAATATGACTCCCAACTCAAATCCAGTTGTTCTGACTCCACGTACAGGAATTTCCATGATGAGATTGAAAGGGGTTTGTCTAACCTTGACTCTGTCCTACTCAACAGGAGAAACAAGAAGATTGGTGGCTTGCTTGCCAAGCAACAGCAACGCAGACACAGACGTTTCAGACGTCCTAGGTCCCCATCTACCATGCCACCGCCAGAACCCCCTGTCAACACTGTAGTTAATCTTTCTTCCTCATCAATATCTGACGCAGAGCACAAACTTCTCTCCATGGGTCTCAATTTTTGTCCCGCTCCCCGTTCTGTGAACCAGGTTCAGCTCAGCCAAGATCTCACGGAATACTACCGTAGAATCCGTCTGCGTGAGTTTTTCCTGGACAGTGAACCGTGTGAGCCAGAGCCTTTTCGAGTCAAGAGTTCATGGGTACCCCCCAAGAATCGTGTGCCAGCCATAGAGACATACGTTCAAGTTATCAATTCCCAAGTCACTAACCCGGACAACTTCCCCCACAGGACTCATGATAATCTCCCCAGAGAGGAGCGCCTGGCTCTCAACTCCTTGCGTTCTCGCACCGACATCATCATCAAGCCAGCAGATAAAGGTTCAGCTGTGGTCATCATGGATCGTCAGCAGTACATTGATGAGGCCCACCGCCAGTTGGATAATCGCACTAACTATACCCGCCTTGACTCTGACCCCACAGGCACTTTCTGTCGAGATATACAACAGGTACTTGACGATATGCGATCACGTGACCAGTTGTCCAAGAAAGCTCACAAATTTCTTTCTCCCTGTGATTGTAGGACTGCCAGATTTTACCTTCTACCAAAGATTCACAAGGCTGGCAACCCCGGTAGACCCATCATCTCCGGTAATGGCTCACCAACAGAACGCATCTCTCTGTTCATTGACAGTTTTCTCAAACCCCTTGTCCCACAGATTTCGTCATACATTCACGACACCCCATGCAGACTTCCTACGCAAGCTTGAAGGAATCAAGGACCAGATTCCCAGCACAGCCATCATTGGGACTTTCGACGTCTCATCTATGTACACCAACATCCCACATGAGGAGGGTGTTCATGCTTGCTCCTTGGCTCTGGCCAAGGCAGGACACACGACTCCTCCCATCAGTGATGTTGGCACCCTCATGAGACTTACATGTATACTAACGAAGAACAATTGTTCCTTCCTTGGTGAACACTATCTACAGGTACACGGCACTGCAATGGGCACTCGCATGGCCCCGTCGATGGCTTGCCTCTTCATGGGCGACCTCGAAGAACGCATTCTTGCCTCGGCCCCATGTCGCCCTTGGATCTGGTGGAGATATATTGATGATGTTTTTTTCATCTGGACCAGTGATGAGGACAGTCTCTTGACCTTCACTAACCACATCAATTCCTTCCACAGAACCATCAAATTCACATCGGAGTTCTCGGCTCACCAAACCCACTTTCTGGATGTCACCGTCCGCAAGCAAGGCAACTCACTAACCACTGACCTGTATTCCACACCCACAGACACCCACCAGTACCTCCACTCCTCCAGCTGTCACCCCAGGCACTGCAAAACTGGCATAGCGTTTAGCCAGGCACTCAGACTCAGAAGAATTTGTTCTAATGATTCCGATTTCTCCCGCCATACACAGATACTGAGGAACAACTTGGTGGCCAGGGGTCACAGCTCTCGCCAAGTTCATCGTGCCATTGCCAGAGCTAAAGCTATCCCCAGAAATCTAGCTCTCACGGGAAAGGCCCCTGATGCCATGGCCAAACCCATGATTCCCTTGGTTACCACGTTTCACCCCAATCTCCCTCCCCTTCGCAAAATCACTAATGACAATCATCATATCCTCCATACTTCAGATCGCCTTGCCCGCGCCATCCCCAACAGCCCCACATTGGCTTACAGGCGTCCTCGAAATCTACGGGACTTGATTGTTTGAGCTGAAGTCCCTTCCTTAGATGCATCCCCTCCCACCCAGCATGGTACTTTCAAGTGCAGTTCAAGATGTGTTGTCTGCCAGATTCATATCCAGGAGTCTGACTCCTTTTCTGGCCACTCTTCTGTCACTACCCACAGAACCATTGGTAACATCACTTGTAACACCTCTAATGTCATATATCTCATTTCTTGCAGGGTCTGTGGAGTGCAGTATGTAGGTGAGACTAAGAATACGCTCAAGAAGCGTTTCTATGCCCACCGGTCAACGGTCAACACCAAGAAACTAGACACCCCTGTTGGTCATCACTTCAACCTGCCTAACCACTCCATTTCTGATATGATTTTGCAGGGCATTGAATCTCTTGGCCATCGCAAGGACTCAGTTCGCCTCAGCAGAGAGAAAGTGTGGATGAATCGTCTTCGAACTATTCAACCACATGGTCTCAACATCCAACTTGGAAATGATTAATCCTTTTCTTCCTCCATTGTCTTCTGTTACAGATAATCCATCTGGTCTTCCTTGTTTGTGTTTACCCATCTTCCCCCATCTTTCATCCCTTTCCACCTCGATACTGTCCCCCCCCCCCCACATCGTCCATTCACTCTCACACTCTTTTGTCTGTTCCCACTCCCTGTGACCTTTGATCCTTCCCCTTTCTGGTCCCTCCCCTGTTTACACAAGACCCCTTGTGGTTTGCCATCTCCCTTTGTTTCTTTCTTCTCTCATCCACCCTCCCCTGCATCTTTCCACACCTTTCACACCTAATCCTCCTTTTGTGTCTCTTCTTTCAGCCCTGCATGTTTGTGTGCACCCCCATGTTAATGTATGTACCTCTGTCATTTCTGTTTTAGCCTCTGAAGAAGAACTTGCTAAGTTCGCAACGTCAGGCCACATTAATTTTAAGAATTAATTAATTGGACGGTACAATATTTCATTTTGTTTTTAAAAATATTTTGCCTAACATTTCGAGCGCTGTGTACACTTCAAAAATGCATAAATTGAAAAAATTTATGAACTCATTACTAAGTTAATTAATTAATTAAATGTATTAGTTATTACTTTAAACAATTATTTTACTTGCAGGCTCAATTCATATTAATGTTTACGTGCTTTAACTTAAAAACGCTATGCATATAAAATGGTAATTATTTTAAAAAGTAAATATAATTATTAATGATTTAATTAATTAATTTAATTTATTAATTTAATTAATTAATTCGAATTAATGAATAAATATGTTGTTTATTTAACAAAAATAACACAAATCCTAATGAGCCATAAACAATAATACCCATCATGAAAGTGCATAAATTGTTCGCATTTTCATACATGTAGATCTCTGAACCCACACAGTCAATTGCAACCTCATTAGCAAAATGCTGTATATAAAATGTTTCAAAAAAGGCATTAAGGCATTGTCTCACGAAGCACAGTGGTGCTAATAATTGGAGAAAAATCTTCTTTAAACATGTTAAAAATAATGTTACATATCTGCATGAGTTTACCAGGAAAATAAATTAGTTTAGCGGCTTGGCATGCATGGGAAAAATCTATGTAGCGCGCAAGTTTAAACTTGCGTGCGCAATTTGTAGCAAGGAAATTAATGCATGCGCAAGTTTAAACTTCCGTGCGTGCAGGTTTAAACTTGCGCGGAAGACTCAAATTGCGCTCGACAGACACATTGGAGATGGTCGGGCGATATCGCCTGACCATCTCCAAATGTTAAAAAAGGCGATTCGTGGAGTCCTAGTTACTTGTACTAAGCCAAGCCTAGCCCCATAAATATGGCCAATTTACTGGACTACATGTACATGGATTTTGTACACTTGGATTTTTAAGTTCTTTTTCACATGTCTATTTTTCGTGAAATTTTCATGTTCAAATTTTGATATGCAAACGTCATGAACGTTTGTAAACGAATCTGGAAATTTCACGTAAAATAGACATCTGAAAAAGGCAGCACATTCTGATTAGCCTATAAACATGATAAAGAGGTTTAGCATGCTTCTAAAGCAAAAATAAAACTAACCTTAAATGTGAAAATCAAAATTTGGCAAAGATCTACATGTTTTTGTACATGTTCCGAGTGTGGCCTTTATTTACGGAGGTACATGGAGTCCAGTAAATTGGCCACATTTATGGGGCTAAGCCAGACAGGGCTCTGGAGTGCTCTGAAACGTGCAAAACTAAATCAGGCCCACTTTACTCACAGTTTAGCCAGCAAATTTCTCCAAAAAATCCACTGGGGCAAAAAAAAGAAAATATCCTCAGTATTTCACCAACCAAGTTTGCAGACTCAATTCAATTTTTAAAGGAGACTTTTCTTCAATATTTTGCACATGAGAGGGAAATCAAGTGATTTCAAAATGGGGCTAAATACTAGACTGGTACATGTCCAACCATCATGACCATATGGTCCAACTATTTGTAAAGACTAACCTCTTCATTCAGTGTCAATAGTCTGGTGGCTTGACTATGGAGAAGTGTGTAGTAAATTGAGACTAGTTCCCGCTTCATGCCACATGTTTCTTCAATTCTTTTGGTATAATTGATTTATGCAGTGCTGAAGCTGTGTTGGACTGGTTGTGTTAGGTGCCAGTCAATTTTCTTGTTTTGCATGTTTTTAATACCTTAAATTTTGGGACTCTCATACACAGTATTGAGAGTCCCAAATTTTCGGACTAGGGCTAACCCAAGCCAAGGAACTTCCCCCATCCGGTTCATGCATTACCATGATTATGTGAATTTGTGATGTTGTCAATCTGCTGCTGAGCTGATGTGTGCATCCAAAGTGTGCTCTAAAAACACATTTTTCCGAAAATGGAAAATCTCAAAATTTCATATTCCTGGCCTTATGCACACAAACAAAATCATTAATTTATCATCTGATACTTTGACTATACATCATGTTTGCACTTTTTTTCAGGAAATTAAAGAGCTAGAATGGAGGACAGGGCACCTGCATGCCTGTTTGCATTTGGTGTGATTTCAGACACACAGTATGCCGACATCGACAACCGCCCCAACTTCACCAAGACATGCACCCGCTACTACCGCAATGCCCTGACACTTCTGAGCGAAGCCATAGACCACTGGACCAGCAGAGATCCTTCGGCGGTGCGGCCAGATTTTGTCATGCAGTTGGGAGACATCCTAGATGGCTTTAACAACGAGGGAGGCAAGGAAGAATCATGGCGCAGTCTGGAAACTGTCCTGGGCCAGTTTGACCGACTGCCTTGCCCAGTGCACCATTTATTGGGAAACCACGAGTTCTACAACTTCAGCAGGGTGGAGCTCATGACTAGTAGGCTGTTCACTGGGGCGGATTTTGAATCTGCTCCGAGGAACTCCAAGTGTCGGTGTTTTCCCGACGTCATCCCCACCACCGGATCAGGCGCGGAGGGCTTAGCTGCGTATTACCACTTCAGCCCCGCGCCGGGATTTCGGATTGTCGTCTTGGACGCGTACGACCAAAGCATCATTGGGCATGCGGAAACGTGTCCCATCGGCCAGGAATCACTGCAACTTGTTCGCTCCATCAACAAGAACAAACTTCTCAATTCTCCTGATGGGTTGTCAGTCTCCCAGAGGCGATTTGTTGCCTTTAACGGTGGGCTTGGGGAGGAGCAGTTGGAGTGGTTGGAAGATTTGCTACGGCGGGCATGCTCTGCCGAGGAAAAAGTCATTGTATTTGGTAAGATGGTGCAGCTGGGTGCCTAGAAACTAGCCCGAGTATTAAACTTGGGCCCTACTTAAATATCGCCGTTTAAGCATGTGGCCTGTTAGGACATGGTCTGTTGATTGTACAATGCAGGTCCCAAGTTCAATGTTAGACTTGGGTTTTCAAATAATTAATGATCCAACCATTTCCCCCAAAAAACGGCCACAGAATTACTAGATTCGCCACCTCAGAGATACAAGTAGAGATTGATGATTAAGATTGAGGTACTAAGGTTTACATACATGTGTGTTATGATGAGTTATCGGCAAGGGCGCTGTTGCAAATACGGCACAAAAAGGGAGAACAAAAGATCCTTTCAGTCCTCGAGCATTGGATCTTATGTTGAAAACGGTCCTCGATCGTATGGTTAGTCTATGGGAGAGTGTTATTACAGGGATAAGGGGAAACCTAAAGCTTTGTCCTTGAGCGTATAGAAATTCACGACTGTTTTTTCAGCAAATATGGGGTCTACATGTACTAGACACGAGTTGTCCCGTGAAACTATGGGGACTGAGGACACTAATGGGACAGCAGAAAGTTCCTCTAACTTCCCGACTTACTGACAAATGCACTGGATATAAAGGGTGTCCCCAGCTGAGGGTTTTACATGTACATGGAGGTCCAACCAAACTAGGAAAACCTTGTCTGTACATAATCTATTTTCTTTTCCTGTATCTCACAGGCCATATTCCAATCTACCCCATAAACGGAGAGCACACATGTCTGTTGTGGGACTACCAGGAAGCCTTGAAGATTTTGCGTTCCTTCCCCTGCGTGATTGCTACGTTCACAGGTCACACCCACAGCTACAGGTACTGCGTCGACGCGACATCAGGGATTCACTTCATCAGCTTCCCTGGCATTGTGGAGATTGGGCCTGGCAGTAATGGTTTTGGGACTGTTCTGGTGTATGAAGACAGACTGGTTCTACGTGGTGTTGGCAAAGTCAGAAGTTTTGAGATGGTGTTTCCCAAAGCAGGCAGCTGTGAACCAGCGGCAGCAGAACATTTATGAAACTGGGATTAGGAGGGGAGGGGGAGGGAGGTGTGATGATCGGTGCAAATGATCACGAGGCCGAAGACTGCGCTCAGACTTACAAGCTGAAAACCAGATATGCATTATTCATTGCACTGAGACACTGTATACAAACATGTTCAATAACTAGTTAACCCTAACCCCGTAGTACTTCCTCAGGACTACCCTGCTAAATCCAACAGAGTCCAACCTGTCTTTCCTGTTAAATCCACTGTGCCTCATTTTCAGTTGTCTGCTGAATCCAACGGAGTCCAACAATGCATTATAATGCGGTTCAGTTGCCTGCTGAATCCAACATTTTGCATGAGGAATGTACACAAGGGGTTAACTGCTCAATCCAACAGGCTCCATCGGGTATTCGACAGTTGGATCCTGTTGGATTCTGCAGGATTAGGGTTACACGTTGTAAAGTCCTGCGTCAGTTTTGTCTTTACCTAAAGTGGGGAGGGGAAACAATTTATAATTTCCAACAAGTAGCATTGGACTGCACTTCCCCCAATCTGTCGTGACCCTGTCATGAATCAAATGACTGTTTTCACATTTTGGAACTTCGCATCCCTCCACCCTCACCCCCTATGAACTTAAAGGTGGACATCGTGATGTAAACAAAAGTAAATTCATAATCACAGTGAATGCATTCACAAAAGCTTTACTCATGACTATCCAAGTGATACTGCCTTAAAGCACAATTTAAGGTCTTTTTGAAAAGAATGCCGCAAACAGTTGCAGATACTATGTGCTGTGTGCACCTCAAGTTGACTTGGACTGCACAAAGGGGATGTTGGATTGTTCCATCCTATTGACAGTTGCGGCGCAGTAGATATGTGAGCCTATATCTGTACACCATTGACCTACATGTAGATGAATCATGTACATTGTACATGCATTTGAGGAGCTGCAAATAACTTCCAAGGACCTTTGAACGGGTACATACCTCAGTACCTATGTTCCCCAAAACCTATGTTCCCCAACCCTAACCATCTAACCCTAACGTTAAGGATTTGGGGCAACGTGGGTATTGGGGTTCCATGGGTATTGGGAAACATACAGTGTAGGTATTGGGAAACATCCGGTAGACCCCCCTTTAAACATAGGTTTATAGCAAACCATTGACCTTCTGAAATACATCCAATATAGGGTGAGGCCTGTACTCAGGTACTAGTACAGAAAGTACAGCAGTTACTTGACTCCAGTGTTGTAGTCGAGACACAAGACCATCACAAGACCAACTCAAGACGTCTAGTCTCAACAAGTCGCAAGCTTGAATATTCAAGTGAGCTGCAACAAAGGCATATTCCTTTGTCATTTCCGTACCTATGTGCTCGGTCTTGTGCTTGTTCTACAGTTGGTCTGGTGTCTGGTCTTGTGATGGTCTCAGGTTGTTTTTGTCCAAGTATAATTTTTTAAAGTTCATGTACATGTATGAAATGTTCAGGGGCATGATCCCCTAATAATTAGCTGTTCCCACTTTCAATTGGGAACAGCTATTCTTCTTACTTAATTGCGCCCCATGGCAAATCTTAAAAAGACCACGGCGAATGCCATGGTATATGATGAGCAGATCCGCTGATTAATTAGGCAAGACACCCGCCTCTTGACCTCTAGATTTTGACCAATCAGTGGTCGTCTTCTATATCAGGCCTTCGGTCATTCACCCGTTGCGCGTCATAGACAATTGATTAAAAAAAAACCTGTCATGCGCTCTGTATCATGTTAAGCGATCATGCGCCAGGCTGCTGTTGTTGTATTACAAAACACTGCATTTGAATTGACCAATCAAACCATTTAATCCTGATTTAGGAAAGAAATGATGTCACAATTTAGTAAAGTCAACTCCGATTGGCTGGCACCAGCTTGCATATATCTACATGTCTAGACATATCAGACGTTATACAGGAGACTCTGCGCTCCGTGGATAAGACCCCCCCCAAAAAGTCTCCGGTTTCTGGTATGGAGCTTGCCCAAAAAGTGGTGCGGCGACGCGGCTTTTTTTTGTTTTTTTACCTGATTTTTTTGCTTCAAATGTCGGCTGATGACTGCAAATGGTGCCCGACTAAACTTAGTGCAAATATATGGGAGTCCAGAGAGGCCACATAAAGCTTATTCTCGACCATAACCTAATCTAAAAACACGTTTAAATTGTGCAGTAGCAGGATTCCAGTCAAACCAGTGAGTTTGGTGGTTTTGAGACATCATCTTTCATTGAATTTTTTTTCTTTTCATTTTGCCGACGCGCATGGCTACGGCGACGCGCGCGCATACCAGAAACCGGAGACTTTTTTTTTTGGGCCTAACGGGTGATACTCAGACTAAGCCTGTTCCTTGAATCCTTAGCAGACATTCAACTGACCAAAAAATATTGTAAAGATCTGAATCATCGTGTCAGATTGCTTTTTGCCCATTCTTATTAAAAACTCTCACATTTTTCACTTTTGAAGTAAAATTCAAGTACATGTAAGTGTTTCAACTGTAGATGTATTGATTCATTATAGTTTTAAATGATATCTTGGAGTTGTTTAAAAGCAATTTTAGAAAGTTTGTTGATTTTGTTTGTGCAATCTGAATACATTATATTTTTATACAATCTGTAGTGATATTTTGCTGTGACTCGTGACTATACCAAAAAGAATGCACAAATAAATGCTCAGTACACATAAAAAAATACTTGTGATTTGAATGTGTCTCATGTTTAGCAATTTTGATCATTAGGCCAATTAAAAAAAACCTGTTGAGCATCCCCACCTGCTTCCTTTTTGGAGGCTGCCTCCTTTTTTAATTTTTTTTTTTTTAATGCGAACAAATGATAAATTTTAAACAGTGACATCATTCTGGCCTCTTTAATTGTCCGTTGCATCTAGCCCATATAAAGCTGGTATCATTCCTGAGTCCAAGTGGCGGCGCCATTATTATTATTTCTTTTTAATTGGCCTTAGTATTGAATTAGGGACCAGTTTTCACGGTAGAAACTAGCAATAACGATAACGTGATTTGCATGACTTGATAACGAATAACACAGATGACATTATAGTTAAATGTGTTAAATTGGTAGGCAGTACCGGCTTTTTCAAAACAATTCAATTTTAATCAGTAATTTATAAAACATTTTTTAACATTTTTTTAACCAAACAAAAAGTAAATCGTTTAAAAAAAAACTGCTAATGCATGTGCCCAAGAAAGGCAATTCCAGCGTTATGAATTAAAAAAGTGTAATGACGGTGACTAGTAGAGCAGAGCCGATTAAAGGGAATATACAACATTTGCAAACATCGAAAAATAAAACTACCAAGTTTTTACAAAATACCTTAATCGGATGTTGGTAAATGACAGTCTAAAGCATCCTGTAAAATTATGCCACCTGGTGTGAAGTCATTTTCAAGAAAACGGTATTTTTGTAAACATTTCCTGCGGTGGTCGGCCGACCACCGTTGGAAAAACCTAACTATTTTTCAACTACTGCTCCAAATTTACCATTAGTTTAGTCCAAATTTTGTTTGCTATTGGTTACATTTTCATGAACGGGTGCAGGCCAGCTAGACTGGTACCCTTACCTTACAATTTTCCGGCATCTGTAAATTGATCCATTTTATATGTAGTGAAGTCAGGGAACCAGACTACTTAAACAGTTTTGTTTTTCTTGGTTTTTCCAGCATTTTTGAACACAAAACTTCAAACATGTCAGTGTAACAATATTTGATCTATTATACAAACCCCTCAAATAGTTCATTTCTGAAAAATACAGCAAAAGCCAATGATGTATATTCCCTTTAACCATGTTAACCATGATATGTTCAAAGAAATGCCTCTTCATTCAAAGAATGATTCAATACTATTTGGAGAAAAAAATAGTAAGTTTATTCACTGAGCTTAAGCTTCATGGGGAAGTGCCTATAGAATTAGCCTGTTTTTTTTTTCTTTTTTATATAGATATTTTCTTGGGGGGGGGGGCGTAATGCAAGTTGGTGGATTGTGAAGTTTCCTGATGGATGCCTTGTCAAGTCTACCATTCAGATTCAGATTCGCCACTTTAGATATTGTTTTCACACATATGTATTGGCAAAATTTAATTTGAAAGTCGAATTTGCAACATGATCAATGCGTAGCAGACGACGACCCGGTAAAGATGGAGGCCGCCATCTTGTTTTCAAAATATAAATATTCATAGTCTACATGTACATCCGGGGGTTTTCGCGGGTCAAAGATGTCACCGAACGAGCTCCTCGCTCGAAGTCGAACGAACTTCAAAAATACTTCGAGATTTTCTTAAATTTATCGACAAACATTTGGTAAGAAATACAGAATTTGATGTATAATCATTCATAGCAATTATTAGCATGCAAGGAGTTCACGTATAGTATATTTTTGTATTGCATATTGACGTAACAAGCGTGTTCACAGCTGAAGATCCTTGCGTAGCTACGGACGCTTTGGCTTTGCCTGCAATTTGTAAATTTTGTGCACGTTTCAATATGACATTTTCTGCATTGCACAGCTGCACTGCAGCAGGCTTGTGCAGAGCGCGCGTGACGACTGGGTGAATGTGCCGCGGTGATTGTGAATTCGTGCACGTATAATAAAACTACTATTAAACACCATTGGAAGAGTCATTTTCACTGCTCGGATGGTTGTATACTTTACTACTACTCATGCTAGTCTATTTATGCGGACGTGTAAAAATTATCTCACTCTTACTCAGTGTTGTTGTAGCTAGACTGCTACTGCTAGTTATAATTGTCTAAATGTTCTTGTGTATTTCTGAGTTACTCATCTGCTCATAGCCCCACTAGTGTGGCCGTCGGTATGCTGCGCTGAACCTAAGGCCACACACCGTGGTCCGTGCACTACTGAGGACGTTTTCATAAAATTTGCAGGGAATTTCTTACATATGGTTGTATTCTACGATGTCCCATCTATCACTTCTGGGATGCTTAGGTGTAATGATGTTCAATTTTCCGAGATATTCTTGAATTGCTTGTCGAGTGCGCGCGAGGGCGCGAGTTGCAAATGCGACGGCTGTTTCCTGTACCATGCATTTATCGTCTGGGGGCCACGTGCACTGATCTCTATTCAGGATCCACGGCACAGGAAACAGCCGTCGCATTTGCAACTCGCGCCCTCGCTCGACAAGCAATTTGCATAAACGCGACGTCACAGCTTGAGGTCATCTCTTGTCACATTCAAAATGGCTGCCATCACCGGACGTTTCACGAGTGCATATGGGCTCCAGAAAGATTCAAGAATATCTCGGAAAATTGAACATCATTACACCTAAGCATCCCAGAAGTGATAGATGGGACATCGTAGAATACAACCATATGTAAGAAATTCCCTGCAAATTTTATGAAAACGTCCTCAGTAGTGCGCAGACCACGGTGTGTGGCCTTAGGTTCAGCGCAGCATACCGACGGCCACACTAGTGGGGCTAATCTGCTCATAGAACTATGACCGAGGCTCCGCGTGAGCGGAGCCTCATACTTAGTTCTAGGAGTATTTCTGAGTAGGCCTATTTAATGTTACTGTTTGTAATTGTTGTAACAAATGTATCCCGAAAGATGAAATAAATGTAAGGCAGTGGATATTTAGCCGGAGACGGCAAACATTTAGTAAACGTTAGCTTGCCAGATATGCTCTGAACATGCGCAGTTCCTGTTTTTTTGGTACTTTCTTAGACATTTTCCGGTGACAAATTTTAGTCTGGCTCCATGCCAACATTATTGTTGCTACTTCGTTTTCACAAGATGGGAAATCAGACCATTTTACAATTTCGGACTTTATTTCCCTTTAAAAAAAATCCTCCAGAGCCACAAATCTGAAAAAGAAAATGTAATACTCTGCAGTAAAGTGTTTGAGACAGAGACATGTTAAAATAATAAAAGGAGAATATTCTTTTTTGGGGGAGATGGGGAATAAAACCCTTAAAAATTTCACCAGAGGGGATCAAACCCAGGTCTTCCCGCTCATGCATGAGATCCGTTGCTTATCCACTAGACCAAGTGTGTTACACAACCGTTGGTGGTAATTCAGGCCGCCTTAGAGAGTACAGCACCCTCTGTTGATAGGGATTACTGCTGACAATATATCCACTATATTTACATGTAAATGTAAAACACTCACCAAAAGAGCTGACTAAATGACACTCAAAACTGACATTCTGATATTTCTTGTCATATATCTGAACAATATGACACCTTGAATATCAGAATATTAACAAAATTGTTTCAGTAAAAGTTTATACAATACAGAGGGAGGCCTATGCATATGACATACATGTAGGCCCTATAGTTGCATATCCCCACTTGAAATGGCCTATCTGCATACATGTACAAGTCTAGTAAAACAACAAGTACACTCAGTTTGGTTCTTAATATGGCCTACTTTGTACCATTTTATTCTCAAGACGATGGGCTACATGAAGGTATCCAAAACCTGAGGCTACACTTCATTTTCACAAAAGCCACCGAGTATCACATCACCAGCTATGGACAAGCAAAAGCCGACCGGTACTAAGCAAGGCGTGGTGAGCCCCGGAGGTGACTCCGCCTCCTTCGAAGTCCCCGCCCTCCCAGAGGGCATTGGCATGCAGCCAAAGCTGGACTCCATCTTTGCCGATGTGCAGGCCAATCTCCCGTCCATCGACTTTGACATCTCTGATGTGAGTAAAATACCGGCAGTTTTATGGCGTATAAACATAATGTAGCAGCCAAACAACTTATTTTTTTCTGAGGAAACTAAATCATTTTGTGGTAAAAAAATTACCATGAGATACATGTAGGGCCTAATACAGTATTTCTTTACCACAAAATCCTGTCAAGGCTTGACAGGATTTTCTTCTGTGTGATTTGAAGGACCTTATGTTTAAAAGCTACGACAGAGCTTGTAAAGACTGTCAAAATCTGTTTGGGCCACGTTCCTCACCTTCTTGGTACGTGTAAGTGAATGCCTGAAGTGCCAAGTGGCCCAATTTGGAATTCAAGTCCTTTCATTTAATTAGCTGTACACGTTTAACTCTGGACTGGGGTGTCCAAATGAGATGGGATAAAGACCATTGTGTAGAGTATTACTACACTTTCGGACTCTATAGATACGTTTTGCAAAAGGAGAGTAGTATTTTTTAATATTAAAAGAATTGACTGCTGCATTTTTGTGTGTGTGAGACACCCTATACATGTACATCAAATGACTCTTCAGTTAACAGACTTGTACAGTTCACCAAGGGCTTCTCTGATAGTGTCAGAGGACTCGCTCGTTGTATATCACTTGGAACAGTACACATGGTACATGTAGGTGGTATGTGATCAGGCACAAGAACTCCAGTGTGGAATTCACACCATCATGAGTCCCGTGTAGGTAGGCATTACATGTACATGTACATTCACTGTGTGGACTTCCGAACAAAAGAGGTCCACATAAACCAGATAGAAGCGATGTTATGTGGACTTGGGCAAGTCCACACAGTGTTTCCCCATTTCTGGAAAACAGGTTTAGAGGCATTTTTTGGGTTAGGTTTATCCATGCCAAAATGAAGATTAACACTAAAGGGGATCATACATATAGAAAAAAAATTGGGTTGAAAGAGTTTCACAGTTTGAGAAAAATGTGTTTTTTCACTGGTTTTTCTTAACTACACGAAACCAAGGAAATGTCCACACTTGTATGTATGTGTGTGCGCACTGGTTCAAGCGCACATGGCAAAGAGCATGCACGACCTTTTTTCATCTGAACCTGCACAAAGCCGTAGCATCGTGACATTACATTTTCCATAGCAGTTACATGTACTGGCATTCAAGTGTCGGTCAGTGTCTGTCAATCTGCTGCCGAAGTCCTGCAGGTATGGCTTCTCCCACTGTTACATTAATACACCTGACAATACAGAGCGTGTTCCCAGTAAATCAAATTACATGTAGGTTTTGCCCTTCACGGACGTTTTAAACACTGTATACTCAGTGTGTTACCTCCCGAGTGAAAGTTGGAAAAAATCACTCGGGTGGGACTCGGACTCGTGTGGTAAGACATCTGCACTAGAAAGCTGGAGGTCGTGGGTTCGAGTCCCACCCGAGTGATTTTTTTCCAACTTTCACTCGGGAGGTAACACACTGAGTATACAGTATTTAAAAACGTCGGTGAAGGGCAAAACCTAATTTGATTTTTATCACCCTGGCGCAAATATTCCATCTTATAATGTTCCCAGTATTTGACCAAACCATTGTCAACTGGTATGCATTTGAATAAATTCGTCAAACTTTGGATAAACTTGGTAGTATTAAAAAAAAAAAGGTAAAGTTGCAATTATTTGCAGTCTTTTTAGTTAGAATTTTCCCCAGATTCTCACGATAGTACATCTTGTTGATGTCTTTCTTTTTACAGGTGAGCTCTGATGAAGAGATTGCTATCGTCAGCCGCTCCCTGAGGACTCCGACACCACTTGAAAATGACCCCCACCAGGAAATTGAGATGTCGCCGGAAACCTGGCGCTCTGCCCTGGAACCAACCAACGTCTTTGACCAACGTGACGTGTTCCACCGGTACTCTGCTCACTCTGACAGCCAATCAAGCAGCAGGAAGACCTCGGACAGTAGTGACAGTAGCGCGGCCGAGCTGATGGCCTTGGACCCGTCGATCGTCCAGGTGGGGCTGCACATTCCCTGCTGGGTAACGAAGGGTCGCCGTTTACAAACATGATAGAGACGAGCAGTGACAACAACCATATACACAGTTGGTCAGATCTCATGAATACTTTAGGCATCCGGGAAAACGGCGTTCCGAGTCAGCCTACTGGCAATTCAAATGTTATACCATACAGTACATTCCAGACACACAACCAAGGCACGCATACTGCTGTGGTTCCAGACACAGTGATGGATAACAAGAATGCTCCGAGTGAATCTGATCCCCCTGCTGACACCGAATCCACAGCCGAGGAGACCAAGAAGAGAAGGCTGTCAACTGACTTGGCAGAGAGCAGGATCTCGTCGATGATCCCGTCGCAGGTGCCCCAACTCTCCATGGAGGATGTGGAAGACATTGACCTGGACCTGCTGCTGGAATCTTTTCCTGCCGCAGCGAGCAGGAGACCGGATGAAAACAGCCGACAGCCCATTCATCCTCAGACAGGAGGTGGTGATGGAACACAGAAAGGTTTTGAGATGATTGCTTAGAAAAACAAGTTCAAATTGATACCAATTGTAGCATGTCTAGTTTTCTTTATATAATTGGCACTTTACCAAAGACCTTTCACCAGTTCAGTGAACGCATTTAAAAAAGATATCAGGTTTACAGCTTTTCTCTTTGAATTGGTATCATTGTCTTGTCAGTTTTGTCAATCTTGTTCTATCTTGTCAATTTTGTCGTTTTCATTTTGTGAGTCTGGGCTAAGCTTCCACTAGGGGTCCAAATTTATCACTTTATTTTTTAGAACTTAATATTGACTTACATTGATAAAAGGCTAAAACCAATATTTAAACTGTTGGATCTTGTTTGATTCAGCAAGGTCATTTTATTCTCCCTCAGCTGAAGGCAACAGTCTAAGTCTGATGGAGAAGCTAGCCCAGCTCTGCGTCCAGCAGTCCTCTGGCACCCTCTCCAAGACCCAGCTCCTTGGCGCCACTTCCGAATCCCCAAGGACTGCCACTGCCACTTGTAAGACTGCCAAAGTCCAGAGAGACATGCCACCAGCGTCAGGCCGCAAGGTGGCCTGGGCTGAGGGAGCGACTAAACAGGACCGCAAGATGAGAGAAATGGGAACCAACATGGGGTAAGTTGTGCTGACCTTGAACCCAGCAAGATGCAGCGGTTACGTCTCAATAGTCCCAAGTGCTTTTAGTCCAACGAAACACTACTGTGTAGTTCCACTTGTTCAGGTAGACTGACCCTAACCCTAACACTAACCCTAATCCTACGAAAACAATTCACACACATTCCTATGTGATTTGTTTTCGTTTGCTGAAAGAACACTTACGTTCTTGTGATCCGTGGACAGAACTTTCAAACGGTGGTTATGTTTAAAATTCCATAACTTGAAAAGTACATGAGTTATTTGAATGATTATTGTACTCAACCTGTAGTGCTTTACCATTAAAGACATTTTCAGAATCGGCAGTTTTTGCTGCAGCTTGGGTATATGCTGCTGTGGTAAATGCAACATGGATATAATTTTACGCTAAATTTATCTTCAATAATTGCAAACCCTGACATTATTTTTGTTTCCCCCTCCCACAGAATGGATGATCCAGTGTACAGGCACAAAACAACAACATCCATTGGTGTGTCAACTCAAAACAGGCCCCCAATGGAACATTCCACTCACAGCATAGGGATAGGGACAAGTTCCAGCAAAAAAGAGAGAACAGAGACTGTGTTTCTGGATCTTCGAGAGACCACAGTAGCTAAGAAAGTGGAGGTAAGGAGTTCTCTTCATACTTTAATATCGTAAATTTGCTTTTTAATGCCATGGATGAGTTTTAGCATTTGGGACCTGCACGGTTGGGTCTTGGTTTTTGAAATGACATGATGGGTTCTATTGTTTTAAACAACAATATAATGAGTATATGATACTTTCTGTTTCATTAGGTTCCAGACGTTGTACCAGAATCTGTGAAGAGAATTCTGAAGCTGAATTCACCTGGGTGAGTCAGCTTTGCCTATTGGATCTCAAATGTCGGAGAGAATTCCATACTGAGCCACTACTCAGACCTCCTGCACTAAGTCTATGGGCCATGACAGAAAAAGTATAAGTATTTTAAGAATTTTTGCACTCCTTAAATAATGTTTCTTCATTAGATTTACAACTTTTGGTATTTTTCAGATCATATTAGGGAATGTGAGTGGTGGCCCAGTATGGAACTCTCTCCCAAATGTCTGGATTTAAGAAGTCTGTGAATATACCATATGGAAAGAGAAATACTTGGACAAGAACCAGAGGTGCAGTTAAAGCTGCAGCTCATAGACACATGTATTGTGCAAGGTTCCACCTGGTTGTTTGAGTATTCCATCTCGTTGGGAAATTTGAAATACTTTAGAAGTGACTTTCATACTTTTACTGTTCATGTAAAATTGAGTGAACATAGAAAATTGGCAGGATTTGAACAAAATGGACATAATTTGCCACTGCTTTTGTGCTGAAGGTTTCTTAACATCGTCTAACTTTGATCGCACAGGTCTCACTTTACTTTATGAAGCCCATTATTAAACTAGGTGTTGATTTGTTCAGGGGCAGTGAGTCTGATGGAAGCCAGAGCAGCGATGATGAAGAGGAGGACCTGCAAGCGTGGAGAGAGAACAGAAAGAGAGGATTGAAGGGCTCCTCCCCGCCTCCCACCAAAGCCAAGAAAGGGTCAGTTGCTGACTTAACACGTCTTTGCTTTTACCAGGAAAATTACCCTACACATGTATATAGGGTCTGGTAATGATAAGCTCGCTGCAACGGACTGCTAATAGCTTATAACTCCCTAGGCCTTTTTGCTAGGATGTAGCCTCAATCTTGCAAAATCCTCCAATTGGCCTCGTGGAAAAATAGCATATATAGCCTCAATCCTGCAATTTCCTCCATTATTTCTTGAATGTGGTCCTTGGAGGGGTGACCACTGCCTGAATCCTGGAAAGTTCTCTTTGGCAATCACTGTCAATAGGCTGAGGCAGAGCCAGTGACATCCTGGAGCAGTGCGGAGGATTTCAAGTATAATGTTTCCCTAAATGTATGCATGGCTGAGCACAAACAACACAAGGTCCGGCCAAATACCTTGACAAAGTGCATCGTACAAAATCAGTAACACACTTTTGCCACATAACCTCATTCCTCCGAATTCCTCCACTTTGGCAAAGAGGATTTTGAAGGATTCAGGGCGGTTAGGGTTAAAGAGCGAGATTCAGTGTTCACAAGGGATTACATTGTTTGTGTCCATGAGCTGGATACTTCTCTTTAAGTAGTTTGAACCATGGACAAATCAAGTCTCCAACACACCAAATGGCGAATGTTATGTAACTTTTTTCTCAACTCTTCTCTCCCGCTTTATACAGAGTATCATCAAGAGCCACCCCACCACCCAGGGTGATCATGCCGAAAACCGACAAGGTAAGATCCAAAACAGAGGTAGAAAAGGAACAGTCAGGGACAAACATATATTATTGTATAGCAGTACAACAAACATTGAACAGTTGATCAGAAGATGACTTAGCTGTTGATCAATTCAGGGTTTCAATTTGTGCTGGCAGATGTGATAATCAGTGCCAATTATTTCATTCACAGAGAAAACAAAATTATTCTTCCTTACAAGTGCAGACTTCATGGCTGAAGATAATCACACTGCCAGACATGCCAGAAACACCGGGGCGAACCCCTTCTCTTAGCGATAAGTGTACTGGGTTCTTTAACGTGCATTTATACATTATACAACACACGGGAACTACGGCTTTACGTCCCATCTGAAGGACGAAGCAATAATGGTTAAGTGCCGTGCCCTTTTAAGTGTCTTTTAAGGGCACAAGTGTCCGCCCGGGCTCGAACCCACACCACTGTTGCCTCTGAAACACCAGAGCATGAGTCCGGTGTTCTTAACCGCTAGGCCATGACACTCCACAAGTCTTGGACTTCCTTCCCCCGTTCAACTTTAACAGTAACTTTTTGTGCTCTTGTTATGGTCTGTCTAGACACCAGCACCAGCAAGCCATGCCAAGACACCCCAAGACAAAGCCTCTCCAGCATCCCCTCCAGTGATCTCCAAGAAGACCCTAACCCTAATGGAGAAGACCCTTTCCGAGGCTCTCCCCGCCACGCCACCTCCCTCCCCAACCGTCACCACCGCAGCCGACAAGGCCCAGGAGCGAGAGCGGCTCCTCCAAGAGGAGATGCGGAGGAAGCTCCGGGAGCAGCGGGAGCAGGAGCGGGCAGCTAGGACCCGGCTGCAGAAGCGTCTGGAGGTCCTCCGGCCCCGCGTGTCTGCCTCCGGCAAAAGGCCCGCCGCAAGAACCACGCCAATCATCTATGACATGGTAAGTCTCATACATTAAACCACACATTTGCTTTTGCAACACATTGTATTCCTTCCCACTGAACCCATAATTCTATACAGAGCTTGGGCGTTTGGCGCAGCATAGAGACTAACAGACAGTTTTAGGAGGTGCAGGGACTAATAGGTTAAAGCCTGGTTCTAAGTAAATTTTATGGCCGAAAAAAATTGCAGTTAACTTCCATGAATTGCAGTATACTTCTCCCTGTGCCTTGACAAATAGTTTTCCAACCAGTGGGATGACTGGAATAACTTTGATTGTGTGTACATATATTGATGCAAGTATTACATGAACAAAGCAAAACACATATTACAGTGTATGATAGAAAGAAGTACATTGTTGAAGGGCAAAACCTAATATGGAGCATACATCACCCCAACTCAAATTCCATCTTTAATGTGAATAGTTAGGATGTGGTACCTGCTGCTATAAAAGATTCGAACCAACCAAAGCACGGTAGGCAAGTGGTTAGATGTCTGCACTGGTAAGGAGGAGGTTGTGGGTTCGAGGTCCCCCCCCCCCCCCCCCCCCCCCCCCCCCCCCCCCCCCCCGAGTAGTTTTGAGCTTTTTCATACCATCACTGGGGACGACATTGAGTATGTATACAGTATTTGGAAAATATTTCGGTAAAGGAAAAACAAATTGAACTTAACAATATGAGCCTGTCCACAAAATTCACTACTAATGGCATATATCTAATGATGAATTTCGTTCCAATTTTCTTTTGGTTTTTACATTAACTAGGAGGCCTCTTACACTACATCCCCTCACTGCCTGCCTTCCATCCTACGGCAGAATCATGACTGTGCCCTCCTAACAGTCCAACTATCTACGAGTGGTGAAATCATACCTCAGCGGTGTCCTGTCAGCAGCCGCTCACCCAGCGAGAGACGCATCTCCGTCACCTACCAGTTGCTTCTGTCCTGGCTGCTTTCCTTGGTCCCGCCAAGCTTCGATTACCTCTTAGAAGGCTTCAAAGTGGAGAAGCTTCCCAAGGCCGATTTGTTTCCATTCTGGGTGGTGGGGCTCCAGCAGGTGTACCAAGATGGCGGGCTGGTGTTGAATGTTGCGGTAACCCCAACCAATTTCAGTGAGGGCAAGCAACAGCTGCTGAAACGGAAGACCAAGGGTCTTGGAAAGGAGGGAACCAGGGACAGCACCTTATTCCAGTCCCACCTCTCCAAGTTCCTGACCATCAACACTTTACTGACTGTCTGTCCCTGGGTGGAGAACACCTTCGCCTGCGCCATCCGCCGGGACGGCGACATCACTGATGGCCGTGACCAGACCACTTACGACACAGTCCTGGAGGATGGATCCTATGTACCGTCCCTGCCGCACATCAGCTCCAAGCCATTGTCCATGCTGCTGACAGTCAATCAAGATCGGGCGTCAGTGCAAAAAGTCTTTGGGTCTGGGGAGGCTGCTTTCTTCTGGCAGACCATCGACTCAGATGAGGTCATCTCGGAGCAGACTTCCAGCGGGGAGTACGACAACTACACCGATGTCCAGAACACCATGAGCCTGGTCTACAAGTCTGTCTACAGCCATCCCACACATATGATGGGCTTCTTCTACCGTGTCCTTCAGGAAGGCCTGGATATTGCCGGAGTCCGCTTGCTCTACCACTCCGAGGAGATTTTGACAGCTGACCACAGCCCCAGGGCAGAAAGACGCAGAGAATTGGATGGCAGTCAGCTTCTGGAGCACATGAACAAGGTGGGCCCGATCCTGGCGATTGCTGTTCGTGGAGCGTTGGCTCGAACCCGCTGGCTGGACGCCATCGGGCCGTCAGACCCGCAGCTTGCTCGTCGCACCGATCCCCAGTCTCTTATCGCGCTCTTCGGCGGCCAGACTCGCGAGGAGGTCCCTATTTACTGTCCGCGCAATCCCAACAGGGTCAGCTATGAGCTGGCCCTTTGGTTTGGAGGACGGGTCCCGGAGAGTGGAGTGGTAGACGTCGGATCCACAGCTGCCTCCGCCTCCCAGCAGAGGCAGGAGAGGAAAGGCAGGAGAGGAAAGAAAGGATCTCAGTCTGACTTGGGTGATTGGGCTAAAGAAGGCCTGGAAGTCATAAGGTAAGGCACTTACACTTCTTCTTACTGAGTTATATTTTCCAGTGACTGGCTGATCATGCAGTGAGAAAGTGCCCAAACCAAACCCTGAATTATTTTTTTGTGAATCAGAGCTCCAAAGTCTCTCATTCTAGGAAAAATGTTACTAGACTTCAAGGTTGTTAGCTCAAACAAACAGTTACAATTACTTCTTGCCAAAATAGGAACAAACATTTGTACATGTAGCTGAAAGCACTGTTTTAAAGAAGAACATTCACCTGCATTGTTATAAAAGTAAAAAACAAATATTTTTTTGATTTGATCAAACGTTGAACATTTGTTTGCCTTCGATACAATGATCAGTTATGTGGAAAAACAACCTGACCAGCGGTCTCGATCAGCTGTTTAGCACCAGACCGATGCGTGATGCGTTACTCCCTGTACTGCCCCAAATCGCCCCCGCATTATTCCTGAGGGAATAAAAGCAATGTAATACAATGCTTTACGGGTTTTTATTGGTTCAATAAATTGACTTGGTACTGCAGGAAACCACCCTCAATGCTGGTAGCCACCACTCAGAGCGACGTTTTCCTGGTGGTCTCTCCCATCGTGCCACCAAACTGCATAGGATCCATCCTGTCGGCCTGCCAGACCAGGGGTTACCAGCTAAGGGGCATCCGCAGACTGCGTCTCAATAACAAGAGGGTTGCTGCGCTAGGTCTGTATTCAATTTTCCAGGGATTCAGAATGATGAAAATGGCAATAGTGGGTTATGTTGGCCCCTCAAAGTGCATCCCATGGCACTCACAAGTCCTCCAGCCTTCAATCCAACGGCAAGCCACAAACCTTCCTGTTGTTGTTATTCAAAATATATGATGCGATCACGCTAAATGAGTCGTTTGTCGGGAATTTTTATGTGGAGATACAGGCCAAAATAGGGCCACTTCATCACATCACTTCATTACATCTGTTGGTGTTCCGACTTCCATAATTTTTGAACTAAAGATGGTATCAGCATCTTGAAATCTGTTACCAATTTTTTTTTTTTTGGACCAGGGTCGACAAACGACTCATGTAGCTTGATCCCATCACATATAGGCCCTACCTGCTGACATGAATATATGTGCATGAGGCTGGTGTAATTGTATAGTTTTGTAGCCCCTCCCATTTCATTCATAAATGTCAAAGACCCTCCCTTCTCTCTGCCCATTTTGGCAGCATGAATATAAAAGTCCCTCTATTACCCCTCCTGTTTGAAATACATCAAAGTCACTCCTCTGTTTAGCCCCTCCCATTTTGCATAGATAGATATCAAAGTCCCTCCCTAGCCCCTCCCATCTTGCATAAATGGATATCAAAGTCCCTCCCGTAGCCCTTCTCATTTTGCATGTGGACATTTGAAAGCCCCTCCCATTTTGCAAACACGGCGCATCAAATCGCTCATTCACTGCCACATTTGACCAGGTCTGATGGGGGCACAAGTCCGCGCCTTCAACCCGCTGTCCTGCACCACGCCCACCTCCCCCGCCCAGCACTACGAGCAGAAGCTCAAGAAGCAGCTGGAGGCGGAGTTTCCCAAGGCCAACCCCTCCCCCATGCCCTCGCTGGTGGTGCTGCTGAGGAAGGAGAATGGCATGCATCATGGGGCGGGTCTGATGGAAGCAATGATGGTGTACATGTGCATGAAAGGTAAATCTAACCACCTTGGGTATTTAGCTAGAAAACTGTCTCAGGAAAAATTGGACAAATTTGCTTTTTTCAAACTTGTTTTAAACACTGATGGTGGCACATACGCATTGCTACTAGGGCTGGGCCAAATATATGAATATTCGATTATCCAACAAATATCTGAATAGCATGTTTACGATTCAATATTTGAAAAATGTGAGCGGTCTTGAGAAGATGATGAAAAATATTCGTGATGTAATTTGAATACTCAGGGGTGTGAAATCTCCACTAAATCTTTAGCAGATTTCCGCCTTTTTGTTGAGCGTGCCACATTTTATTTTCCGCTGTTTTTCTACCGATGGTCCAGATTTTCTCCCGCTTTTTTGGTTTGACTTAGTCATTTGTCAACCTTGCCGTCGGTCTTTTTTAGTGTAAAAGTACATTTATAACATTTTTATTGCATACTATGATTTTTAACAACTCAAAACCAACTGAAATTAATAGTATTTGTGATAAACAGTGGAAAAAAAACAAGTTAAAATTTACCTAAGTGTTTATTTGCACTTTTATTCAATATCACAAAAAAATTACCATTTTTGTAAGCATTTCCTATACAAAATAATGTCATTTGATGGAGATATATTTGGCCATAACTTTGGGTTGCACGGGTCAATTATGGCCATTTTGCCATCATTTGTTTTCTTTCTGGGTGGGCTTTACAATGAAAGCAATCTCTTAAACAAATAATACCATTTAAAAAAAGGTTCACTAGCCATAGGAATAAACTCACTGCCAGTTGTCGACACTGAGCAAGTATTTGTATAACTTGGTTGTCATGTTTCAAATATTTGGTAAAATCCTAGTTAGAACAATTGATTACTAAATTATTCAACGATGCACAGCAGTAATTGGTACTTGTGATGTTATTCAAAAGACAGATCTTCATTGTTACATTTTTAAAAGTCGAACACAATTTTTCCTGTCATTCCCATTCAGGCATGCTTACCACCATCAAAGAAAACAGCCCAACTGGTACCCTGACTGCCAACCTGTGCTTCCACATGGTGCCTTACTCAGAGTCCCTCCTTACCCACCTGGGTGGGGACCTGACTAGCCTTCCGAGCGGCAACCTCCTGCATTCTGGTCTGACGTCCCCAGCCGGTGGCTTTTACACCAACCCGGAGCTGGAGCAGGTGGTGGTGGTGACCATTTCCGGAACAAGCGCATTGAAGACGTTCGGCAACACCCTGAATAAACTGCTGGGCCTGTACCCATTTGTAAGTAACCCTACAGAGATGTTGTCAAGTCAGTCTTATGTTAGTCACAGGTTAGTCACAGGTTAGTCACAAGATAGTCACATGTCAATCACAAGGCAGTCACATGTCAATCACAAGGCAGTCACATGTCAATAACAAGGCAGTCACATGTCAATAACAAGGCAGTCACATGTCAATAACAAGGCAGTCACATGTCAATAACAAGGCAGTCACATGCCAATAACAAGGCAGTCACATGTCAGTCTTTATTAGATGTCATGCGTCAGTCACAAGTCATTCACAAGTCAGTCACAAGTCAGTCAAAAATAAGTCAGGGGGCAATCATGAGTCAATCACAAGTCAGTCAGTGGTCATGTCGCAAGATGGTCACAGGTCCGACACAAGTCAATTACTGGTCAATCACAAGGCATTCACAAGTTAGTCCAAGGTGCAGTCACAAGTCACATTATAAGTCTCACAAGGGGGTGACCTCGGGGACCAGGGCCCTGAAAAATGGTTGGCAACACCTGGAATTAACTTCTGGGGCTTTACCCACTAGAAAGATCCCTGTTACACAGAGTTGTAATAGATTTATCACAGTTCTGGTCAGAAGACTGGTCACAAGTCAAAACACGGGTCAATCAGACATAGTCAGAGGTCAGTCACAACTCAATCAGTAGTCATGTCACAAGACGGTTGTTAGGCAGTTCAGTCAATCATACGGCAATTACAGGTCAATTTCAAGACAGTGTCAAGTCAGTCCCAAGTCACTCACACATACATTGTATTTATTTAATAATGCTATAGACGTAGAATTCATCGGAGGTCTCCTCCAGTCTGTGTGTGGTTAGGCCAGTGCAAACAAAAATTGTCACTGCTTGCACGGTTTCATTGAGTCCTTTCCTGTTCTTGCAATGTTCAGAATCCACCCAACCAACCCCCTCCCTCCCCCACCTCCGCCATCGGTCAGGGTCTGGAGCTCCTGGGCATCAAGTGGCTAGCATCCCTGACTGCCTCCCAGGCCAAGGAACTCACTCCCTATGAGGTTGGGGATCGCTACTGGCAGGCCAGCGTGCAGGCCCTGACGTCCAACCCTGCCCTGGTCTGCGCCGTACGGGGGCTGAATGCTCTGCAGCTTGTACATTCCATCCTGGGTAGGTTACAGTCAAACTTCAATCTTGAGCCTTCAAAGATTTTTTGAGAGAAATTTAGATAAGTCCACTATAAGTATTGAGTCTTGCTTCTACAGTTTCAATGATATAAATGTCCCATGTAATTATGGACTGTTTTAAATGGGGTCCTTGAAATGCTTTGTTGTGTCCTATTTTCGGTCTTTGTATTGCCGGTTCTAAGGGCATTTCTTGCCATTTTGGATTGTGCGTGTATGCAGCAGTAAATTGTTGCTAAAGCATCCTTAGTTGCTGCAATATTTCAGTTTTAGAACTGTAGTTGATTACCTTGGGTTGTTGGTTTTAATGAACAAATTTTACAAACGTTTTCAATGGCATACATTGTTGGTTCCTATATTCACAGTAAAGTCTTAAGGCACATTAAAGAGTGTGTAACAAAAAGGGAAGACAGCAGCAATATTATGATGTTCATAAATTCAGAGTCGTGAATATGTGCAGAAACTGTTTTTCCATTATACTCATTTATAGCCCCTTTAAATGTTCACAGGTACCTCGCCAGTTACCGGTGCCCTGCCCGGCAAAGGCATCGCCAATCTAGAACGCATTGTATCTCTGTCGGCCGAGGCCGCCTTCCGGCAGGCCACCCTGTTCTTCCGCGACCAGGAGCTCTTTGCCGACCCCTCCATGCGGGTCAATCTGCCCTACCTGCCTCCGCTGCGAAGCCCCAGCCTGGAAGAGCTGTCCACGGCCCGCTTTGCCTGGGCCGACCAGGAGACCACGGAGGGGGGTTCTCTGTCGTCGCCGTCATCCAAGGGCAAAAAGGGGAAAGTGAAGGGCGGGACTAAGCAGCAAGGCAAGGGGATGCTGGTGGTGGAGGAGTCCATCTACAAAGCCATGCTAGTTGGTAAGATCCTTGGACTAGGCAAGTCTAGTAAAGCTGGTTCTAGAGTAGTCTAAGACACACTAATAGAGCTCCATCTATTTCATGGAGACCGGAAGGTCCATGCCACCCATGCGTAAAGCGCTCGCCTGTCACCAAGGTGACCACGGTTCAAATCCTGGCCGCGGATCGCATGTGAGTAGATTGGTGCGTTGGTTCTCTCCTGTGCCACAAGTGTTTTTCTCTGGGTCCTCCGGTTTTCCTCCCTCCGGAAAAATCAAACACTTTCGATCTCAGGCTGTGCTCCGTGGTCATATATGGGTCGATGTGGCAGGCAGCCATAGGCGCCTTTACGTGCCAGCGGCCCGACCACGTTGTAGCCGCGTCCTTCGCAATTCAGCATACCAGCTGCAAGTAAGGATGATTATCCTCCCAAATTATTAGTATTATTATTATTATAATTATTGTATTGTGCAAAATGCAGCGCTGTAAAAATGATGATCTTGGGGATGGTGAATAGAGCATAACAGATAGTTTCATTGACGGTGGCTGGAAGAAAATGACGATAATGTCTTGGACTTTCCACACTATAAAATTTTGTTCAGATCTAAAATAGGAGGCGGTGTCTGGAAATTTGGCACAAAGTTTATTGTACAAAAAATGCGTACATGTGTAACTCTGCGCGGCCCAGATTTTGGACACAGATTTTTTTTCCCAAAGGCCAGTTTCATCACTGTAATCAGCAACATTATGCAACAGAAACTTGGCATTTGGCATACAAGCTACATCACCCTATACGTATGTGCCATAGTAGACACTATGCAGGAACATGGATACAGTTCTTGAATGTACTAGCTTGTATGTAGCAGAGTACGCACAACCACTTGTCTCCTGTATATGGCACCTCTGCACAATAATCATAATTTCATTTTTATATTGCTACCTCTCGTATCAGGACCCCGACTGCTGACAACAGTGGCGGTGATCAAACCCCTGGCCGTCCGCAAGCATTTGTCCAAGATCCTGAAGCGGATAGCACAGCAGAACTTCACCTTGGTGGCCCTGAAGTTGACGGTCATCGGTGACAACGAGGCCAAGGAACTTGTCCCCAAGGATGACAAAGAGGTGCGTGTTGTTGGACCTTCTCATGACTTGGAAGTCAAGTAATAAACAGGAGTATTCTAATTTTGTTTTCCTCTTTCAATGATTTCTCCGAACACAAGGCAAAAAAAAAAAACCCTCAAAACTTGTTTGATTTGACTTGACTTTATTTCATCTCTTAATTTACATGAGAACAAAGGTAATTATAAGCAGATAATAAATACTACAGAGATGCGGAATCCATAAAAATGCTTAGCCTTTTGGGTATGGACCCTGTGAGTAACATACAGACAAATGGATTATAAGCACAACAACATGAATGTAACAGAAACCATGGTAACAAGGCAAACCCGATAAATGAACAAGAAATTTCAATAATATGTAGGTAGAAAAAAATAATAGAACAAAATCATCTACAAAATCAAGAAAAACACCTCTGATCAGTAGCTAAAAGTAAATAGTGACAAAGACTCAAAGTTGAACTAAACAACAGAAAATTGATTGCATTATAAAGTGAAAAGAAATCTTGAACAGTGGGAATCATAAAGGCAAGCGTCGAGTTTCTTGAACCCAGAGTATGTTTTTTTTTCTCGTGAATAAAACTTATTTGTGGTGTACATGTATAAATGTGCCTATTTATATTGTCAGAGATGAAACTTTTCCAATTTTAATCGGAAATCCAACTTTTTGGATTTTTCAACAAATTGTCCGATTTTTTTACAGTGTGTCCCACAAAATTTGATTTTGTAATGATTTTTTCACAAAATGACATTTTATTTCAATCATAATTTCGAAGAAATGTCGATGGAAAGTCGATGGAAATGGCACGTTAAAATCATCGCGAACGTAGTTTTAATCTCTTTCACCAGTCGTTATTGGAGTGTTTTAACGGAAGAAACACAGGCCATAACACTGATCGGAGCCTTCTCCGGCTGGACAAAAGGTTAAACATTGACAGGTGACATGGAAAATCACTGTGTCGCACGTGTGTGCGAATATGCAATGGTACAGCGTACGTACCGCACCATACCGTCCGCTAGCACATGGCCGGTCGGGAACGGTAGCCTTGTGAACGATCCAGTGGATAAAATCATTATGTTGTGCAATTTTCAGAGGTTTCAAATTTACAATTTCTACAAATGTAATGCTTTAAAAATCGTGATGATTATCTCGAGGATAGCGAAGAGAGCATTAGCGAAACATTTCACTGGCATTTGTTGGAAGAGAAAGACAATAATGCCTGATTTTTTCCCCCCACGTATGAATGCAAGTGGAGTAGTGGAGTTGTGTGGTTGAATCATGGACATGATTGAAGCACCATGAACAGTGCCCTTGTCTTTCGGACTTTTTCCTCAATTTTCTCAAGTAAGAAGTGAACTTCTTTATTGATGACTCCTTTACTCTAACCGTAATTCAGGCATTTTATGCAATGAAAACACTGACCATTTTTTTTTCATCGTAAAATTTTGTTTGAATCGAAAATAAAGTAGGAGTTGGTGTCCGGAAATTGGGCATGAAGTGTATTGTACATGCATGTACATGTGTGTAACTGCAGCGCGGCCCAGATTTCGGACACATATTTTTGTTCGGCTTATTTTCCGATTTTTTTTTGCCATATGCCAGTTTCATCTCTGTATTGTGCCTGTTGCTGTTGACTAGGATAAGATGCTGTGCGCCATGCATCAGGAGCATCTGACCTCCGGCCCGGTCCTGCTGCTGTGCCTGCAGAGAGAGAACGCCGTCCGTAAGCTCCTGGACCTGCTGGGACCGACCAACCCCCAGGATGCCCGACGGCAGAGCCAGTTCCTATGGAGGGGCATGTATGGAGCAGACCCCATCAATAATGGAATTCATGGTATGATGGTTTTTTTTGGAGGGCGGGGGCGGGGGGGGGGGGGGGGGGGGGGGGGGGATAAGAACACATTGTTTGTTTATTTGTTCCCCAAAGTGCAGTTTTGTTGAAGTCGGTCATTTTGCAGAGTTTCCTTATCATGAAAAACCTCAGCAAATTTGCCTAACATCGGCTAAGTGACTGGTCGAAAAGTAATGACACATCCCTGATATGGTGGACAGCCCCCCCCCCCAAAAAAAGTGTTTTTTAAATGTAAATGCTATTAGTAAATATCAGCCAAAGAACAGTCACAAACTTCACCACTGTCCTAGTATACAGTGCTTCTTGAAATGTTTTAAATACCAGACGATGCTAAATGCACCCACTCCTACTAGACTATCTCCTGAATTGTGGAGGGACCCGGAATCAGTATGTTACAGTTTGTCACCGATCCGATGGAGTCACGAATCCGCCCCATACTGGTATTTTAAACATAATCCGCCAAATTTCAAGACACACAACGGCACTGTTTGTTAATTAGGATAATTACACAAAGTGGCAAACGTGTGGCAACTCATATTTGCTTTTTCGACGAAGTGACGAATCCTCGTCTCTTTGATTTTACATTTTGTTATAGTACGTAATGTTGACAATTTGCATTTCAACAAAGTGACGAAAATGCATTCTATGCTTCATGCGGCGAATCTATAAAAATATACATGGCGCCTGCTGAATCTGTGTACAAACACATGCTACGTATGTGTGACGAATGTGTTCATGCTCTAATTTCTTTTCTTTTTTCCATTTTGATGAACTGCTGAATCTATTTAGTTATTATCTCCTTAATTACGCATGTTTTTTAAAATGAAAATAGAGACAAGGATTGGCTATTTAACTGTTGGGCAATTGCATCAATTATATCTTTCCAATTTTTGGGGGAGAAATGTATACAAAATTAAACGCAATTTCAAAAATCAACCAACTTGAAATGTGATTTTCTCAAACCTTGGTTTTGCTGTAGTGCGGTCAGAATTGTCACTTCGTCAAAATGGTGTCAGTTTCTGTGCCCTTCCTAGTTTGACAACTTATTCTCATTCTTAAAAGTTACCATGCCACAGTTAGCAGTCATCATCATCATCAGGCTGTGGTCATCCATTGTTGGATGAAGCCCTCCTCAAGCAGTTTCCATTCTCTTCTGTTTGTCATTCTACTCCATGTTGCCGTGTTCATATATGTGGTGATTTCATCTCTCCATCTCCTTTGTCTACCTCTTCTTCTTCTGCCTGTCCTTGGTTGCCATTCTGTGAGTCTCTTGGTCCATCTGTTGTCTTGTCTTCTTGCTGAGTGCCCTGCCCATCTCCATTTCATTTCCTTGATCTTCTCTATCTTTGACCTTTGTTTTTTGTCTTATGAAGGTATGTCTGATTTTGTCCCATAATGATAGATTGAGCATTCTCCTTTCCATGGCTCTCTGTGTTGTTGTCAATTTTTGTTCCATCTCTTTGGTTGTTGCCCATGTCTCTGCCCCATAAGTCATCGTTGTTAGGACACACTGGTTTCAAGTCCTTCTAAATGATATTGGAATTTCCTTGTCGGTTATTTGTTGTACCTTGCAAAACACCTCCATCCTCCCTTGATCCTACTTTGTACTTTTTCTCTCGTGGTGTCTTCCATCTTCAGTGTTTGGCCAAGGTATTTATAACTCTCCACTTATAACTCTCCACAGTTAGCAGTACCGCATGTGTATACCATTTTCTGTTCTAGGTTCTGAGAGCTACCAAGCAGCAGTCAACGAGCAAAAGTTTCTCTTCCCCGATGGCCTATGCTGCAGGGAGACTGCAGATCTACAGGCTGATAAGGTGAAAATAAATCATCGGTTTTTTTTTTCAACGAGTCTCAAAACTGAAAAAGAGAGCTTGGACGATTACATACGCTGTTTTTTTTTAAGTACAGGATAAAAAGCTTAGAATACTATTTGGCCCCAAGAGTGTTTAAAACTCATCAAACATTTCTAAACAGTTGTAAACACTAAAAAGCTATGTTGGCATAAATTTTAGTGTTTATGCAGTGTGAATATTACTTTACATCGCTGCAACCACCTCTTGACTTCCCAGCAACCTTGTTAAAGTGAAACATTTCTCATGGAATTTTGGAGATTTCTCAGGGAAATATCCAGGAAAACTCCGGGACTTTTGTTTTCATAAAGTGCTGGGAACCCAGAATATCGCTTTTGGACTTGAGGCCTAGTCAAGAGCTGCCAAGGAGAGTTTCCAAGAAAAAATGAACCTGAATCCCTCCAAGTCTGTTCAAGACTCGCTCTTAAATAATAGCAACTCAGTTATTGTGAGCCACGTCAAAGTACATGTATATACACTTTTAATAATAATAATAATACCAGAGTCTTGTATAGCGAACGTGTCTACCAACAATTAGGTACTCAAGGCGCTGGAAATTATGTCTATCATATTAAAGACAGGTACATAAAGTTTATGAGAAATATGAGACCCATTATGAAGCACCTTATAAGGTTTACAAGGTGGTGCGGTGCATATTGCAGCCACTGCCAGAAACACTGGGGTTTAAGCCCTTCTCTTAGCGATAAATGTTACTGGGTTCTTTTACACAACACACGGAGCCTATGGCTTTACGTCCCATCTGAAGGATAAAGCAATAACGGTAAAGTGCCTTGCTCAAGAACACAAGTACCATGTTCCCAAGGTTAGGATTCGAACTCATGTACCATGGCACGCGAGTCGAACACAGTACCTATTGGACCACAGCACCCCATACTCAGTATTGTCCCGAGTGATTGTGAGAGAGAATCACTCGGGTTGGACTTGAACCTCCTACCTACTAGTGCAGACGTCTTACCACTCGACCGCAGAGCTTGCCGGGGTCGGCTGGCTAGTTCGAATCTGATATAGCATCGGGTACTGCAACCAAACTATTCATAATATGGAATTTTGCCGAGGGGTGAAGTAAATTCAAAATTTGTTTCATATTTGTGTTCTTTTTATATTTTTATTCTTGCACTCTTGGTTTTTTTGTTTTTGATTCAGATCATCTGTCCAGCCAGAGACTCGGTCATGGGATACCAGCAGGCTGGCCATCGACGCTTTGTCACCAAGCCATACCCAGTCAGAACGGATTCTAACGACAGCCTACTGTCTCCCGTCACCAGTACACATTCCTTGACTTCCATAGGCTCAGGTACAAAAACAGGCTCAAATAATGTACCATCTGAACGTATGCGACTTCAGGCAAACGTGAATGTATAAGTGGTTCGCTAGTCAACGATTTTAAGAAGCATTGTATAGACAGTGTCTCTTACAGAACTTGAGAGACAACAATTCACAAAGCTTTATGAGTGGGCCTTCAAGCCGTGACAGCCTTCTTACTAATGCAGCAATTGTACCACTGAGCCAAATGCGATGAACTAACTGGTTCCAGGTCTGTTGTTCCCCAGGAGAATTTTAAAAGGTTATTAAGTAAGTTTGTTGTTTTACTGTGGACTGGGGATGCCTCATTCTCTACTGAAGCCACAGTGAAAGGCATCATGACGTGAGCACTCCTCTTAAGACCAACCCGACCAACCATATAGGCCACTCGACCAACCATATAGGCCACTCGGGTTGGGACGCACCATTTTAGAAAGTCTGCCCTGGGGATTAATTTATCAGCACTTATCATTTAATTCGTTCCATAAAAGAGTGAAGGTCACTCTGTCTGAGAGATTTCAAGCATAATATTTCGTTGCTAAATTCAATCTGTCAGCCGACAAAAGTGTTATCATAATAACGTACCTGAAATGTTGACTTGTTTCATATGGTGATCTGTAAAAATCGATAAATAAATGGCAGAGAACGATCTTTTACTGCTATGCTAGCATAAACCACAATCACCAGAAAGTATAGTTCAAGAAAACAGGTCGTAATTCATTTAACCTTCAAGTGATTATCTCTGTGGGACAGTGGAGCAGTGAAGGGAGCTTTGTTTACTTAAGGACCCCCCCACAGAGGTCCAACGTGGTGTGTGGAACTAGCCACTTTCTTAAGAAGGCCGTTTTCGTCATGTGTAGGATCTTTTGCATTGATCCCAAAGGAAGCCTACCAAATTATTAAGTGTTGCATGTTGCTGCGTTCAGCAGGGTTTCAAGCCACAATACCTAGGTGTTAGGGTAAATACATTTCAAACCTCTAAAGGGCAATTTAATTCGGACGTACATGTCAGACACTTCAATGAGTTACTTTTGGAAAAGTAAATGTTATACATCACTAATGTGACATGTAATGAGTACAAAACAGTATAGACCAAACAAAGGTACCACAATACAGAACAAGCTAAGGTACCACCACCTTAACATCATGTGCAAAGAACCTTGTACACCATGTGGTCGGACGTACGCAGAGAATTTGATTTTACGGAATTGCCCTGAAACCAAACCGTTATCATCCCCAGGTTCAAGCACCAGCTCGACAGACCTCCTCCTGCCCTCCCACAGCGCCCTCTGCCAGACCAACTGTCTCCTGCTGACACCGCCTCTCCTGCTGACCAAGGTCAAAGGTTATTACCGGGGTCACATTGAGGTCGTGGATGCACTGCTGGTGCACGGCTTCACCATTGTCGGTATGCGGATGGTGTGGTTCAATGAGGATCAGGCTCAGGAGTACAGCGGCGTCTATACCAAGGCCTTCCCCAGTTTGGTGTGTTTTTAGGCATTTTTCCCTTTACTTTTGTTTTTAGGCCTTCTATTGAGGGGGTAGTTTTCTGGCATTTTCTTCTGTCTTCAGTGTATCTTGTTGAAGCTCTCTGTTTCTTTTTTTTTTGTCCTTGGCTATTTTCTGTGTAGTATTTTATTTTTTTTCATAAAGCAGGAAGAGAAACTTGTTCAAAGACAGGGAAATTATTTTTCAAAGATATTGAAAAAATTTGGAAACCCGCCAACATTTGTCTGGTAATCTGGAGGGTACAGGTTCAAATGCTGCTCTGTTCAGTTTCTTTGTTCAACTGTATAATTATTACTTTTTCGGTTTGTGATTTTCATTTTTGTTTTGATTTTTGTCAGCGATATTGTGAGGGGGGAAAAATGTTGTCATGTCCATAATTTCGAGGGTCAATCTGTTGTGTTATCTTTCAGAGAGTATTCCTAATTATGTTTACATTTCAGCCCAAGATTCTTTGTCACGGGCCCAGCATTGTGGTCGCTGTGCAGAGAGACAACGCTGTCAGCTGCTTTGATGCTCTTTTGGGAAGGTTGGTGATTTGTTCTATTGTCAAGAACCTGTAGTTCAATACATGTCCTTATGAAATCTGCTGCTGATAAGAGAGAATCATTTGAATGTTTAAATGGCAAACTTTCTTGACAACTACCAGAAGCACTGGGCAAACTGTACTTTTCATAAAATTTTGCTTATCAACAAATGTTAATTTGTGATTGTATTGATTTTTGTTTTGGTCTTCTTTTGATGCAGCTGTTTTGACAAGGAGTCTGTCATCAGTAAATACGGAGAGCACATCCTCAGACCCAAAGATCCCAAAGAGGTAGGCTCCAAAAAATGGCAAAAGGGTAAAGTTAAAGGGGACGAACCTGTGTTCACAGGAACGGAGTGCCCATCTCTCTTTCATTAGCGATTGGGCCAGACTCATATGCTGCTGTGGGGGGATCGCCACACCTCCTCCACAGCGAGTCTGTTACCTTCCCAGCATTGAATAATACCGGTACCCATTTAACACCTGGGTTGAGAGGAGTAATTGAGGTAGAGTGCCTTACTCAAGGGCACAACACGCATGGCCGGCGGGGCTCGAACCCACAACCTCAGGATCATGAATCCTGTGCTCTACCGATAGACCACACCTGCCCGCAAATGGTAACCCTCTTTGTCACTGTACTGCCCCAAACGGCCCTTCTTATTACTCACTGTAGCACCCAAAATTGTGAGTAAATGCGTTGTAGACCCCAACGTGGTGATAGCAAAAGTATTCCATTTCTTCTTACAGGCATCAAGGCATTTAGAGTTCTTCTTCAACGAGCTTGTTCCGCGAAGCCAGGGTGAAATCGTCCCCTGTTGATGTCAGTAAGTTGGACCACAGTTCCTCAAGTTGAATTTGTTTTTCAAGTATTTGAAATTGAAATTCTGTTTTTCAAGATGTTGAAACAGTTTCTTTTTTTTTGTAAATAATAGACCAAGTGCAAAGGTTGTATAAGATGAATGTATATGTTGGTTTTGTTCACACCGTCTTTCATTACATTAAGTGCTATAAATTATATTAAAAAAAAGATTGATATTTCTGTGTTGTATTGAGCAAGAGTTGTATAAGCTATTTCCGTCCTTGATTTGAACATAACACACCAAGTTGTTCTGAATGCTTAAATTTGGATTTATATATTACAGATGTATAATATTCAGGTACTGCCTATTCAGCGAAAAAAAGTATTGTATAGTTTCATATAGTGGTTACTGAAAAGAGTTTTCAAATTCTACGTATGTATTGTGTTTGAATAGTTAATACTATTCAATAAAGAAGAAAGTGTTCTACGTTGCAAACATAATTCCTAATTGCACCACTATTGACAAAAGGTTTGTGTTTTTTTTTTTTTTTTTTTTTTTTTTTATGGCATGATAGGCAATGCATCCTTCCGTCCAAGTGTCCTTAACCTAAAAGTGCTGTGACTGTTTTGAATCTGTCTTTTGACCAAGACTTGTGTGCCTTAAAATGAAAGAGTCAGTTCAACCATTGGTTAAATGCTCTACTTTTAATAATCTTCTCAGCTTTGAAAAACTGTGTACATACATTTCTCTTTATTGTTACACAAAAAGTCAGCATTATAAATTATATTATCAAATGAACCACAAAGGGAAACTGACTAGGTGTATTACAATAATGTTTAAAGTTCAACAAACAAATTGACTGGAGCGTGGTTTGAACCTACGACTTCCGGGTTACTGTTCCAGTGCTCTACCAACTAAGCTATCCGGCCCTATGTTGGGGGTTCCCTAATTCATCAATGTCTTTGGTAATGGGGTGCCACTCAGAAGCCATAAACCCGTTTATGCCATGCAGCCAGGGATCATGCCCAAAGTCACGATGCAGACCTGGCAAGTAGCAAACGGGGATCATTCAGAGAGGATAAGGCTTGTTTATTACAAATGTTCAAATGACAAGCGCCCCTTGAACAACAATATTGAGGAATCGCCAACATAAGGCTCATAGCTCAGTTGGTAGAGCACCGGAACGGTAACTCGGAGGCCGCAGTTTCAAACCCGTGCCAGTCAATTTCTTCGTTCAACTTTAAAAGGCTCATTATGAATTAGTTCAAATTATTTGCTTAAGTTGCACATGATTCTCCTATTGCCTCCCAAAAGGAGTGAAATTTGTCAGTTTTCCAGATTTTTTTGTTAAAGAATTGTTAAAGAATCCCTTTTGATATCTGGAATTTCTGGGGGTTTCAAGTGTTTTTACCTGTACAAGCATATACAGAACAAAAGAAGTGGGTATTGTATTATTATAGGTCTCGTTCAAATGACGTCATTTCCTACAGACCTGCCACGTGCATCGTCATTTTGAGCGTCAACTTGCATAACGCACATCGGCTGCGTCGTATTTCGAACACATTTCGAGCAACAAGCGCACATGTTTGGAACATTTTATACACTGCGCATTGCGTGCTTGATTGCGTAAAATACGTAGTTGCAGTTCTCCTACAGAGATGGCCGTCATTGAACGAGCCCTATAGGCAAATACAAACATACACCATAGACCCTACATGGCTCTGGGGCACTCGGTGACCCGCAAACCTTCTGCTGATTATTTTTGTAGATTAATTTGTTTTGTTTAACATTAATCTCACGTACAGTAACGATGCCTTGGTTACATGTACCCGGTAGGAATGGCTCAGGGTGTGCATGAGAAGCATTGTACCAGAGTTGCAGATCCTCACAAGTCAATCACAAGTCAATCACAAGTCAATCAGTCTCAAGTCAACTCACAAGCTAATTAAATGAACTGTGGCAGAGGCATTCCTTGGTCATTGTTTCATTCTCTAGATCTGTTCCTTGTGACTGGACTTGTTGCTCACTTTGTGATGGATTTGGAAACAACACTGGTATCTGCCAGAATACTGCATAAATGTCAATATTACATGTCATATACATAATACCCCTGATGAGATCATGGTGATACCTAGAGTCCATACATACACCAGTGGTTTTAATTCGGGCGAGACGCAATGCAGTGTGCCACCAAGAGTTTGCCACGGAGAGTTCATTTTTCCCAGTGCATTGTGGGAGACGGTCGACAAATTCGCAGCGCGGGACATTTGAAATTGTTGGTTTTTCCGGCCAGAAAGTTTGTAAAAGTATGATTCGAATATATGTTTGCTCTTTTCTTTTCATTTTATCAATATGGTGATTTTTGTAAGGCGGCAGAACGCTATGCCCCAATCTATAACAAATTAGCTCATGTTGTCCACTGACACTCGCTCAAATGGGCCATGTTGTGTCAACCGTAAACTTGAAAAATGAACTCTCCATGGCAAACTCTTGGTGGCGCACTGCATTGTGAATCGCCCGAATTCATGAGTTACAGATCTTTAATTGTTACGGGGTTATACCATTATATATAATTGTAGAAATAAAAGGCTGAGGGAGGTTCACTATTACATGTATGTCATGGACTATGTGCCTTACAAAATGCCTTATGCTGGCACTTTTTGAATGGAATGGCAGATTTGCTTCCTTGCTTTTTTTTGTCTTCAATGTAAATAGAATGAAACATTAGGCCCCGCCCACTCTGCATGTTCCAACTGCACGCATCATGCGCACGTGCACGCATGTAGGACTTTTGTGGATGTTAATCGTGGCCGTGATTGGTCAAAATACCGTTGGGGCGGGGCTTGATGGGTGGGTCTATGGCACTGAAACCAAATAGCTTTCAAAAAGCCATATTAAGTTACGACCATTCAAATCAATTAATGTTCCGATCTTCTTCTAGAATAAACAAAACATTTTTTAAATCCGTCTGCTAATCAGTATTAATTGTTTTTTCTTACAAAGAAACTAACTTTAAGAGAAAAAAAATAGAAATTCGTAAATTTTAGAATGTTACTTTTTGAATTTTTTGAGAAGTGTTTAAAAAAATCTTTATTTGAGCGGGGAAAAAAGAGTAGACTCCTTAACGAAAAAGATTTGGCATCACAACGAAGGCATTTTGTGCAAACTCTTCAACCTTTCACCAAAAGTAAGGTATGGCGGAAGAGAGAAATCCTTAATGGGATTTTTACAAGAACCATTTTTGATACTGAAACTTGAAGTGTTCCATAAAAGTATCATCAAAATATATAAGTCTGGGGAATTTAGTGTTATGTTTTTCAAATGAAAATTTGAATAGTTTTGTCCAAAGCCATGGATATTTTAAACAGTGAAAATGAAATACATTAAAATTGTTAATGTCGACAATTTATTATTTATAATTGGAACTTTCCGTTTGAGACTGAAAAAAATATTGTTTTGCCGAGAATTTTCAAAAACTTGAGAATGAGCTGTCCCAGAAATTTGACTATTTTCTTTTTAAATTAATAAGATTTGCATTGTAAAAGTGAATGTGTTGAAAGTTTGACAGTTGATTCTTTTAAATCAGTTCTTACGAATGTTATTAGAAGAGCAAAATGAATTCCTTTACTACAAGAAATTAATTTCGTTTTCCAAACTGATTTGAAATCAATGTTGTGGATATTATATGTTTCCCATTTACTAATTGTAATAGTGTAGGTTTTCCTGGCTATTTTAAAACATTTGTTCATTCAAATTCACCAAATTTAACATTCAATTTCGTCCGAGAAAAAAATTCACACGCTTTTACCAAAACAATTTAGTCATTTGCCATTCAGTTTCAAAGTTTGGTCAATCAATTTAAAACTTGTATACAGTAAATTAGTCAGGTGTGCTCTAAAGCATTTTCCTTGTGTCTCCAAGCACAATTTGGCACATTCGCTCGCACGATATATGGACCTCGCACGATATACCACTACACCGTTTCCAATCTTCAAATGTATAATATGTCCATCGACATCGATGTAATTTAGTGCACTTCCAATGTTTAATTTCGTCTTTTGTCAGACAATTTCAAATTCAGTTCAAGCAAATTCAAACAATGAGCACACGTTTTCGTCCCAGAGTATTCAATTTCGTCTCGTCTACGCCAAACCTTGTTACTCAGAAATCAAATTCGTCTAATTGATTTATTCAAGACGAATTTGATCTCTGAATGCTGCAATTCGGCAACGGCCTAAAAGACTTTGATCTGTGATGACGAATATTCTCGGCTCAATGACTAAAGAGGGTGGCCAAACTTTAAAATTGAATGGTAAATGACTAATTGATTTTGATAGAAGCGTGTGATTTTATTTTTAATTTTTTTTTACAAAATTGAACATTAGAGTCGGTGAGTTTGAATGAAAAATCGTTCAAAATAGCCGGGAAAACCTATATTCAATGTGATACTTTACTTCTATTGGATGGATAGAAAATATTCCTTTTTTTTTCAGACGGTTGCAGACGGTTTGTTTTGTTGGAGTAAAACATAAAAAAAAGTTTAAAATGTATTAAGAAAGGGGAAAAATCGAGTTTTTTAAAGAACACGGGTAGCACAACTTTAATGTTATCTACAGTGTCTGTTGTTACCGACCTCAGTTCGTTTTACAAAGCAATAAAATGAAATGTTTTCTTATGTTTTACTTTATTTATTTAGCATTTTTGTTTCAGCTAGATAGCAGTTAATGAACATGATTTACCGGAACAAGACAAATATGCACTACGTTGATGTTAGGTACTATGCTAAGAGAAATCTATTGTAAGAAAGCGGTAGTGCAATCTTTGCCCGAAGTGTTATCTTTATCCCCCTGAAAATCGTGAGGATGATGTTCAAGACTTTTTATTTAGGACTGTTTTGTGTTGTTCCACAAGTTGCTATGTTGAATTACTTATTCACGTATTCTTTCCAAGTGACATGTGTTGAATAGTGGCTTTGATCTACATGTAGCTGCACTACCTCCTGTTGAGAAAACTTCGTACATAGTTTTTAAGAGGGCGTCTTTTTTATTTTTGTGATTTTCATTTTTTTTTTTCTTCTTTTTTTTTGGCCGCTAAAGTGGGCCAGTCTTTTTTTCTGACTCTTTGAAAGACTCTGGTCCAGCTTAGGTTTTTGGTCAAACTATGATTTCTGTTTTATCGAAGGGTAACCCTGAAGTTTTTCACAAAGTGAAATTCAGTTTGTTTGTTTTTACACAAAGTGAAATTCAGCTTGTTTGATTTTATGAATCTTTCCGGGATGAAAGTACGAAAGACGCATAAAGCGTCCGGTATTGTTTGTATATTTTGTATAATATTTGCCATGTTCATTTTTAATTGTATGATTTTTGTTTCGAGTTTGTATTTTTGTTTTGTTATTCAGATATTGTTTTCCTGCTTTTTTGGAAATAAAGTTTGTTCATGCAGACTGACTTCAAATGTTGTGTTTTTATTTTCTATCCGCTCCGTTCACAAGTACCCCCTCACCGGCAAAGAAAGTACAGTTGGGGGTGACCGACCGACGCCATCTTGCCTGACTGCAATTTTGCAACGACGCGCGGCCGCACCACTGCGTGTACATAGTTCAAATCCCCTGGTGTACGTGCGTCACACACATGGTCACACACAAGGAACGGTGCGCGTCAACCAGCTAAACGTCCCGTGGGACGTCGTTGCTAGGTAAAAGGGCGCCCTCTTTCGTTGGCGCACGGAGCCCATATCGTAAAATCTTCTCTTCAGCTCGGGTGTTCAGGATTTGTGCACGATCACCTATTGAATTTTTTTTTTACCTGAATTCCTCCCGACGTTTCCTTTAAGCTGTACAATGCATGAACCTGTAACCTAAAGCAAACATCAAACCAAATTCTGAAGCGTGAATATTACAGTGACGTCATCCTAACGCGCTCATAGGCTTTGTGTCAAACTACAAGAGAATTAGAAGAGAAAAAAAACAGCAACTACGTTTAACTATACATGTACAAGCATGAACTATCAAGACAGGGTGAGTTAACACAAAAAAAGCGAAACCAAATTGTCGGGAATTCTTTTTAAGTGAAGTTCTGCATGTAGCACTTTCAAAATCTAGGATATGAAAGCTCAATTGATAAGCTTTCTTTTAGCACAAGAATCATTTAAATCACTAATGTACTTTTGGAGTTACGGAATTTTAAACACAACCACCGTTTAATTTCTATCCACGGATCACAAAAAAAGTGTGCGTTCGTTCAGCAAAACAATACAATTCACATACATCCCTATGTGATTTGTTTTCATTTTGCTGAAAGAACACTTACCTTCTATTGATCCGTGGACAGAACTTTAAAACGGTGGTTGTGTTTAAAATTCCGTAACTTCAAAGGTACATGAGTGATTTGCATGATTCTTGTACTAAAACAAAGCTTACGAATTGGGCTTTCTTTTTTTTTACTCACGCTGTATAATCATTCGTTTTCTTATCTTCTAAATTTAAAATCTGTTTGTTTGTTTGTTGTTTTTTTGCGTATAGAAACGTCGTTTGACCGTATATACCAGGGACTGTGCCGAGATTGTTTTTAATACAAAGCAGAACAAATAATATTAGCTCTCACACGGTTACATGCGCTTAACGTTTTGGGCGCAGAATGCACCCGACTAATTTCTGAGAAGTCACTCCCCCCAAACCTGTTACATGCCATAAAATGTTACAAGTGTTGTTGATCTGATCAACGTGAATGGAGAGTCGGGTAAATTATTCAAGGCGACATCCAAGCAACTCCATTCGCAGACAGTACATTTCATTACCAAGCGCAGTAAGCTCAATGCGCAGTACCGTCGCTATCACGCTTTCAGGGAACATGTTGGAGACCTGGCCAGCCCCATCCGTGTTGCCGGTGAACAACTGAAATGATAAAGAGTCCAAGGTGGAGAAAGTCTCACATTTGTTCATTGTATTAGACGAATGTGATTCGCGCAAACAAGGGCGGAGAGCGGGGGACGGGATGAAAGGTCCCCCATTGTCCTCTTTTTTTTTTTTGGGGGGGTGCCATTGTCGATGTTCCCCATTATGTTTTTATTACAAGTAAAACTAGATTTTAGCAAGGGTGTATAATTGTTTTCAAAATATTATGGCCACCATGTAACAACGCAGTGACATTACCGAGTACCCTTTGACAGGTTCCGACACGTGTGACCATGCGTACATTATAATGGATAGTTATTTGAACTGCGCCCTAAAGCCCCTGTCACACCTTTGCGTATCTTAATTCCTTATGAGTTCCTTATCAAACATTTTCAATACGCAGCTGTACGCTCAATTAACGTCGAAATGTTTTGATCACTTTGACTTATGTGCGACGCACATCTAGCGTACAAGTAACGAATTCAGCGCATCCATTGCGTATGAGATGCGTATGAGTTGCGTATGCAGTGCACAACATTATTTTTCGGGCTGCGAATAGGTCAGTATGCAGTGCGCATGCCGAGCGTATTCCGGACGCACCCGACTAATGACGACCGCATGCTTGACGCACTTCTGAGCGTATTCCAGCCGCATTTCCGCCGCTCGCCGTTCAGTGTGCGTTGCATCTGCGCTGCAAGTACGCTCATATGCTGACGGGGTGCGTCACGAACACTATAGCGTACTCGTAACGCACTCGACCGATGCGGGACCGATGCGCTGCGTATTTATAACTTATGACCTGCGTAACAGCGTACGCAGCGTAGTTTTGAGCATGCCCAAAACTATCCTGCGTACTGGGCCGTACCATGCGTATATCTGCGTACATAAAACCTACACAAAACGATAGAGGTGCATATGAGGTGCGTATTGTGCGTACGACTGCGTATGACAAAAATGTCAATGTGCAACTCATAAGGAATTAGGATACGCAGAAGTGTGACAGGGCCCTAAATTCGTAACTTATGAGAAACGCACAGATAACAACTCATACGCATCTCATACGCAATGGATGCGCTGCGATGCATTCGTTACTGGTATGCTAGATGTGCGTCGCACGTAAGTCAAAGTATTTCAAAAAAATCGATGTTTTGAGCGTACGGCTGCGTATTGAAAAATTTTGATAAGGAACTCATAAGGAATTAGGATACGCAAAAGTGTGACAGGGGCTTTAGATAAGGTGGTGTGCAGCAAACCCCTCCCGACCCCCCCCCCCCCCAAAAAAAATTGTATAGGTTCCGGTGTGGCAGGTAATTCTGTCCCCCCTGGTAAATGTGTCCCCCTGGACAGATCTACCGGGTCGTGACCCGGTAAATCTGTCCGGGGGACACTTTTACCTAGGTAAACCTGTCCCCCTCTAGGTAAATCTGTCCCCCTGCACGACGTTAAATGTGTCCCCCCTGGTAAATGTGTCCCCGTGCAACGTCACAAGTCTAGCACCCAGACTGTATATTAGTGAAGTTATTCACTGTTTTTGCGCGGCGCCTTGCTAAATTCGGGAATGGTGCTTACGTCAAAGCACAACTCCCGTTTGGATGACGACTTCAGGAGCGAACGATTTGCATGGTGGGCTTGCGCGCAAGTGTACCGCACCTACGGGCCGCGCCAGGGCCGCGGCCGGGGACGGGGACAACAGTGCACCAGCAGCAGGCCTGCGACGCGGTGACCCGTGTCGCGTATAATTTTGCCAATTCTCCTCATTGAAGTCCGCCATGACAGTCACACGTGTATCGGCGGCTAATGCGCGTGCGCGCGCTAGCGATAGGTTGAGTATTACTACGCGTGCCTTCTTGCAGAAACATAGATCGGTTGATTAACATCTAAACGTTAATTTCATTTTGATAATTATTGATGAAGGCTGGAAAAATCTAAACATGTATACCTGTGCGCTGAATTTATTATAATAACATCAATATAACAACTTATGCGTGCAAAACCAGGGGGGACAGAATTAACTGGAGGGGACAGAATTACCTGGAGGGGGACAGAATTAACGGGACAGGGGGGACACTTTTACCTAGGTAATTCTGTCCCCCCGGACACTTTTACCGGGGGACAGAATTACCGTCCACACCGGCAAAGTTTGACCATTGACGGGGTATTTGTGAGGTGTATAGCCAGAGCAGGCTGTGATATTTACCTCAATCTCTCCGCTCGCATCTCTCACGTAGTCAAAGTCACACTGGGGCTGCTTCTTGTACGCCACCTTGTACTGCGTTGTATACTCCCACATTAAGCGGCAACCCTGAGTGGTGACGCCTGACACCACTGTCCTCTCAGCCAGATCCACCTCGATCCAGGGATTGACGTGGGCACTGTGCGCGGAGTGACGAGGATGAGGAACAATAAAGTTACCACAATTTTTATGTAAAACGGCTCGTGAGGCCGGAAGTAGACCGGAAACATGACCCCATGTGTATAACATCGTGCTTCTAAGGCCCCAAAAAAGTCTCCGGTTGCTGGTATGGAGCTTGCCCCAAATATGTTTTTTTTCTTTCTTTCTTTCTCTTCAAATGTTGGCTGATGACTACAATCATGGTGCCCGACTAAATGTAGTGCAAAATGCATTGAAGCCCAGAGAGGCCACATAAAGCTTATACTCGATCGTAACCCCATCTAAAAACACGTTAAAATTGTGCAGCAGCAGGGTTCCAGTCAAACCAGTGAGTTTGGCGGTTTTGAGACATCATCTTACGTTGAAAAAAAACTTTTTTGCATGGCTACGGCGACGCGCGCATACCAGAAACCGGAGCCTTTTTTTTTGCCTAACATCTGATGGAGAAATGTGTGTCAGCCTAGTCTGGTTCTTCGACCAGACGATCCGTACTCTCATGGTAGATCGTATATTAAGCCCCTGTCACACTTTTGCGTATCCTAATTCCTTATGAGTTCCTTATCAAAAATTTTCAATACGCAGCCGTACGATCAAAAACGTCGAAGTTGTTTGATTACTTTGACTTATGTGCGACGCACATCTAGCGAACAAATAACGAATTCAGCGCATCCATTGCGTATGAGATGCGTATGAGTTGCGTATGCAGTGGGCAAGTTCGCTATCTGTGCGTTTCTCATAAGTTACGAATAAGTACAATGCGCTGCCCGCTCGCAGGACGAGCGGTACGAGTGAGACAGTACGGCCCTGTCACACGTCTGCGTACCCTAATTCCTTATGAGTTGCGCATTGACATTTTGTTCATACGCAGTCGTACGCACAATACGCACCTCATTTGTATCTATATCGTTTTGTGTAAGTTTTATGTACGCAGGCATACGCATGGTACGGCCCAGTCACTGATCTCTATATAAAGACTGGATAGCGGATATGCATACAACATTCACACAGTAGACTTTGCATATTGACCAATTCGCCCCCGGTCTCACGAAGATGGCCGCGTATAATACGAACGTTCTACGCGTAAATACGCGCGCGTTGTATCAACAGTTGACGCGCATTTTGGTCACGTACACATATTATGATGTTCTAAAAGGGACACATTTCCGAAGTGATTATTATTTTCAAAAACGCCGAAAAAGTGATTTGCGGCATTATAAAAGGAACCACAACGTTAGAAAAATTGTAGTAAACCTTGGTCAGTTGGTCAGTGGTGGTGGTCAAAATATAAGTCAAGTGAACCGCGACGTTACAAAAGAAATCATGCTGTCTATAAAGACGGCAACTTGTCCTTTGTAGATCACCAGCCGGTCTCACCAATATGGCGTCAAATTCGTACATTGTGCGGCTCTGTATTAGGCTGCATCCGAATCAACTGCCTAGAGCTAGGTCTAGGTCTGTGCCCTTTGAAAATACGCGGAGACGCGCTGACAATAGACGTAGCCGTAGCTCTGGAAGCCTGTTTCGGACACGGCCTATGCTATCCAGTCTTTATATAGAGATCAGTGGGCCCAGTACGCTGGATAGTTTTGGGCATGCACAAAACTACGCTGCGTACGCAGGTCATTAGTTATAAATACGCAGCGCATCGGTCCGGCATCGGTCGAGCGCGGTACGAGTACGCTATGTGTTCATGGGGGATAAGCCGTTCATACGCGGTAATACGCTGACCTCCTATATTGGACGTATACATAGCGTACTTGCAGCGCAGATACAACGCACGCTGAACGAACTCATATCGAATGCCGACCAACCTCGACTTACTGTACGGCTGTTTGCGGAAGTGTGTGTGGGGCGTACGTACATGCACACACAGCACACGCAAGGGTCGTTGAGGCTAACGGTATAGTACAACCACTGATCTCTATATAAAGACTGGATAGCGGATATGCATACAACATTCACACAGTAGACTTTGCATATTGACCAATTCGCCCCCGGTCTCACGAAGATGGCCGCGCATAATACGAACGTTCTACGCGTAAATACGCGCGCGTTGTATCAACAGTTGACGCGCATTTTGGTCACGTACACATATTATGATGTTCTACAAGGAACACATTTCCGTAGTGATTATTATTTCAAAAACGCCGAAAAAGTGATTTGCGGCATTATAAAAGTAACCACTACGTTAGAAAAATTGTAGTAAACCTTGGTCAGTTGGTCAGTGGTGGTGGCCAAAATATAAGTCAAGTGAGCCGCGACGTTACAAAAGAAATCATGCTGTCTATAAAGACGGCAACTTGTCCTTTGTAGATCACCAGCCGGTCTCACCAATATGGCGTCAAATTCGTACATTGTGCGGCTCTTTATTAGCTATCCAGTCTTTATAGAGATCAGTGAGTACAACTAGTGATTGTGTCGCGGCGCGCGCGGTGTGCGGTAGCGGGAACAAGCTCGTATGGGAACAAGCTGATAGCCTTGGTCAAGGCTAGGGAGCGCCCGGCGTGCAATCTTCGAAATGCGCACGCAATACGCTGTGAGTAGCCATTCAGCGCCATTTACGTCATCATCACAGCCAGGGGTTAGTGTAAGCGGGCAGCGCATTGTACTTATTCGTAACTTATGAGAAACGCACAAATAGCGAACTTGCGCCTGCATACGGAACTCATACGCATCTCATACGCAGTGGATGCGCTGAATGTGTTACTTGTTCGCTAGATGTGCGTCGCACATAAGTCAAAGTAATCAAAAAAAATCGACGTTTTTGATCGTACGGCTGCGAATTGAAAATTTTTGATAAGGAACTCATAAGGAATTGGGACACGCAAAAGTGTGACAGGGGCTTTAGGTCAGGTATAAGCGTCGCATTCAAAAACTAGAGCATGACGGAGTGAAAGCCCAGCCCTCGTTTTAGTGTCATAGGCATTTAATGGACACACAATTCTTATTCAGATACTGCCTACCTGTCCTTGACATTTAAACACCGGGAACACTGTACTGAGTACGTGTCGTGGCAGTACTTAGCTGACGATTTAGCGTTACAAAACGACATTACCCGTCGAAAAGCTAGACGGGTCCTGGAAGCACACCGCATGACCTTTTACTTGCAGGCCCTATACCGTACTTGATGGCGCAGAAAGCGAATTGGACAGCTTGAAGGATACTTTTGAAATTGGCAAGGAACTCCAGATGCATTTAGCTTGACTATAAGCTCGGTGTTTATCTAATGCATTGTTCTCCACAACAAAAGCCAAGATAGGCTTACGTTTTGTGAAAAGTGTTCCTTCCTCACTCCAGTTATTAAAAAGATAAAATAAGAAGAAGAGAAAAACGCTGACTGGGGTTCGAACTCGGATCATTCTGATTAGAAGTAGGGCTACCTCCAACCAGTCCACGAATCAGCTGCCAATCGTCGGTGATTTAAACACCATTATTAAGGGAATTAATGTGTGTTCCGTCGGTATTAAACGCTCTGTTTAAAACCGGTGTGAGTCTGGATGGATGATAATTACCCGAAGCGAAGCCGAGGGTAGTTATCACCCATCCAGACTCCCACCAGTTTTAAACAGAGTGTTTAATACCGACGGAACACATACTTTTTCCCATTCATAAATACCTTTTTGGTAAAAAAACCCAAATCATTTCCGTCCAAAAGTCAAAACAAGTTAAAAAACTAGACGTTGTTAACCATTTTGTCCAACAATTTTACTTCATGTTTTACGAAACACTCCTCTGACTATATTGGAACGCCCCTCCACAATGGCGTGCGCGTCGCGCATTTCACCTTTATGGTCGCGCGTTCTGCGCGATGTCGCGCAAAACGCAGCTGGGCTGGTGTAGTGAGAATTTTGGACCATGAAATACTAATTCACTTGTAGTACATTGCGCATGCATACGTGAGGAAGGTGAACGTTCAACCAATGAAACGTTAAAAGGCACCGGATTTCGTGGGAGTCCAAATTTCATGTGACATTGGAAAAGTGTTTAAGACCAGCCAGCCATGTCTTTATCATCCGTTTAAGACCGGCCACGTGACGGGCTCTCGACTATGGCACGCCAAAGCGGAATTAATTCAACCCTGCACGGCAACTGCCAACATTATGAAATACATCACAACTTTTTTGAAAAGTATGTCAACATTGTAAAATATATGTCAACATTTTAAAAAAGTATGTCAACATTTTAAAAAATATGTCAACATTGTACAAAATATGTCAACATTTAAAAAATATATGTCAACATTTTAAAAAATATATGTCAACATTTCAAAAACTTATGTCAACATTTAAAAAATATATGTCAACAATTTAAAAAATATATGTCAACATTTCAAAAACGTATGTCAACATTTGAAAAATATATGTCAACATTTTAAAAAATATATGTGAACATTTCAAAAACTTATGTCAACATTTAAAAAATATATGTCAATATTTTTAAAAAATATGTCAACATTCAAAAAAAAATATGTCAACATTTTAAAAATCTATGAATACAAGCTTTATCAAGATTCACGGACCAATGAGTTCGATTAACTCTAGCTCTCGGCGGAATGAGGTTGCAGCAGCTTTAGTCTGGTTCCAAATATTCCCTTAGGGGTGCACTGAACCAATTCAAGCCCCATTGAAAACAGTGTAAAATCAACAAAGTTCAGGGCCAAACAACATGCAAGCCGACATCACTGGGATTTCTCAAACAAAAATTAAATTATTGTCTTGTACTTCATTGTTTCATTTCTTTTCAATTTTGGGTAGATTAGCCGATTACATTTTTAAATATTCACACCAAAACAAAATCACCTCCCGAAAAGTGATAGTTCCCAAGCCTGCATGTAGCCGTTTTACAAGTGGCATCCTTCTACTTTCTCAGGCAAATAGGACCCATTTTTCAACCGTAACTTTATCAAGCCTGCCCTCAGACGGAAGCCCAAAAACCAGGGAGTTGATCCTTGGCTATATTTACACAATTCCACCGGGTTTTCTTAAAGCCAAACGGTCTCCGTTTTCAAAAGAAACTGTGGGGTCACTTTTTATGCTAATCAGCTCGAGTAGAGATTCTCACTTGAATTAGTTCACTGCACCCTCTTGGGTGGACTTGGTAGACTCCATAGCACCGCCCGAGGAAAAGTAAGCACAGCGGACACATGAGCATGTATCGTGCTCATGTAACGTGCACTGTAACGTGCTCAATTATCCGCCGCATTCACCCGGAGAATCCAGCACGCCGGAGAAGTGAGACCGTGACACCCGGTGCTAGCGCAGCATACTTCGCGCATGTACTCCGTCGTGGCGGTCACGTGAATGTTGGCATATATTTTTCATCGGGTAGTGTTGACACATATTTTTGGACGAAATTTTGACACGTATTTTAGGTGAACTTTGTCGCAGGATGGGTTGACACATATATTTGTCAACAAGTAGTAGGTAGTTTTGGCAATGTTGACATGTAATTCCTAGTTAATTAATCAGAACAAATATTTGTTTTTAAATGTTGACATATTTTTTTTAAATGTTGACATATATTTTTTAAATGTTGACATATATTTTTTAATGTTGACATAAGTTTTTTAAATGTTGACATATTTTTTTTTAAATCTTGACATTTTTTAAATGTTGACATACGTTTTTGAAATGTTGACATATATTTTTGAAATGTTGACATGTATTTTTTAAATGTTGACATACGTTTTTGAAATGTTGACATACGTTTTTGAAATGTTGACATATATTTTTTAAAATGTTGACATATATTTTTTTAATGTTGACATACGTTTTTGAAATGTTGAAATATTGTTTACAATGTTGACATATTTTTTACAATGTTGAGATACTTTTCAAAAAAGTTGTGATGTATTTCATAATGTTGGCAGTTGCCGTGCAGGGCTGAATAAATTCCGCTTTGGCGTGCCATACTCGACCCATAGGAATGCGTAATCTGTCTTAGGTATTTATAAATACTTGCTATAATTATATAACTTGTTCATAACGCAGTGAGGGCGCCCTCTTTTGATATTGTCCGACCTCGTTTGGGGGAAAAAATCGCTGCCGGGCTCCATTCACTAATATAAGCTTGGCTTCTGCGCGGCAGTGAAATGGCGTTTAGAACTGGCCTATCAGTTTGAAAGTGTGAAATAATACTTACAAAGTGGGTATCCACCCTTTACCGCTGTTCAGCCTCGCCTCTACACCTGTACCATAGAAGGCATCGAGAATACTAGACTCCCTGATGTGATCATCAGGGATCGTTCCGTTTTCAAGTCCCAGGGGCACCGGGCTCAAACAGTCAACTGTTGGTGGTAAACGAAGAAACAAATGAAAGGATTTATCTTCCCCCAAACATCTCACCCTTGACGTCATCAAATTCAATTGAGAATTGTCAATTTACATGTATAAAACCTGGAACCAGATGAATGTTGTCTTCCAAACGACAACATTTCAGGTGGAATACCACAGCGGGGAATTTAAACACCAGTCATGTCTTCACTTTGTGCAAGGTATTCGTCATGAAACTGGAAGGTAGACTTTGCCGGGTATTGGCAGACAATCCTATACGTGGTTGTAAACCTTGAAACACAGCTAGCTATATTTGCACCGTAACCGTGTGGTCTGGTAGGCCGAAGCGTAAACTTACCAGGTGGCGTGGGTCCCCTCCCTCCCGGACAACGCTCCCGTATCTCTTGCATGACTTGCTTCATCCAGTCATCCGGATTATCAGGATCAGGTTCCGGTGGGGGACCGAAGTAACACACCCTCGCCTTGCTCGACACACCATCCAAGAACACTTTGAAAGAAGACGAATTAATATCACAAATTAATATCGTGATAATAAGAAAAACTGTTCTTCTGAGACTGTTCTGTTTTTTGTTTGTTTTTGTTTTGTTGCAAATTGTTGAAGAGCCAAAATTCAAGAATTTTTGGAAATGTTTTGCAAACGAATAAGAGCGCATTAAAGACTGGCCTGGAATGGAGACAGAGCTGATTTTGGGGTCTTTAATTCAACTTCCTTTAACTGTAATCTTTCATCTTTGCATAAATCTGTTGGCGAACTAAACTGAACTGTGGCTTATATTTTGAATGACTGATGTACAATTATTGTGCATCGCTTACTAGAATTGGTTTTTGTAACTTTGAATATTACCAAATCAAAGAACGAACTCTAAGCCTATACCTGTCAGTGATAATAGCATCATAACCAACGCCACTGCTCCGTCCATCCTCATCGATGCACTGAGTGATAATAAGATCATCAGAGGACAAATAAAACCGCAACGCTCGCGCCTCAGCAGCTTCGCAGACCAAATTTTGACGTCATTGTCTTCCAGTCAGGGAGGAGAGATAGATTCTGGCGAGGAGCCAGACCTTTTTGATTGGCTGAGATTCATCGTGTGGGCGGGGCTTTGCTTCGACCGCGCTTGCATGCGTGGTATTGCGCGCGTAGTGGTCTCTGCATGCGGCTGAAATCGGTTAGGGGCCTAGGCAGAAGGTTGGCCTAAAAATTAAACGATAACCTTGACCGCAAGTCGGAGATGCTCAGGAAGCGATAAATTGGCAGATCCGCTTCACTTCGTGTAGCCTGAATTCTGTGAACACGTTGAAAACCTGCTCAACAATGAACCTTTCAAACCTTTCAGCCACCCATGGGCCCAGTATTGAGGTGAAATTGCAAGATATTAAAACTCGGAGTAAATCACATGTGGGGCGTGAAGCGAACCAGTTATTAAGTTAGCATGCAAACTGGAATGCTTTGTAATTTTAGACAGAAGACGTTAACCTACACAGTTACCGATCGAACAGGAATCGATATGATACATCGCTTCACGCGTACGTCCTGTAATAACTGCAAGAGCCCTAGCCCTGTATCGAGGCATGACCTAGATACGAAACCCTTACAAAAAAAAATACGCCCAGCAACGCATAAACAATTGCAATATGAAAATTGCAATTTTAACCTGAAGTAGTCGTCATTGCTTATCAAGCTAGAAGGTTTTTTTTTAATGTACATGGGCGTGCAAATTCAGGACCAGCGCTCTGACAATTCTATTGTGCCTTTCCTTCCCTTTTTGTTTTAAGATTACGACTTACAGATGAACTTGACTTTCCTCCTCCCGAGAAGCAGGCGAGCTAGCGAGGCTGGAGAATTGATGATGGGGAGCAGGGGGTTTAATGGACGGTGTTGACGGGAATGCAATGACTGCTTGATAAGCTGATAAAAAACATTCAAAGGCGTAAAGAGATGTGAAACATGTATTTGGTTTCTTTTTACATATTATTATTAATGTCAAAACCTCCGTTCCTGGAAAACGAAGTCGATAGAAACGCTTGGAAAATATGCCAAGGGGAAATTCTTCTTCACTTTTGGACAACTTTAGATATTGCCCAGCCCTCTCTTGATCCAAAAACATGTGGCAATCAAAACTAAAATGGGGACGAACAACGAGCGTATGCATAAATGTTGATACGAACAGCGTCACCAAGTGTTCGTTTTCTATCACCCACTGAGTGCATGGAATGTGCCCGCGCTGTTAATAACAGAGATTGCATTTCCTTCAACCCCAGATAATAATTTACGAATTCAAGAGGGGTTGAATAAATAACATCATCTAGTTTAGTATTAAAGAAAATTAGGCAATTTCTTTCGGGGGGGGGGCGATTCCTGAGCTCTCTCTCTACCCCCCCCCCCCCCCGTTTCCCCAATCCGCCAGTGCATCAAATTAAGCCACAAGCATCGTGTAATATAAGGTACTCGTGATACGTTCTCATACAAAGGAATGGGAACACAATCTACATGTGGGATTTGATGAGATATGAACCTAGGCCATTTGGTTGAAGGCCAGGAAAGCACTACAGTGCAAATTGTGTAGAAACTCAAAAGTGGGTAATATTAATAACAATGAAAAGACATCAACTTGGGACAATATTGATATTTTAGCATTATTAAAATATATTATTATTATATATTTTTTTATTATACCACTTGTATGTTATGAAAGCAAAATAAACGAAGTCATCACAACATTTTAACCTCACATCATAAAAATCATATAAAGTAGAAGTGCATAATTCATTGCCATAAACTGCAAAATAAAACTATTGGTGCAAAATTGAAAATTTGTTTTAAAGTAAGTAAACGTGGATGTATCCATACACACCACAGATTGACACTTGACGATCTGCTGTCACTAAACGTCATTACGGTATACAGCATCTTCAACTATTTCCTATTATGGTTTTAGCCTCTGAAGAAGGACTTGCTAAGTTCGCAACGTCAGGCCACATTAATTTTTCGATTTATATATTTCAGGTCCATCCAGTCAGTAAGCAGTTTGCAGCAGTCTTACTTTTTTTTCATGAATAGTATAATGTTCAGTATTTTGCGCACAGTTGGTTTGCAAACAATACAGTGCTCATTACATGAAAGAAGTTCATCAGGCTGGTAAAATTTCAACTTTGTAAATGAATTTTCTATCCACAGCCAATTACTTACGTAGTTTCGTTTACGTTTTGACTAATTTCACTAGTCATCCTCAGAACGAAGCACCACCAGTCGGTTGGTGGTGCTGTTTCCTGTTGCGGCCACTAGATGGTGGTCTGGCCGCGTGTGTCCTCCCCCGTGGTGGTACTTGGGGTATGAGGGGGTGCCATTATGTGTGACAGTTCATACCCTCCCTCATCTCTGTTAAGGTTGATCGTCGATCGTCTCCTTATCCATAGACTTCCCCGTATCCAACGTCTAAATTTGTCGCCCTCCCTGTGCAAAATTTCACTATCTGCCCAATTCACCACGTGATTGTTGTCTCTAGCGTGTTCTGTTATGGCCAATTTTGTCTCTTTCCCTACTCTTGATGTTAATAATAATAATACCGAAGTCTTATATAGCGCACGTATCTACCAACAATTAGGTACTCAAGGCGCTGGAAATTATGTCTATTATTGGAGACAGGTAAATGAAGTACATGAGAAATATGAGAACCATTATGTAGCACCTTTATAATGGTTTGCAAGATGCTGCGGCGCATTAAGCAGCCACTGTTTTTCTAGCCTTCGTCATGGTTGCGGATGTTAGCTTTTCTACTTCGGTCTTATGTTCTTCGAACCGCGTGCCGAACTTCCTTCCCGTCCCCCCGATGTAGGATAGTTGGCATGACTGACATGGGATTCCGTATACCACGCCACATTTTTGTTCTTTCTCAATCTTGTCTTTGATAATAGAGTTGCATGAGCGTGCGTGGCTTGACATGAATAAAAAGGAGTAAATGCTTCAGATTTCAAGTATTTACTAGTCTTTTTTCAAGGCTGGCGGTTGGGGCAACCTTGTATATATGAAGCAAATACTTCTGCGCAAAAACTGCTGCATTTATTATATTGATCGCCCCAAAGTTAACACAAAACGTTAATAAACTTCATCGTCCAGTGCCCCGAATTCGCGCTGCCCACTATTCGGGCAACCAACTTTCTCGGGTGGCCGTATCTTTTTGCACGCAGCAACGTGTCGCCGTCCAACCCACAAACGTGAAAAACAACTTCGGTCCACTTTCACAACAGGGGGCGTAATCAGAATTACGGAGCACGAACAACGGCGTGCGCCTTAATATATCGCGTTATTATTTAACAATCTCTTTTGCCGAGATGCAGATTTCGGTACCGAGGTGTTTGTTGGAATGAATATGCTTTAAAATATATTACTGTCGGAATAAGAACTAAATCTTAAAATTAATGTGGCCTGACGTTGCGAACTTAGCAAGTTCTTCTTCAGAGGTGAAGCAGGATGTCCAGTCTGGCTACCGCATGCCTAAACCAGAACACTGTCAGCAGGATCTGTGAGACCTTTGGTTGTACATTAAGGCAAAGGTTCCATCATAGTCTGTCAATTAAAAACAAAATGCTTCAGGTTTTTATTAGATTTCCAATGAGACTGTATATACTTGCACAAAGAACGACCAACGGCATGTTACTTTCTCATTAGTTTCGAATTTGAATTAGGAACATATCTGTTCGCGCTGTATTTTTAATGCACTGCATAGCGAGGATATGCTGCCGATCGTTTACCACGTACGGACGAAAAATGACGAACGCCTTGACCAAGGCGACGTTCGGGCAAGGGCGGATCCAGAACACAATTTTTGGGGGGCCAAAAAAAAATTGTCCCCCCAAAAAATGGGTAAACAAAATTACGGCGTGGGGTTCGGGGCCCGCTTAAGGGCCCCGCAAATTTTTGGGATTCTAGATGCTCTGTAGTGCGATCTGAGGCAATTTCTGACCACTTTAACCAATGTTTTTTGAGGAAAAGATGACGGTGTACTCATTGCCTGCCTTTATTGCGACGTCACATACAAAAAAACAAATGATTTGGGGGGTTTTTTTTGGGGGGGGGGGCATGGCCCCTTTGACCCCCCCCCCCTGGATCCGCCCTTGCGTTCGGGGTGATGAATAGCCCTCGGGTTTCTCATCCACGAACGGCGCGCTCCTCGAGTATTATCCTTAACAGAGCGCCCCCATTCGGTGCTGATATACCAGAATAAGCACACGTGACTACAATAAGTTTCTTGATTCCAGATCGTATGAAGCTCAGGATAACCTTGAGAACGGTTTACCGGTGTTTATCTATGGGGCTATCTCTAATTATTATTATGAAAGGAGCTGACCATTTAAATAACAAACAAATAAAATCAAACCTTGTAATTATAGCAGCTTTCGTCAAGCATTGTGCAGAGGTCAATGCATAACAAAAGCGCTGCCTCAAATCACCCCATGACACGCAGGCACTGCAGAAATAGCAACTATTCTCCTTTTCGGAACGATTGGTAGTACAGTTCAATAACACGAGTTTGGCAAACAGAAATTCTTTTTAAGGTCAAACGCTGTACCAACAATCTACATGTAGTATCTAAACACCAACAAACGCATCAGTAAACCCGAGCTGCATACCGGGTCGAAAGTCACGTTCACATCACGACACAATACTACACACTGAGCTGGTGACGTATAGGTATTGCCATGCATGCAAGCTGCATGCATGACCCAGAGTCCAAACTCTACACAAACATTGTAAGCATTGATGGCCGAGGGTGTGCGTGTGGCATTGAACCTCTAAAAAAATGGCGAAGTTAAGTCGTTACACGACACTGGTACTAGGAATATTGCAGATTTATGTACGGTCGTCTGCAGAAGGTAGGTATAAAAAATAGGGGGATATGCATGTTAACTGCTGGGTAATTATATTTCAGTAAATGATGTTCATGTTTGAGGGCCGCATAATACATGTATTTGGATTGAGTCGGGCTTATGTAATAACCAGCTGTTTACAAAATTATATCATTGCTGGTAAGCTTTTGAACTGCAGTTGTCTGGGCCTTCTGTTGCTGACGTTTTGAAAATAAATACTACTGCTGTCGACATTGGGGCTGGCGATACTCCTTACCTTCCCAATTTACTCTTGGGTTGAAGTTGCTTCTTTTTGCATCTTGTTGCTGTTGATAGCGTTAACAGTGTCGTTGATAGTTTACTATATGCTGAGGCTGTTGCTACGTATGATGCAGTTTTAATGCTGATACTGCTGCAGTAGCTGTAGGCCTATTCGTTGATCTTATGTTGTCATTCCTTTCGCTGAAGTTACTGTCGCTGCTGATTTATAAGTCTATAGTTTTACGAGTCTATAGAGTGCTGAATTGCATCACATAAAAAACGATGAAAACTGGTATGCAAATAAAACTATTTTTAACAGCGGATGTAACCCCGCCCACGCCTCTTCGGATGTCAAAAAGCACTGCTGAAAACCCTGGAATTGAGGTTGCGTATTTTGTGAGAATCAAATAAGGAAAGGATGAGAACAGTGGTTTTCGGGGCGTCTCAATTGAATGGTTCACCTTCAAAGGATCAGTCAGGTTATAGCTTAAAACTTACCATGCGTTGTTTACTATAAGAAGTCGTCATCACTTGGAGATGTCGACCGAAATTAACAGAGGACACAATCTAAAAAAAAAAGTGTAACAAGTTTGACTCTCTATATTGCAGTACGCTATGCCAAACTCAGATTCACATGACATAAATTATCACAAAGTTAGAAGGCGACTAGGCCTAAACCGTCTGAATTAGACGGCCCCTAATGATGAAAAAACGCAAACAATTGACCATATTTCCTGACATATTTTCTCTGTCGTCTGAGCGTTTTCCATTTTAATAACCTGAAATTAAGACAGTACATAAGTTGTGTGTTTTTTTTCAATTGATATCCTATATAAATGGTTGTGGAACTCTATCGAAATGCAAATTATAACTGAAAACTCATTAATGCACTATTTTGTTTGACTCTTGCGCCAGATTGTCAAAGTTATGTGTTTATCAGCCCCGGCAACATAACGTGCAGCAACGGAATAATGCAAGGAGAATTGAACTCGCAATATGTCGCAGAGTGCGTGTCGCACTCTAGTTCCATGTCGACAAACCTGACGTGGTTTGTCGGGGGTGTCGAGCAGAACACGAAACACCAGATTTCGAACTCGCCCGACGGACAGAACTTGCATATGACGGTTTCGCATTTGAACTTTGTTATCACGTCAAAGAACGACACCGTGTTTGAATGCTGTGGTGCCTCTGCCGACAATGAGACGAATTGTAGAGGGAATGTCTGTGCGAGCTGTCGGCTGGACGTGTTGTGTAAGTTAATGGTTATTACTTGTGCTCAGGGGCGTAAATCCCGGGAGATGGGGGTGTATATCTCCCGCTTGTTTGACCGGGGGTGGGCTATTGAATCAACCCCGCCCCCACTTTTTCGTGATAAGAAACAAAAAAATGCGGTTTTCGCGGTATGTTTCGAACATCCCAACAACAAAAAATGTATTCAATAACACTGACAAGTAGAGAAACAAAGTACAAAGGCGTTTTAATGTATTTAAAGCAAGAGTATACATATTGATATAAATCTATATCCTGAAGAGCGACCCTAGTGTAATGTGGTGTCCAGCCCCCCCCCCCCCTCCCCCACGCTTTACAGTTTTTCACGGCCGGGCAATTTTTGTATTTTGGTCATTCCCCCACCCCCTTTTGCCGGCACAAACTTACGCCACTGCTTGTGCTAGTCCAAGGACAGCCAAGAGGTACAGTGAAAACATTCCGCCTGAAATGTATCATTTGAAAGGAAACAAATATTGCTAGAATGTCAGACCTTAAGACTTGTTCGAACGTTTTTCCTGTTTTCTCAAAATGTATGGTCCTCTGAGCTGAAACATCAACAAGTATATAATCAGTCAGGCACCTTTCTTAAGAATTGTGGCAATTCTGTTGCTTCAAACAAAATGAAATGCACAAAAAGTAGTGAATGTACCTTTTATTTTCACAGCAAAAAATGTCCATTACGTATTGTTATCAGTTTCTTTAACTCAATACCTGCAAAAAAAGTGTTCGATCATCGAGTGAGACCTGTGAGAAATCGACTTTTTTCTCTCTGCTGTTTCATACGTTAAAAAATATGAACCCTTCAGCCAATGAGTTATTTGTATCTTTTTAGATCCAGCGGAGTTTTCCTTAACCCAGTCGAAACCGAGCCCCTTCCAAGAAGGAGACGACGTCGTGCTAGCCTGTATTCCAGACGCCAATCCCACATTCAGCGGATGGATCGAATGGCGGAGCGGTTTCGAGCCAGATAGCTTGGTCAGTCTAGGTGAACCGACATACACGCCAAACAATAGCACACTGGTCCTGCCCAAAATCGCCCGGAACCAGACTGGCTGGTACCGGTGCGCTGGCTACACCTTTTGGAATCCCTGGTTAGACTGGACACCGACCTTGTCTGCAGCGATTTCCGTAATTGTTCATTGTAAGTGGAAACTGTTTCTGGAATAGTTTATGTAGGTTTTGGGTATAAAATAATTCTCCAACAGCTTTTGCAAGGTACATGTTGTTGCCTGGGTGCATGCATTTTCTTGCAGATAATCTTCTGAAAGTGTAATCATCCTCCTTGCCTTCGTACAAATTTATTAGATTACAAAGAACATTTTGTCGTCATCTCAGACATAATTGAATGTTGACTCAACCAATTGCCTTTTGAAGATTCAATTACATTGTAAAGTTTGAAAGGCAAAACAATTTTTTTAAAGCTCTATAATTACAAATGGAACGCCCGAATGCATAGGTAATCGGTATCCGAGACACGGTTTAGGGCGGGACAGTTACAAAGAAACAATATTTTGCTTAGCCGACGAGGATATGTATAAAACAATGATAGGCTTACTGTGGCAATGACATGCGTGTAGGCCCGACTGTAGCTCAGTGATCTGTATTGCGATAGGTAATAGGTAACAAAGTTAGGAGTGCGCTTGCAAAAAAATTGACTTGTAGTTTTAATAAGCTTTTACCTGATACGCATCCAGATGGCCGAAGTTTGCCGGGGTTGCCGCTCTGTCAACCAACCGTACAAATGGCCCTTGCTTCGTGGTAAATCGTATTTCATTTTGAATGTATTTTTCCCCAAGCTATGGTCAATCATCAATTTACACTGACTGTAAGCTGATGCATTTAGGCGAGCAACGTTTACTTTCACATTTTCAACACTCAGAAGCTTCTTGCGTAAATTTTCGCCCACAGATGGCCCCGACATTACCAACAAAGACAGGGCTTGGATTGGAGCGAACGAGGGCTACACGGCTGTCTTGGAATGCATCGTCGACGGGAATCCCCTCCCTGTGGTAACATGGTACGGTCCGACGAATGAGGTGTTAACCAATAATACAGACAGGAGGATGTCTGTGGGAAATACCATTACGGGGGATGGGGTTGTTGGATACAGCGTCAGCAGCCGTCTCGTCCTCCATCCCGTAGTGACCTCTGTCGACTACGGAGTCTACAGGTGCGAGTCCCACAACAACAATGGAATGTCTGAACAGCTTCAAGTCCAGTTGAAAGAAACAGGTATATAACTATGTAGTGGTACTTCGCTCATTACAACATATTACTGCTCCAAATTAAATTCAAGTTCCTATTTTGGATCCGGGGAACCGAAGTCATTTACTACGCAAAACCACTCGATTTGTCCTGTCGTTGAAATTGAAAAGGTTTGGTATATTTTTCACAAGAGGCAACTTTCAAGAAACAGGGGCGTAGCACGGTCATTTTTATTGGGGGGGGGGGGGGAGGGGGGTAAATTTGTGTGAAAAGGGCACTTGCACATTCGTTGTGAAATGTAGACAGGTTTTTTTCTCCGGACACTTGGCCTCCGTAAAATCAAAAAGCGGGGTGGGGGGCTGGTACTATCTTTCGATGGGGGCGCTGTTCAAAACCGACAATTATGCACACAAACGGCCAATATATGGTGCTTTTTAGGCCGGATACATGTGCGAAATTTTGAAAAAGGCACCCAAAACGGTAGACGACACAAAAGGGCACCACTTCTATTTTTAAAAGGGCACTAGTTCAGAAAAAGAGGCACTTCGTAAAAAAAGGGCATTCTTTACAAATTATTGGGGGGTAAGTCCGTTGAAAAAAGGGCATATGAATGGAAAAAGGCAGTGTTTACAAAATATTGGGGGTAGAGGGTAAATACCCCCCCCCCCGCCGCTGGCTACGCCTATGAAAAGTACTTGAATTCAGACTAGGCACACAAGTTCCTCATCAAGAAGCGGTAAACAAACAAAAATCGTGCAATATGTACTCACTGGGAAAATGTTTGGTAAATGGGTTGGAATTGCCCGGTATGTTTGTCAACATACCAACTTCCGGCATTCGGGTAAATTCTTCCCAATTGTTGGTCAATTGTTACCATAATTATTCAACAATACAGCGATTTCCTACCAGTGTTGAGCAAACATTTCCAAACTGATTGGTTGAAGTCCGATGGCTGAATTGTTTGCAGGTATTTGTGAGATCACAAAGACTTTATTCGATAAAAATGTCGGAATACTATAATTTCAGGTAAACCGTTGGCGCCGACCGACCTGGAAATAATAGTCGCCGAAACCACCGAGTCGGCAATCGCACTGCGATGGATGCCAGGCTATGACGGGGGCGAGACGCAGGATTTCTACCTGCAAATTAGTGGTGATGTAGAAGGAGGGTTTAAGAACGTGCACGTTGGCCGTGGTCACTCTAGGGTAATCAGTGGCCTGAGGCCGGACACGTCATACGAGCTGTCGGTCTTCCCCCAAAACTCCATCGGTCCAGGACAAGCTGCAGCCATCGCGGCAAGAACGCTACGTGAGATTTGTTTTATTGTTGTCCTCATTCTTTTATCTTGTCTGTTTTCTTCTATCTTGTTTGGGGTCTATTAGCCTCTTCTGCGGAGGCAGCAGGTACAACGTTGGACCGAATCCGTGCTTTGGCTTTGTTTGAAGCGCATGTATTCACGCTGATAAAAAAATGACATATGCAAAATCATTACTTTTCTGAAAGCAAGCCTTGAATGAGACACTCCACCAATATTTACCTCTTTACTCAGCAACGCGGACACCAGGATGACCATAAATTGCATTATACCTCGATGCGCTCAGTTGATTGTTGCTGAAAGCATCATATAATTATGTACGCAAGGTTTACATAAGTGAACAATCTTCTTCCAATGACAGAAGTGGGTTTTATGTATTGACATCACAAATTCCACGGAGTCTTATTTCTGAATATCATAATGATGTCTATTGGTCTTACAGGGATCTTTTGAAATCTTTTGACATTAATCTTCCATTTTTTCCCTTTTCCTCCTCGTGAAATTTTAGCGGATACGCCACAAAATTTACGTAAGTACAGACGCATGACGCTGTGTGTTATCTCATTTAGTTATCATTTACCTCATCCTAAATTACCTTCTACTTTCCTTTTCTTACCCTTCGTTATGTTCTTACAAAGATGCAGCTTCACAAAAGCAGCGATTAATCTGAATGATGAAAAGTTAGCTGAGCACCACATGACAGTTCATTTTCCTCAAAGTAAGCGTCGATCATAGAACCTTAAAACTAGAGGGCGTGTATTTACTTTACCGGCCGCTTTGTGTGGAGAGGCCGGCCTCTCCCGCCATTTTTTTAAGTGGGCTTAACAATTAGGTAAGAGAAGAATTTCCAAGAATTTAAGCAGAATCATATCTTGAAAATGGCCAGTACGCTCAAAGCATCTGCCTCTGTTTCTCCTACAGATATCGTAGTCGAACATAGCTACCAACAGTACTGGATTCGTATCTCCGGTATACCAGACGATGGCGACCCTGACACCTGTGTGCGTGTCCAGGGTTGGATTTTGGAAGACGTGCACGACATCAGTGGGCTCCAATGCGTGCAGCACGACACTGTAGTCAACGTGTACAGCATTCGGTCATACGAGAGAATCCAGTCTCGTTACTGTCGGGCAGACAGGTGTAGCAGGGCCACTTTGGCCCAAACAGGTAAGTGCAGATACCAAAATGGTAAACAAAGAGATGGAAATTCGGTTTATACCCTTTAGGTTTACCCTCTTAAAATTCCATTCGGCTGGGAGCAGTAATTGGACATGCCCTGAGCCGCGGACAGTGCGAGAGCTAGATACAAGAAAGTGCCAACTACAAGAGATGACATTCGTGTTGTTACGAGGTCCGATTTTCAAAGCGTTTAATAACTGCAAATTAATTTAAAAATAATAACCTTATTCTTAATTCGGACTATTGAACCTTCGGATAAATGAACCTTTGGATTATCGAACCTATTGCATCAAATGTTCGGACTAACGAACCTTATTTCATTTTCGGATTAACGAACTCCCTCTTGTGGAAATTAGGTGCATTCGGACTATGAAACCTTTGGACTAAAGAACCTTCGGACTTGCAGACCTTCGGACTATCGGGCGGCCCCCGGCTCTTCAAAGAACACATTCGACACACTATAGGGAGATGTAGCTCGCAGTTAACGCCTTTGGATCCTCTGATCAGAGACCTACCTCTTTAACCTCTACCAAGTCCTATACATAGACTTGTGATGATTTTACACAGCCTTGTACCGTACTTAAAGTCTGCTACGATTCTTATCTACAGGTTCCCTTGCCACCATATCGCCTACCGACGCGCCGTCATCAGCCCCACGAGATGACACCGTGATCTTCGTTGCAGCCACAATTGGCACGTTGGCATTTCTGACTTTAGTCATAGCTTGTTATCATTACTTTAAACGTGATAGTCCCGTCGAGCACCAGGCTCATACAACCGCTCCATCCCCACGTAAGTTTCATCCCTAATACCTCCCACTATTCAGACAACGCTTAAATACTGTAGAGCAGTGATATTAGGCCAAAAAAAAGTCTCCGGTTTCTGGTATGCGCGCGCGTCGCCGTAGCCATGCGCGTCGGCAAATTGAAAAAGTTTTTTTTTTTTTTCAATGAAAGATGATGTCTCAAAAACCGCCAAACTCACTGGTTTGACTGGAATCCTGCTGCTGCACAATTTTAACGTGTTTTTAGATTGGGTTATGGTCGAGAATAAGCTTTATGTTGCCTCTCTGGACTCCCATATATTTGCACTAAGTTTAGTCGGGCACCATTTGCAGTCATCAGCCGACATTTGAAGCAAAAAAATCAGGTAAAAAATAAAAGTCGCGTCGCCGCACCACTTTTTGGGCAAGCTCCATACCAGAAACCGGAGACTTTTTTTTTGGCCTTACTAAACGTTACTTCAAGCTCCATTCCAATTCTAAAAAGCCACAAAAGGGTTTCATTTTAGGTGCACTATAATTCAAACATTCTCACTCGTTCTAGTTCGGCAAATTATTGGTCTCATGTGGCGATCATGATACAAGCGCATGTGTAAACAAAGCCATTACGTTATTAGGTCTTAGGTCTATTGGGGGCAGTAAATTGCATGCCAAATAATCACACCCTCCCGCGATGTGGACAACAAAACGCAAATCAATGAGCCTCGTAGGTTCAAATTGTTTCCTAGCGCACATCTCAGTGTCTTGCCGTCAACTGCTCATTGTATAGGCCTAATCTTCCACAAAACAAAAACAAGGCCTATAATTATTACATTTTCTTTATGTTTCTTGCAGACTTGCCACCAATTGCCAGAACTGTTTCAGTTGTTCTGCCTAACACGTAAGTAAATGTCACGCTATCGGAAATATAGCCAGACGGCCTTGGACAGGCCATACACTGTAAAACCTGGTGTTTACATTTTGACCACATTATAATATTAATGTGTTTGTTTTGTAGCAGTTTATAAATATTGTATCGCGTTATCCAGTCGTACGCATTGTAACTGCATGGAGACGCTGTGAAGACAATACTGTACTGGTATCAATTAGCTTCAGCCAAACAATTCTAGTATTTTAGTATAAACAAGGTGAATCAAACGTACATGTATAAACCCTTTGAGAACAATTATTTCTCCCATTTACTTTGTAATGGATATTAGAATGACCCTTACAACTCATATGCACGTTTTCTCTCTCTCGTTTTGATTACACAGAAGGTCGTTTGTGTACAATGAAAGTGCCATCGAATTTCCACCAGACTACGAAGATGCATTAGGTAAGGTAGAAATCCTCGGTTAAATATGTGGAAATGTAGTACTTTAACGACCTATTACTGGTCAAATTATTTTGTCCTAAGCTTTCTCAGCATCGACTTTAATTCATGAGATGTAAGCTTACATTTGAATGCCTCACCACCGCGTCTGTAAATTAAAGCCAAGGGATTGAAAGAAGTAGCCGCGGACTTATTTCAGTTGTTGTCTCCTTTCTCGGTTTAGAAATAGAAGAGAACGATGGGGATACTGAGCTGGACCCACCTCCGACGTACGAAGAGCAAGAAGATGATTTTGAGGCGGTCACTATAGTAGGACTAGGAGAAGGAAAAGGAGGAGGAGTGGAGGAGGATGGAGAGTCTCAAGAACAGGATGACGATGAGTGACAAGAGACGATCACATTTCATTTTTCTACTGATTCATGTTTTTTAAATGATAAATGTGGGAAGCGGGTGTGTGCCATTTGCACTGTGTTTTTTACTTCAATTTTTTTTTCAAAATACGTTTTGGGAAAGTTCATATCTGTTTGCAATTCAGTGTATCCCGAGCTGCAAGCTTTGCGCTTCTAGTATTTCACAAATGCAAAAGAATTATTCAGTGAATACATCGTGGGCTTTAAAATTCACAATAAACCTTTACTCCTAATTTTGGCAGTGTTGTAACAAAATTGCTATATTTATCTATATATTTTATTTCCATCAATTCAAGGGAAAGCACGTAGATTAAAATGCAAAATAAATATAATATGCAAGTACGCTTGCTTAACGTGACAATAATAAACGACTGTAAGCAATAATTTCTGTGAAAGCAATATTGTTACTGTATTAAGTACATTCAAAACAATTATTTCAAATAATTAGATTTAACAAACCTAAGCGTGACAAAAGCAAAAGTAGAACAGCAGACAAAGTTACACAAAAATCATTCACGATGATAACAGCTTGAATGTTATCAGAACCATTGCGAAAAAAATGAGCTAATATTTAATGAAGAAAAACTAAAATGGGATAGAAAAAGTTTCAAATTTGGGGCATGATACGAGTGAAAACGGTGGGGGAAATTAACACTGTATTTTATTGTGACATAATTGGACCTCATTCCATGTCTAACTCAGCTCGCGCAGTGTCCGTAGCGCTATGAGACTTTTTTTCACAGTCACCAATTTACACAACCCCCAGAATCGCATGATAGTGGCGTCGGAAATAGGGTGCCCCATTATTCGAAAGTCATGAATGGTTACATTATCTTTTGGGACATTCAGCGTGTATTTACACAATTGTGATGGTGACTTTTATGTTATCATGATGTCCCCAATTAAAAACAAAAAATGCTTAGTTGTAAAGTTGCAAGGTTTTGAGGCTGTTGAAAAGAAATCAGAGAAGTATTTGTTCTGGCTTTTTTTTTAAGGTTGACCATAAGGGTACAGTCATTCAAAGTTATACAATTTGCAAATTTCACGTCTGTTTTTTATCCATGTATAAATTTGGTAACGTATTTTGATTTGTATATTTTTGAACAAAATATAGAATACGTCAGTCTCATGATTGTCTCATGTGCGTCTCTCTATTTTCAAAAAAAAAACTGCCCTCGCATCTACTGCTAGACCCAAGGCAAAGAACCGACAGTCAAACGACGCACATGTGTCGCGCCCAGTAAAGAATATTTGCATCGAAAATCACATTGGACTATCAATAGACTATCACTGGACTATCAATGTAAATTAAATTTAATGACCAAAACTGTCCTTTGTAATAAAGGGAACGCGCCATACACAGGGTCTATGGGCTCCATGCATAAGTACTCCTTCAACGGCCGAAAGAAGGAGAGTTGCGGAAGACCTAAACTGGTTCCAGGTCCATCCACTGCGTACGTCGAATGATCCAAAGTTATTGGGGGCCGGGATGAGTCTAGTAGACCATGGCATAGTAAGTTAAATTCAAACAAGTAGCTTTGGTACATTCGGGAAGTTGGGCGTACTTCGCGCACGAACCAGTACAGTACGCACACGGTGTATGTCCCATCAACTGGGCTCTCAAAAGTGGTAAGAACGCGCCCTCTTTTGATGGCGCCCAATTTTATGAGGCCATTAAAAACGAATCCGCAAACAATTCGCTCTTTGCACGCTTCCGCCATCAGCATGCAGAGCCTCGATATGGCAATTTTACACAATAAATATAGCCGCTTCAGTGATTCCAGTGTCGGGGTTCAGCGATTCCCGTGTATACACATTGGCGGATCCAGGGGGGTGCTACGGGGGCGTGCGCCCCCCGGCAGTGACCAACATTTTGTAAAATAAGGCCACTTTTCACTCGAATGAGCCGTTGCGCCCCCCCCCCCCGGCACGAACCTCTCTGGATCCGCCACTGATACACGGGAATCACTAAAGCGGCTATTTTCATTGTGTAAAGTTGCCAGATCGAGGCTCTGCATGCTGATGGCGGACAAGGGCGGATCCCCCCCCAAAAAAACCGAAACCAATTTTTTTTTTTATGTGACATCGCAATAAAGGCAGGCAATGAGTACACCACCATCTTTTCCTCAAAAAAACATTGGTTAAGGTGGTCAGAAATTGCCTCAGATCGCACCACAGAGCATCTAAAATCCAAAATAATTTCCCCCACGCCGTAATTTTTTGACCCACTTTTTTGGGGGACCAAATTTTTTTTGGGCCCCCCAAAATTGTGTTCTGGATCCGCCCTTGACGGCGGAGCGTGAAAAGAGCAAATTTATCACGTATGGCCCCCTTCAATGGCCAAAGCATTGTGCTAGCTGTTGTTGAGATAGACCGTCACGGAGCAGTTGCCTTGTGCAGTATCGTGTGCACTGGTTTTCGCCATTGAAGGGGGGCTCTGGTCGTGTGCAAGGAGCCAGTGTTATTCTATAGGCTACACTCACACTTTACTAAGGACGGATTTATGTGTTCGGAGGCAAATGGAGGCAGCATTTTCTATGTGATGAAGACACAGACCTTTGATACCGGGCAGTAAAACATTTCAAAGAAACGAAATCGTCCAGGATTGTGTTTTGATCAGGGTGACAGTTAGGTCGTTCCCAAATTCTGCTAAATGCGCTTCGAAAATCTGTCAGATTAATCAAAAATTCGCCAAATTCCCCAGAAGCACTCGAAATACACTACAAACACTTAAAATCACATGCAGATGTAGTAGTATTGCCTTTATTAAGGTTCAAATTACATTATAAACAATCTGTAGTCACATAAAGATGTTATGGTGGTTGCGTAAATTTTAGCCAAAATCCGGTTCCCAGTGAACCTCAGCAGCTCGACCAGGCAACCTGTCCCATTATGCACGGGTTTGCTTGAATAGATTGAAGCTTTTTAGACAAATGTACCTTTTTTTTCAAATTTGCTATGTTTTTCTGTTAAATAACCGTTTTGGGAGAATTCTGCAAGAAATCTGTGAAAAAAAAACAATTTGTCAAATTTTCTGTCAAACTCGTTTTTTACGAAAATTTCTGTCAAATTTAGTCAAAATTCGGCTAAAACGGTCACCCTGGTTTGGTGTTATAACCTTATACAACGGTGCTTTATATGACATCTGTCTCTCAATGGACGCAGTGCATGCTCAGTATTTGTACAACAAACGTACTTCAACATGACAATCGATGAATCTGCGGGCACTTACGCACCAGACTAAAGTCCAAACGTCAACCTATTTTGAAAATATGATCGTGTTCCTTGCTCGTGATAGTCAACAATAGAGGACAACATGGCGTGCGCTGACTGCACCGCAGTGGTGTGGGGATTGCTACAAGCTATCGTGTCTGCGATGGAAGGTAAGGAGCAATTGGCGAGACTTAAAGGAAATTGACACCATTTGCAAACATACCAAATATTATGTAATATTATTGCTTGCAAGTTAATAATAGCATTCGCGAAATCATTGGGCCTAGTTTGAGGTCAATTTTGAACAAGGAGCAATTAGCAACCACTTCATTTAGGATCGAATCATAGCGAGAATAACGATACTTGGCTCTGCGTCGAAAACAATGAAAATGCATTTTCACAGTTTTTTCAACAGTATGATAATATAAACTGAGCTGAATTTTCGACATTTAAGTTTTGTTATTAATAACCTGCTTCCGATATATAAGTAATTTTTGTTCGTTGAATCGGGGAAAGAATTTTTTGTTTTTAAAAAGTGTCCCTTACCTTTCACCAGAAAAAAGGACAAAAAACACAATGATTGAACACGTTTGTTCGCATAACGATTATGTTAAAATTACGTTATATATTAGTGGACTGACATTAATGAACCTCTGAACTTTTCAAAACACTATGGATGTGAGATGTTATGACAAGGGGTAATGGATCTGCTTAGGGGACCGTATCATAAGTCCGACGCCTCATAGGTCCGACGCCTCATAAGTCCGAAATTTTGGACTAATGTAGACTATCATCTTTCTAATGAATCTGGCCAATTCTTTCGGCCTTTTTTAAAAATAGAATGAACACCTAAAAACTATCGGCCCTCTTTTGTGTTGCTATAAAGTATGATTTTTGTTTGACACGTCGTAACAACACTTTATTTTTGTCAAATGCAGTTATATTTGGTATCAAAATAAAGCACAGGATTTCAACTTTTCACTTACCTAGCCATCTTGGCCAAACAGTGCATGTATTTAGGTACTTTTCGTGTTTTTTTGTAGTCTCGAATACAGTCTCGTAAAATCTCGCGTAGGCGTTTGGGCCATGCGTGCGTGACATTTGGACAAGAAACTGAGGTCAAACGGGGCTCTGTGCGTGACACGGCCACTGACTGGCTGAAACAATTGGGAAATAACCAGATGTTATGAATGGGAGGTTTGCGCTAACAGCATGTGAATGATATTTGTTTTGAGTTGTGTGGTTCTGTGCAGGAGATAGTTCCCAGAATCAACAACCCAAAGCAGATATCATTCACATGGTGTTAGCGCAAACCTCCCATTCATGTTCATGTCTACCATCCAAACCTTAAGCCTAATTTATTCAGATATTAATTTCAGTAAAAAAAGAGGGGTTACGTTAGTGGCTGTAATTTTATTGGCAGATCACAGAATCGTCTCACTCAAAAATAATGAAGCAAGTAATAGACATTTTGACTTACAACTATACGAATTATAGCGGTTTTCCCCTTGGCTTTGATTTTACACACACACAAAATCATGTTGTTTATAACGCATCATCCTACTCTGGTCTATTGTCTAAGAAAAAGACAATGTACTCAAATACGGGGCGAGTGAATGAAAAACATATTTTGCTCTGTAATGAATGCGTTTTTACGTACTGAATGAAGTTGTTATATTTGGGACTTTCAAAAACGAACAAAAAGAGAGAGAAGAATGCAATGAAAGCGTCTCTTGATACCCATTTGGAACACCTGTGACACATTCAACCCAGACACAGGAACAAAAGGGAATGTTTATGAACGCTGTCGCTATAGATACACCTGTGACTATTATGAGGAAAATTGGACTTCTGAATAAGGATTCGCTGAATTGAAAGGTTTCACAGGTGTCGTGGATCAAAAAGGCTAGACGACAACTGCGTTTGAAAGCCTGCAATGCCCTGCACGGTTTTGTGAATGTGGTAAAAATATATTACTTTAGTCGTCTGGGAAAGGTGAGCTGGGGGGGGGGGGAACTATTTTATTTGGAAAGAATATCTCTGAATTCTCAAACCACAGGTTCATCCAAGTTTGCCGTGGGTTAGAGACTACCCAATCCCGTCCTCGAAGGAAGTGATGTCATTCGGACGTGTAAAGCGGATAATGATGTGACTTTTGCGGGCTTAGTTTATTAGACATGACAGAACTAGTCGAACCGGCTTATGTCAATACGGATCGTACACTACGTTTTCTCAGCATCACAAGGAACCAGACGGAGTGGTACTTATGTTCGGTACTCCTCAGATTTAACGAAGGAAACCACACATATTCAGATGTAATTGCCCGATCGTTCATTGTAGGTTTTTGCTTTATTAGACCTGTAAGGGCTCCGTGATGCAAATAATAAAATGTGTGCGTTACCTGCAACATGTCCATACATCTCATTCAGTAACGTCTCCCGGATTAACATTTTACCTAGTCATTTCGGATATCCTATGCATGCTTTTCAACAGAAAGACGAAATTCTTTGAACACGAGCGGAAAAACGTTATTTACATGGTTTTTAATTTTTGATCCACAAACTGCTTGAAAACTGGGCGATTTTACCGAATGCCAGAAAATATTTTTATCCTGAACTATCAGATAAACAAAATTATGGGGGAAAAAAACACATTCGTCACAAACGTCTAAAATAGCCAAACAAAATGAACATAATCGCCGCTTGTGTTGAATCTTGTTTTCATTTATGGCTTCCAGAGTGATATGAGGAATAATTAAGTGGAGTCCGAAGTTTAGTACAGATTTCAATAGGTTAATAATTTAACAAAGCATCTGCTTTTGTTTGTTTCACAGACAGTGGATAAATAATTAAAAAAGACTAAATCCGGATTGGTTGAATGTGCCGTCGAGGGTAACTCACTCCCTGCAGTGGCGTGGTACGGTCCAAACGGTACCGCTGTTACAAATCACTCGAGCACTGGCCAGATATCGCTGGAAGATACCATTACTGGAGCAAGGGTTGTTGGATACATTGTCAAGAGTCGTCTGACCATCGATCAGGGCCAGATAGGCAACGGCTATGGGATGTACAGGTTCAGCGCTACCAACAGCATGGGGACGTTTAACGGCCATCAAATACAGCTGACTAAAACAGGTAAAAACGTTCAGCTAATGAAATTCTACGAGTGACATATGGCAGCGAGGTTTTTCAAGAAGAACAACAGTTTTAACAGAAATTTCACGGTGTGCGATTGCGTTTTTCCAAAAATGTTGTGTTTTCTGACCAGCTTCAGCTAGAAAACTATCATAAAGTAATTATGGGAATAGAAATGGTTAATCACGGATTTGTTAAAATGTTACAGTGGATGGCCAATTGCATAAAATTTATCATCAATCAATATTGTCGTTGCTGATTATCCAACAGCGACACACTTTTGCCAACATCGTAGACTATTTTTCGGAGGTTTTTTTTGTTCCTCTTGTTTTGGACTCTAAATCTTTCAAGACATGTCTCATAAGACCTGCATGCCAAAAATAAATGAATAAATAAAATCCGAGGGATTGGGCCCGGTCCTCGTGGTTATCGTTATATCAGATAACAGCTCGTTCCTAGTCCTCAGCTCAGTCGTAAAGGATAACCTGTTCAATGAGACCTCTCCTCCGTATTAATGTCATCTGAGTGTGCGCACCAAATCATCACAGGGCAGCGAAAACGTGTTTTCATTAGCAAGTGCTTTTTCACCAATTGCTATAATTTACCATTCAGCAATTCAGAGGCATTCAGTTTTGAGAAAATGGGTCTGGGAACTAGACAAGGCCTAATAACAAGCTCCCGGATGTCCGCGCTCGCCTATACAGCGATTTAACGTTGCTTGTTTACAGTGTTGTAGTGTTCGTACTCGTACTCGAGTACTACTCGAGTACTTTTTTGGAGAACTCGTACTCGTACTCCATGTCAAAGTACTCGTGCTCGAAATGACGGTACTCGTACTCGGGCAGCAAATTACTCGTCCTCGACATGTCAAAATTGTACTCGATCATCAAAGTACTCGTACTGGAATAGCAGTACTCGGGGGGAATTGGTATAGCTTGACTTACCACGGCCTCATTTTATCGATACTTTCAGTTAGAAATGATTGATTGGCTTGTAGAGAAATTGAAGTTTCCTGATTTTCCTCTGTACACGTCCGGACAAACACAATTAACAGCTAGCCGTGAGTGGGTCTGTATATCGGTCTGACTGGGCCCGGGCCAATTGCGCACAATGAACCATTTGCCGTATGGCCGTATTCAGGAATATAACGTACTCGTACTCGCACTCGTACTCGGAAGTCCAAGTACTCGTGCTCGGAGACCTGTACTTGTACTCGGAAGGACAAGTAATCGTTTTTGTACTCGTACTCAGTAACCTAAGTACTCGGCAGCACTCGGTACTCTGATAAAGTACTCGACTACAACTCTGCTTGTTTGTTTGTTTTCTGATAGAGGAAATATACTTGGTGACACCTTCTCCCTACCCCGTAGACTCCAGCGGTCTGTTTCAGGACGTCAGCGCACGGGTGGTGCTGGCAGCAACCATCGGAGGTGCCCTGGTGCTAACGCTGGTGGCTGTCTGCTGCTGCTGGCATCGGCTCGGCTGCGCTAAACGTAATGTGCGAGGTGATGTATAGCATGATTTCGAAAATTGCTTGGTATAACAAACCTCCCATTTTCCTTGGAAGGTTATGTGGAGCATTGTGCCACGGTACGTGGGCTCCCACCCCCACTGGGACCATGGTGCATGTGTTCTTGAGCAAGACACTTAACTACAATAGACGAATTTCAAATTCGCATTGAAACTGAGCTGAGGCTCTCAGTGCCAAGCCATTGTATGTATGAATTGAGGACTTTTTTTTTTTCGTTTTAAAATCTTCTCAACAAAACACAGTACCGAAGCCTTCGGTTTCATTGCCAAATTGAAATTCCTCTATTGCCTCTCTCTCTCTAGGAGCATGAATGGGTACATGAGAAGGTAGACAACAGGTTGAGCTGATCTCGAGCATGTGCTAAAAACTGGTGTAATGGCCTGATGAACAGGGGTAATAATATTGTGGAGTGCTTTGAGACCTTTGGTGTAAGCGATGCATGAGTACCACATTGTTGTTGTTATTCAATGTAAGGTTTTGCCCTTCATCGATGGGCACTGTATACTCAGTGTGTTACCTCCCGAGTGAAAAGTTGGTAAAACTAAAGATACTTCGAACCCATGGCCTCCTTCTTTCTAGTGCAGACGTCTTACCACTCGATCGGTTGGCTGGTTCGAATCTGATGTACATATGTAGCTGGCCTACAAGTAGCAGCGGGTGAAGGGCAAAGCGTCGTCGGTGACTTTGATGAAGGGCAAAACCTAATATTGATTTATATCAACCCGACGTAAATGCATCTTATGAATAATTATTGTTATTGTTACGTGACCCGCCTATGTTGAATTTAGACAGTTGTCCGAAGCCAAACTCAATAACTAGTCGCGGATTAAGTCCAAAATTCAGTCTTGGGCGTCGCATAGTAAACTCCAGCATAATATAATGTAAATCTATAACAATACTGGAGCTTAAATATTGTATTGACTTTATACCGACATGGAATCGTTTTACTTGGATGTAAAATAAGGACTGTGTTATTCTTTTACAGTGATGTCTTCCAATTAATTATAATCATTTACAATGCGCATGCGTCAGTTGGAGACGGAATGGTTCTCGGATTTAAGTTCCATTTAAAAAAAGCGAATTCGATTTGAAATGTTGGTTGGGGATGATAAAAAAATACAAGCAAACTGATTGAACCTTGCGCAGAGTGACCTGTTGCCCTTTGGGCCCCAGGTAACCAATTTTTTTGAAAAAAAAAATTGAGGGCCAATGACGGTCACCTTCCATCTTATCCTCATTCGACCCTTGCCAAATAAGCTGGTTTAATAAACTTTGCAGCCAGGGCTACACCCAGGCCGTGTCAACAAACTTTCGACCAGGCCTCCTGCCAAGTCTCATTGAAACATCAACAAAGACCTGTAATTTGACACAGTCATCTCCCTTCATAACTGCATACAACTGCATACCACAGCCGCCAGTTAATTATCCTTCCAGCGCACTGTCTGGCAACTGTCTGGACACTGTCTGGCACGTGGCTTTTTGTTGTATTGCTATGAATAGGGTCTTGCGTACTAGTGCGGGAAAGTACCTGCTGCCCAAAGGACAGCAGTTGACGAGTTGTTGTAAAGTTTTTTTGTAAACGCTGCGCAGGGTTAATTACAATTCAGAGAGTGGCAGTGCTTTTCGCTGAATTGTGGTGTATAAAAAGATGTAGGCCATACTTTCCACAACTAATGTATCTCTTTACATTTTTTACAGATATACCTTTTTTATTCTTTTGCAGGAGAGTCGAGACCAACTTCGACTGAACCGAGCTTGTAAGTACGGCTGCGGTTTTGAACCCTCCTTGCCCCCTCTTTTGAATCTGCCCACTTTTGCTTTATTTGCCCTTTACTTGAAATTTCATTAAGGGGAATGTGCGATATTGACATCTTCCTAAGTATCGATACATCTCTTTATTCTGCTTTTCTTTTAGAGACGACAGTTTCGATAATGACGCCCCACCATCTTATGAAGAAGTTATAGGTAGGCAGGATTGAATTTTTATAAGATAAAAAATTCAAATTCAAAAAGAGAAACAGTTCTTACTTTACATTTCCCTTAATTTTGTGGAAATTGTTTGCAGAGGGTTAACCAGCTAAAAAAGTTGTTTAAACAAACGTTGAACGATCTACAACAAACGCAACAATTAGTGATGCATATGACTTGAAGCTTTGCATGGCGGATGACATAAAATGTGTATCACAATGTAGAAAGAAATCTCTTCTTGGATGAAGTGTGGTTCTGAAAAGAACCGGTTGGTTGAGTGTAGAACTCGACGTTTCGGACGGTGTGCTCTGTCCATCCTTTTACGTGGCGTACTCACCCTCCTGAGGACAGACAGAGCACACTGTCCAAAAAGTCCAGTTCTACACTCAACCAACTGGTTCTTTTCAGAACCACACTTCTTCCAAGAAGAGATTTCTTTCCACACGGCGTGACCCGCAATTGCGTCAGTTTTAATTAGTGTTGATATTGACGCATTTCTATGATTTTTACGTCTAGAAATGGATTCCGACATTGGCGACATGGATGATTTCCCTCCAGAGTACGAACTGCTTAGAGAGCCCCCAACGGCTGGCTTATGTACAGACGAGATACAAGAGGACGAACATTGTGTCTAAAATTCATTTTTCTACCAACAGTACCAAACTGTAAAGGGGCCTTTCTTAAACATATTCGTGAATTGTGTGCAGTTACTAGAGGCTACGTTAAACTCAAAAGGCCTATAGACTGTCCTTGAAAAGCACATTTTTTAATATTTTATATATTCGCAGATTGCGCGAATAGCTTTAGATTCCGCATTTATTATTAAAGGTGTTCACAATGAGGTTTGCTTTCAAATGCACTTACTTTGATATAAAGTGGTTTTTTTTTTGCTTGGTTGTTTGTTTAGGTGACATCACTTCAGTCCAAGCCGCTTTGTTATTGATGTATATGTCTACAGCGTAACCTTCACATATTTAATTTATGTTCTTTTTGTTTTTATTTTAAAATCTTAGCACTAATTTTCAACGTGTACAAAATTATCCATGGACATGTACATAATCTGTATATTTGACAAACGATGTACTGTAATATGTACCATTATCTTTTGATACTCAGATTTCTTGACTACTCTGACTAATGGATTCAAGATGATAGTGCTCAAGTTAAAATGTCAAAATCCTGCAACATGAGATATAAAGGACGCCGCGTAGAATCAATAATGATAAGTGACAGCTACACATTAAACGCAAAAGAATATGCACACGCTGACCTCTTTTTTCTTGTCAACTTTACTCTTTGTCAAAAAAAAATTGCCTTTAAAGGTTTTAATAAAAAGACATATTAAAAAAATGGCACTTGAGGTGAAATCTAACCACATTGCATTTATATAGCAATATGGACACAAAATTATAAGTATTTTGTAATCAATCTATTTACATGGCGATATAGTTTCCCGTTATAGCTATGTAGGGGTTTACAAAATTACAAACATGACACTCGTAAGAACGAGCATAACTTTTATTAGTTTGTTAACATTTTCTATGATCTCGTACTGTCATACATTTGACAACTTTTAAACGTACTGACAGGTGTTTTGTTTTCATTGAAAATCAACATGCCATTATGCTAAGTTGACATAAAATAAATTGAAAGCCTACCTTGGAAAATGGTATTTTGTTTTTTTTAATTCATATACTAAACTATATAACAGGTTTGTTTACTTATTTGTTTACATAGAGTTAAGTTGTCCGCACGTCGCTAACTCATCCTTTACACACATAAAAAGCTGTTACGAGTTAACTATCATGATTACATTTTTTTTACACGAGAATAAATCAAACCATTCATTAAAACAGATGTACAAAAATATATTTAGGTCTTTTTACAGATGTAGCCCGCCAGTATTTCTTACGATATTGATTTTAAAGTGTTACACCTTTTCTAAAAGAATATCTCAAATAGTTATTACTAGTTAAAGTTCTCGGTGTTTGGGTTATAACTGCTTTGATAATTTATAAAAAACTGGACTTTTTTATCTTTATATTTTAGATAAAACTGGACTTTTTATCATTATACCTAACGAAATCTCAGAGGATTTCGTTTGCTCTTTCGTAAGAATGGCGACTTGAGGTTCGGAGGGGTGTTTTTTTCAGGAGCAGCGCTTAATCCCACGTCGGTTTTAATGACTGTACGCAACAAGATGAGTAGAAAGTCGACCGACATTTTTTTGAGTAGTAGACCCACTTTAACAACTTTAACCAACATAATATCTGCATACCGTCAAATGTTAAACTGAGTACATATAAAATGTTAAAATAAGTCATATGTCAACAGGAGTAAATTACTACGCTATGCAGTTTCTACTGTATATGAAAAGAAAGCGATAACACAGGCATATGCGATCATTTGCTCTTATCCACAAAAACTAACCTTCAAAATTATTATGGAAAGGCTTGTTTGGTACTAAACACCCCATGAAATCATTCCGTCTGGCTTGCTGTCCTTTCAAAGAAATCAAGAAGTGTAGGTGATTTCAAACGTTAATTGACTGAAATTTTGGAATGCGGAGTTTTTATTTACGAAATTCTGTCTTGTGATCAAAAGGTTCAGCATGGATTTTCACTGTTTTCTTGAAATGTGTTAAATATCCACTCAGCTGAAACTTCAAGAAGCTAGGTTTTGAAGGTTCTTTGGACTTTGAGTGGTTTTACTATTGGAAAGAACAAAACACAGGAAAAGCAGATGATCTGTGTTCCTTTAACAGTGATTACATAGGATGCGTTGCATGTCTTCATTATTCATCACGTGGTAGTTGGTTGCTTCTGGTTGTATGTTTCTTACACGAAATACTCCGGCCTGTCGGTCGTGAGTGATGATACATATTCGTACGCCGGTGGGGGATTATCACTATTGCCAGCAGTGACAATCATTTCTACACAGGACGATAAAGATCAAGGACCTTCATTATTTGGGTTTTATGTTGGGCTGGAGTTTTTAAAGGTCTGGGGGTAAGTATTTTTTGTTCATTCAATAGCAATAGCAACTCTAGGGACAATTTTATTGGAAGTAATGTTGTTCTTTATTTTAAAGTAAATTGTTATTAAAACAATGACATTTGAAGGTCGACATTCATTCTCTTTACATGACTTTGACAAAACATTTTGGAAGGAGCGTCTGAAGGTAGGCATATGTGTTAACAGTAATAACAATGGAGCAGCGCCCCCACATCGTGAGCTTGGATGTCATGACCTATGCCCTGCTTAACATTCAGATGTCTTATGTTCTATCGTTAGGCTTTGTACAAGTCGTAATGATGCGTGATGGTACAATGTATGGTATTTCATTAAAGTTAACAGTGTTCATTCATTAATGTTCAGTATATTTGCTAATCCACGAGTAATGTTTGTTTGCTTCAAAAGTGTTTTATACCTGCACTGTTGCCTGTGAGGAACTTTTTTATTACGAAGCCTTGCTCGTTTGTGTAACATAACATAGTCTTGCCTTAGGAATAAATTAAAGACTCCCGATACTCACGATACTGGTGGTTTGGTTTTATGCAATGTCATTCATTCTTACCGAGTGCTTCAGTGTAGGTTGGAGGTGAGTCGTTCCCATGTTGGTACGGCTCTGCTCCCCTGTGTTTGGGAGGGGAAAAGGTAAATACACCTTAAAGACCCCACCAAGAACATTAAAAACAACTGAACTGAAGTAAGCAAACAAGCATACATCGTTTGACCATAGAGCCATTTTAATGATCTATACCATATTCCAACTGTAATTGAGGAAACCCAGAGCATTTAAAATCCAACAACTTTTGCCCCCCCCCCAAAAAATTTTTTTATACTGGATCCGCCCTTGTCCAGACAGCCTATAGCGAAAGATAAATTTTCTATCGACAGCCGGTTTGGTGTGAAATTTGGACTCCTATGAAATACAGACTTGTCGACTGTATTGTACATGGCTCAGCGAACAGAACCACAACAGCTCACTAACGCACTTGACGCCAAGAGTCCACGTAATGTCAAAATGTCCGGATTTTGTAGAAGTCAAAAATTCAAATGACACCGAAAATGAAAAAAGGGAAATGCATTGTAGGATCTTCCGACACTTGGTGGCGCTGTTCATTTTGCACATTATTAAGTGTTTTCTATATAGTTAAGCCCTGTCACACTGTCTGCGATCATATATGCGCTCTCACTGCGTCCTTGAAAAATGGCTGGGGCGCAACAACAACTACTAGATCGCAACGACAACTACATAGGTTGTCTGATGGGCGACTGAGGGTCTTTATGGTCTCCGATGAGCGCAAAGTTTTTGAGCATGCCCAAAACAATCGCAACACCTCTGCACTCTGGCAGGGCGCCGTAATGACGCAACTCGGGCGTTCTGCGAATGTGCATCGTGCGATGACGTGGCATTGACGCAGCCTAGGCGCAAGGCAGTCGATGTAGTCTCCATAAGAAAGTAATTCGACTGCGATGGAAGTGTAGGGAAAAAATTAAACTGGACTGCGGATTGACTGTTATGTCGTGGTATTTATACAGCACAAGTGACGTCACGTGAGCGTATTTTGGTCGGATAGAGAGCGTGACGCGAGGCTACTAGGAAGTATCAACAGCGAGCAGAGCGAAGTGTGAGCGCAGTGGTAGCGCAGCGGCAGCGACTAAATCGAGTAATTGGGCTTGACAGGAGCACACAGAGAGCGAGTTGAGCGCATCATTAGCGCAGGATGAACGCAGTATGAGCATAGCTTGAGCTACTTTCTGGCCACTTTATTCAGAAAATGGTATTTTCTTGCGTCCACGCTGCGATTGTTATGTTAGGTCTCTTATGAGAGCGCATAATAATGTGAGTGTGACAGGCTCTTTTAGGCACGTACCCGCTTTTTACATCGTTCAAGGCAGCTTCTATTTTTATATTACTATCATTAAAATGCTCAAACAGCCGTCGGGACTAACCCGTTCTTGTTACTTTTTCCCCTCCCTTCAATTAGGGAAGGAGGACGGGGTGGGATCAATCTTTGAATTAACAAGTTAGGCTAAAGTCAACACACCATACACAGACGTGTAATCATTTAGCCCAACATCACCTGTGCATGCGTTTAATTACCTTTCAGTCATTCCTAAAGTTTTTCCTTACAAATGTTTTTGGCAGTAAATTATGGTTAGTTTTTAATCAATGATCTTAGTTTTCAATCAATACTCCTTTTGTTTGCCTTAGATTAATAACATGGTGTGTCAGCCATTACAAGTTTGCATGTTTTTGCTTGATGTGAACATATATTTTCGCTCACATTATGCTCAGTACTTACGATGCCAGGGGTGCGTGTCTCGTTAGCTCAACATTGTCTGTAAAAAAAAGAAGAAAAAAAAAAGAACCTCCACATCACATTTTTTTTTCTTAAAAGAAAATGGGTTAGAGAGTGTGTCCCTTATAACATTTCCCCATGGACTTTTGTTTTGACATTGAGTGATCATACGTTTGACTCACAAAAAAATAGTTTTGTTAGTTGCATCTCGCCCAGTCCTCTTTATAATCTATTAATATTCGGAGAAATCTCGCTATAGCCCTCGTTAATTCGATAAAGTTAATTGAATGGCACATGAGTAAATTTGTTTTGTTCGAAGCGTGTTAAATTTTTCTCGGACGACATTGAATGCTAGTGTTGTTGAATTTGAATGAAAAAAAAAATCTTTAAAAAAAGCCAGGAAACACCATAATTTGGAAATCTTCGATCAAAATGTGGAAAAAGTAGCTTCGGCAGAAACTATAGTTACTTTTCCTTTAAGTACAAAATTTAAAATAAGGGCAAATATTTAGAAACAAATTAATTTGCTTTCCATTTGGCTTTACCTGAAGCTGAAGGGAGAGAGATGGGTTTATTACAGTCCCTGAAACACCCAAGGTACCGGCAGACTCCAAGGCTAAGAAGCAGCAGGACTATGCCGACAGATAGGCTGACGCCAATAATCACCCCGACATTGTCGGCTGTGTTCCCCCCATGCTTGGGCCAGGTGGGCAGAGGTGGACGGGCAGTAGTAGGATAGTCTGTGCAAGATAAATTAGAAGTCATTGCAAGATATTAAGGTTGGTGTCTTATATATAGCGTTTTTGGTGGTTTATTTTGGCACGGATACGGCTGGGATTTACTGCCGTTTAATGGACCGATCCAGTAAGCCTCGCCCACCGCGCACTGGGCAAATTTACACGTGCTCCTCTCCAATGCCACACTGCATTTTCCTGCCGCGCGCATCATACGCATGTCGGACTTACGCGCACGCACGTCGGACATAAATCACGGCTGTGATTGGTCAGAACACCATGGGGCGGTGCTTACTGGATCGGTCCATTGAGAACGATGCCTATTTGGAGCTGCGCGGTCTGGATCATAGTTCAAACTTGGATGATATTTCTTAGTGTATTTGTATTGTCCCTACTAAAGCTTCTTCCTGGTAACCCTCCACCAGCTTTTGTTTGTGCCTTTTTGCAATTGCTACTCTTGGTTAACAGTACGGCAGTTATAGGTGATGGGATTGTGCCCTTGATGATACTAGCATGACATTTGGCACACAGTCATGCAACTGTCCCGTGGCGGTCATCTGAAAAAAAAAAATAGCCGCCACCATTGAAGGGGGCCTCTCCGTGACGGAAGTGATAGCGTGCCCAGATGGATCTACATGTATTTAACCACCCACACAAGTGTGTAAACACCTTCAATAGTGACCCCCTATTCATGTCCCTCTTTTGTTTGTACACTTTAAGGAAGACCTTCCATATATTTCGTACACGGTCGTCAATCGCGGACCCTCGGGAATTATATATTAACCTTATTGTCCTTTATTGTTCAACGTCCGCAATTGTAATGTGTAAACATGTACGCATACATTTTTGCCCGTGGGACCAAAGACACCATGGGGATAGCAGAAAGTCCCAACAACTCGGTCCTAATTACCCTAAAAATAAAAACTTCCCCATAATGCGGTGACAGCCCGCACACACAATCGAGGAATAGCTTACCCTCTGTCACGTGTGACTGCGAACTGCATAACCCATCATGGCAGTATCGAGAGTGGATGTGACCGGAATTCGGACCGGAGTACTCGAACTCGCCGTCTCGCTGAATGCAGTCTAGGTCTGGTCTCAGACTCACCCACTCACCCTGGCTGGTATCATACCCTATGAGACGCAGGCAGGTCCCGTCGTAGTTGTCCTTTGGCATGCCGGTGACCATAATTATACGGTGTGCCTGGTTATATGTCACTCTTATACCTGAAAGCGGTGCAGAGCCCATGAAGAATTGTTATTCATAAATACCTAAGACAGTTTACGCATTCCTATTGGTCGAGAGCCCGTCACGTGGCCGGTCTTTAACAGATGATAAAGACATGGCTAGCTGGTCTTAAATACTTTTCCAGTGTCACATGAAATTTGGACTCCCATGCCTTTTAACATTTCATTGGTTGAACGTTCACATTGCTCACGTATGCATGCGCAATACTGCCAGTGATTCAGTATTTCATGGTCCGAAATTCACACTACACAGCCCAGCTGATTTTTGCGCGCCATCGCGCAGTACGCACGACGCCCATGCCAATGTCCTTATAAAGTAAAGAGTTGTGGAGGGGCATTCCATATTATTTTCAGAGGGGTGTTTCGTAAAACACGAAATAATTTTGTTTAAACAAAATGGTTGGCAACGTCTAGTTTTTAACTTTAATTTTTTGGACCGAAAAGATTTGATTTTTGACCGACAAGGTATTTATGAATGGGAATAAATATGCGTTTGGTCGGTATTAAACACTCTGTTTAAGACCGGTGGGAGTCTGGATGGGTGATTCGCCTCGGGTAATTATCACCCATCTAGACTCCCACCGGTCTTAAACAGAGTGCTATAATACCTCCCGAACACACATTTATTCCCTTATGAAAGAATCCCTACATTTGCAATGATCAGGTCGTTAATGTTGTTGAAAGGAGTAAGCGCAATAAAATGTTTTTAGACTGATGTCAAAATGATGATAACATGTATTGCGTCGACATACATTCATTCCTTTGGGGACACTTTGTAGAAATTTATTTCACATCAGGGAGACACTTGGCGTGCATCAGGTAAACTTTTGAATTTTGAATGTTTGCCAAATGATTTAAGTACATGTACCATTTCTAGATGGAATTTTACTGCTGATAGCTGTTTAAAACAATTTCTTAGGTCGAGAATAGTATCAGCGAGAAGTTTGATCATGGACAATTTAAATATGAAGTAACTGGGCAAGGAGATGAGGAACAATACAGTTATTACACTTACCTAATTTATCCGGTGATGCAGCTGAATCGTAAGAACCACGGAAGAGAAAAAAAATTTGCAAACAGAAATTATTCACAACATTGTTGGGTATTTTTAGCGTCGGGGTGATATAAATCAAATTAGGTTTTGCCCTTCACCGACGTATAATATTTGCTTAATGCTTCATTTCTAGATGGACTTTTTCTGCCGATAGCTGCTTAAAACAATTTTTAAGGTCGAGAATAGTATCAGTGAAACAGAAATTGTAAGAATGAAACTTGGTTTCTTCATGTTTCGAAGACTCGGTTTTAGACGAAAACTTTCGCATTAAATGTCCACTGACAAAAATGACGTCTGAAATCAAGAAAACAAAAAACGACCTCGTCCCATGTGTTACATATCATGAATTCCCCTCCGCGCTCTGAACATCAGACGTTCGGGTAACCACGAAAAAAAATCTGCCTCATATTCCACCGCTGTGACCCGGGTTCGATTCCTGCCTGTGCAACATGTGGATTGGGTTTTCAGTCCCCACCTGATTCCGCGGGTTTCCCTCAGAATCTGAACTTTTTCTCCTATCTCTAAAACCGTAATTTCTGTACAATGTCTTCCCTCTACAGGTTCCTTCAGGCTTTCGAGCTGCAGAGTCTAGGGCATTTTTGAGGAACCCTTGGTTTCCTTACCAGAAAGACATAATATGAACACATAATTACAAAATGGGTATTTTGTGGTCACAACCCCAGCCACACAGCGCAAGTATCAACATAATTGTGAATCGAGGATATTTCGTTGTTCATCTTTTGTTTGTAATCAAGCATTCTGTAGAACATGTCATTCGTTTTATACGCTTGTTTACATCCAAGACCGTCCTCACAGCGCATGTCTTTAAATAGAAAAAGGGTTTCCTAAAAATAAAAATGCATTTACTCGATTTACACCATTGGGGCACGCGTCCGAGTGTACTTACGCTTCGTGCGCACGTCCACTGTAGCGTATGAACTGGCCCCGTGCGTATTGAGTGCATACACGGCCACTTGGTAAAGCGTGCCTTGTTCCAGGTAAGAGAAAAAGCCTTTGGTGATCGTCGGAGGCCAGCGTTCGATCCAGCCACCGGCGTCGAAATCCCACGGAATCTTGCGAATGTTGATATAGTGTGCATACAGCTCCTCGCCCCCGTCGTAGCCTGGCTCCCATGTCACCCAGACGTCGTTCTCTGTTGAATAATATACTTGGAGGTCTCTTGGCGGCTCTGGCTTTCCTTCAAAAGAACAGCGAATACACTAAAGTTCAGTATCCAATTAAGCAACAGGCTGTATCGCTTGTAAACCATGTATAGAGCATGTTCCTTGCTCTATGTGTAAACATACACCTGTTGGCTTTCAGTGAGCTTTTTGGTTGCACCTATGGGTAACATAAACGTACCTGGGACTACCAGGTATCAAAATAAATCATCCATCTCAAAAACACTGGGCTCAGAACACTGCGTCAAATATGTGCTGACATTAACCTGAATTTTACCTGTTTCTGTCAGCTCTATTTCATGTTCGTCGTATGTGCTGATGTTGTTGGCAGCTCTACACCTGTACATCCCATAATCGGTGCTGTTCGCCACTGGAGTAATGATCAAGTGACTGACGATGAGATAGCCCACAGCCCCACTACCAGTAATGGTGTCTTCCAGGAAGATCCGGTCAGGGTTGGTATAATGGGTAATAATGGTGTCATTTGGACCGTACCAAGTGACCCTGGGGAGGGGATTACTTCGGACGATGCATTCCAAGGTTGCTGTGTAGTTGTCGTTGGCACCAGTCCACGTCCTGTCCTTGTTGGTAATTTCAGGAGGATCTAATTGACGCAAATTGGAGAAATCGAATGGGAGAAGGACAATCATCAATGTAATCTTTCAGGTGTTGATGGTGACAGCATTACAATGGCATTTAAATGCAACACTTCAAAACTTGACTTTAAAAAGGAAATAGAGGTTATCTCATTTTTGATGACTTCATTAAAGGTGATTACAGTGAACGATGTAATAACAGTTGCTGTGCCCACTAATATCCACCAACATGGCATGAACAGGATCAGAATCCAATCCTGTTAACAAAAAGCTTTTGAAATCCACTCCCATGTTACAATATTAGAGAAGGTACTGTCTTTCAAACCTTATACCACAAGGCTAACTACTCGTAGCTACAGCCCGAAATATGTTGGTGACCTCACTAATTTCAGTTTGAGCTCTCATCTCACAACATGCACACCAACATAATAGATGTTTCTTTATGACATGGTTTGCCCTTCTGTCTTCCAAACTTTATGTCATATGACATGCTTTACACAAGGCTAATCGATCGTAGCCGTAGCCCTATCAAAGTGTGTTGACGACCTCACACTAAGTTTGAGCAGTCAATTGACAAAATACATACATAAAATCAGATCCAACTGAACAAGAGGGCCCCATATACACGTTTAATTTGATCCGGAACCTGATTCATATTTGACTTGAAACTGAATCACAAGGACTCTTTCTGAGTCAAATGACACTTTTGGCAAGGATTCCAGGTCACATATAATCGAAAATGGAATTGAAGTGTCATTTTGACATTAGGTCAAACATGACCAGGCTTCCATGGCAAATGTGATCCGGTATCTTAAGAGTGTACTCCTGGTATAGGTGAAATGAACCATTAATTGCCTAAACTCTGGCATATTATTACTCAGCTCGATTGCTTGTTGAGTTGCCATCAATATTCAAATCTATTCAGTACATTTTAAGTCTTGAATTAGCCTCTTTCTTATTTGCTTTTCACCATTTAAAATAATTCTTCAAATGAATGACCAAGAAAAGAAGGTCTACAGCCTTTAGGATTTGGCAGGGTTCTTGATGTATTTGACTGAATTGTATCGTCAATGAAATACTCCTTTGGACAAAAGTGAAAAACACTATGGGGCTACTCACATAAGACTTCCACAGCAGTCGAGTCGGAAAATGTGTTTGGATTCCAATAGTTTGATGTCCAGACGCTGGTCCCCACACATCGGTACCAGCCAGTCTGGTTCCTGGACACCCCTGTCAGCGTCAAGTTGTTGCTTGAAACTGTATATGTTGGTTCAGTGAGAGGGAAAAAGGAAGCTCCATTCGGACTGTGCTGCCACTGAACCCATCCAGTGGAGGCTTGGTTGCTCGTGATGAGGCACGTGAGCGTGACGTCACTTCCTTCGAGGATGGATTCCGATGGAGATGTAGTAACGGAGAGCTCCCAGTCTCCACGAGTAACTAATCAAAATGAGTAAGTTAAGGCATCTTGAGAAACATGTCACATTTGTTTAATTCAGAAATTGGAAGTTGTGATCATGTATGCGTGACGCCAATTTTCAGCAAACTGTATATGTGTTGAAATATGGATGGTTTGAAAATGTTGGCATAACGTTGGACAAAATGACACGCAAACAATGCTGAAATGTTTCTGTTGCCTGGCGGTCGCCTGTCGGCATGAGGTCACATAAAACATACATAATATATATGTAGGCCTATGCATGGTTATAGTTTTGTTAATGAAAGTCGCATCACAAGTCATAACAAATCGTCTCAAGCCTGCACAAATCAATCACTGGTCAATCACTAGTCAGTTCGCTATTAAAATGAACTGTGACAAAAAGCATCCACGGTGAGTGTTCATCCTCTGTTGCTCGGGTACTGAGGTGTGATTTCCCTCTTTTCAATTGTAACGCGTATACGCGACGTGTGATGTACCGCTGTGCAAAAAAATATAAACCTCTAACACTATCTGACATTTAATACAAGGTCATATAGGTCATATAAGGGTGGTGTGCTAATATTCCATGCCTGTCTCACGAATGTGTTAACAATTGTATGTGACCTTTGAATCCATGGTCTGCTTGTGTTTACACAATACACCCATATTATATTACCGTGACAATGCGAAATTCTCGCGTAAATTTAATTGCCTTTCTTTTTCTCGATGGTTACACTGTCTGCGCTTCAGCTAATAGGTCGTGTCAGGTTAACATTACAGTTAATCCGTCTATGTGTTCGTATTTCCCGTGTCAAGGCATTTGCCGTTTTAAACTGTCAGACTAACCTTGTTTGGAGATTTGAACCAGTGACAACACTACTACTGCGTAAATGGCGTGCGCCATCTTTCCACTAACGTTGGTCGAGTGTTTGTCGACACAAACGTCATTGTGGAGTTTGGACTCTATTAACCGGGCCGGGCTATTTTGACAAGCTCTCAGCCGGGAGGGGGGGGGGATTCGGCCCCCCTCTAAGATCTCGGCCATCGAGCCACGAAAAATTATGAAACTCACCACATGCATAGAACAACGTATCATGAACATACCTAAGAAATTTCATGACTAAAGGTCAAAGGGCTTTGAAATTATTGCTAATTAATTATTCATATGCACGAATGGTAATCCTGCTCCGTGTACACTACGTATATAGGGAAATTCGCTGCGTGGCTACCCGTGGTCCGATTTTTATGTTTTTGGTATCAAAAGATGCGCAAGGCTCGACGCTAAAAAGTATGAACAGCTCAGGTTGCGAAAAAGAATGTTTCAAGGCTATTGTGGAAAACAGTCAAGGTGGGCGGATTCCGCCCCGGCCCCTTTTGGGTTAACGAAGGCGATCAACGATTACATGTACCGGCGTTACTGTTTTTACGGTTTTATTTCAGGTCCGGCTATCGGTGACTTTTTTTGGATTTAATGAATAAACGTGAAAAAGAAAGTGGAGTTGAATTTCAGAGCCCATTCGCTTATATTCTGGCATCAGGTCTACCTGCAATTTGCTTGAGCTGCGACGGAGGTAGCTTTAGTCAATCCATTAATGGATAGTATCCGTGCATGATTGTATCTGGTCATTAACCAAACATAAACACTAGCTGCTGCACTATGCACTAGTACGAAGTACGAACAGCGACCTCACGCGGCTACAATAGGTAAGTCAGTTGGCAAAAACGGACTTTCGTTCTTGAGCTGTGCGTAGGGGGCGGCAGTTGTTTGCTTCAGCAGTCAGAGACCATCACACACACGCAAAATACACCTTACTAATCTGAAAGAGGGAGTGGAGTTGAATCCACTCGTCACACCCGATCGGTATGTATGCTACAGCCGACAGTTCTGAAAGCAAGCCGGAGATGAATGGATGGAAGCGTTTAGCAACGTGTTGATAACCAGGCTTATTGTAAGGGGAGAGCCGGTTTTTTCCGAAATATTTTAACATTGTTGCTGAGACCATACTAGGGCACAAGGAGTCAGAACTCTTTGGCGATTTACAATCCCTCGGTATTGTCCACAGCTACAGCACTGTGACCGCAAGCCTCGACCATTCATTGCGTGACTGCAAGCAGCCGTTGAACACGATTATCGTCGCCGCCTTTTTAGTTGGTAACCAACAACCTCCCTCTATGCTGCATAATACGTCATGTCACGTCGTTGCTCATTTTTAAAAAATAAAGTTTACCACAAGATAGGTTGTTAACAACTGTGCAGTTGTTAGATGTGAGTTATGAATTCAAGTTATCGATGTGCAGTTGTTGGTCCTTGAGAGCGCTACCTGTTCCTGTAATTTGAAGATAAATTATTTTTTTTCCCGATAAGTTATCATGTCTTTTTCGAAATTTTAATTGGCAATACGTCATGTGTGAAATGTGATATTTTGACGTTCAACAATGGCAAACCTTTATTCCAACGCATGCCAGAGACAATGTACATGCAAGACGCCACCATACGTCATTGAGACCGGGCACAAGGTACACATGTAACACTCGTTTGCCTGCAGCTTCCGAGATCATCTCGAGCTTGTTCGTTTAACACTTTTAGACTAAGGACAGAATGGTAATCGTGATCCCGATATTCTGTTGTAGGCAAAGTCGTGAGAGTCGGGCCTGCTGGCAAGTCCTACTAATCTTGAAGCTTTGCATGGTGAGATAAGGTAGACAAATTGCCGGAAACACCATGTGGAAAGCATTTTTTCTCAGAAGAAGTGTGGTTCTGAAAAAAAAAACCACATACTCACCCTCCCGAGGACGGACATAGCACACTGTCCGAAACGTCGAGTTCTACACTCAATCCAACCGGTGTTTTTCTGAACCACACTTCTTCCAAGAACATATTTCTTTCCACATGGTGTTACCAGCACTTTTCTATCATACTGAGGTGTCTAGACCGTAGCAATTGATTTCTTGTGACCTTAGAATAAAATATTCCCCCCCCCCCCCGTAATCAAAGTATGTAATGACAACCAGCGGTGTGTCAAAGGGGAGGGGGCACACGTCCCTTAACAAATCCTCGCTCTTCCCTCGCTCTCCTCGTTTTCAAGAGCGGCCAATTTCTTTAACGAGTACCCCTCATAAAAATCACGCGAACGTCATTCATTGGTGCCGCCCGCCATAAAGAGCGTGGTATATTGTCTGATAGTGCGTTGCATTTGAATGAAGCCCCCATAATTATATAACTGATTTCCAGGCCCCCTCCCCCACACTTTTTGACGTTGCAGAGGCCGGGTATTTAGCCAGTAAAAAAGTGCCTACTTTTCAACACAGATAAACTGGGCGCCACCCCACTTTAAAATTCAGCCCCCCCCCTCTGCCCCACCCCCTCCCACCACCATAATGAGATTACCGGCTACGCCGCTGATGACTACGACAGTTTAAATTTGAATTTTGAGCCAATTTTGAGCAAATCATCCAACAAACTTCAAACTTTACAAACTTCAAGCACTGTTGTGTGTGTATCGACACCATGGGTGACAACCGATTTTGCCGAAACTGGCATATGACGTCATGGTTTTTGAAGAGGTACGTACTAGAAAAAATGGGAATATTGCAATACTTGGTAGTCTTTCTAAATGCATGAACAGTATATGAATGTCTGCAGCCGATTGTTCAGGCAGACAAGAAATTCCAATGTAGTTAATACTGAATCGGTGGGCATTCATTAACCTAACTCTTTGCGCATGCCCACTCTGATTTCAGGTGACTAATTTAACCCACAAATATATTCGTCAACGCTTATCATCGTTTCTGTTTACACCAACGAATTATTGTCAACTGCTGCCTCCATTAATGGCTGTCATCGAAAAAATGGTGGTTGTTTTGGCTATATTATGTTTCGAGTAGCCTACGTTAATCGGTTTCGAGTCCAAATTCCAGATGATTGTGAGTACGCCTCAATTTTTCATGGCTGCCAAAATGGAGTTCGTAAAGTACGCAGTAATACTGCTGGGATTATTGGCTCGGATCTGCAGCTGTACACAGTTAGGTGCGCAAAGTAAGTCAAAGACGTATGGCTTATTACTGGAGCACTATCCCATAATTAAGATAACGAATTTTATCTGAAACGGGATCCAAAAACTTTGTTAAATTTATCAACTTGAACACCGTCCTTGGTGTTGTATATCTCGTGACTGAACCCCTGCAGTCATTTACGACGGTAGGGATACCATTGATTTCAAAACAGTTTCGGCTAAGTCGGGTCGATTATTAGCATTGAGACGAGACGAGTAGTTCCGAAGACCGAAAACACCTGAAATATCAAATAATTTTACACTCTAAAGGTCCCGTCAAATCCTTCTCGGCGCTTTCAGACTGTATTTAATCAAATGTCCAATAACAAGTGATCAATATAAATCCGTGTTCGATGTACAAATGCATGTTCATGAACATCGAACATGAGCCCCAACAATATCGAACTAGCGACAGCCATATTGGCTTCACGGACATAAATACCAAGTATCTTTTTATTCCCGCGTAGATTGGACACTTACCGTGACCAGGTCGTCATGGGGTACCGTCTTTGAGGGCAGCAACGTCACGTTCACCTGCACCATCGGCAGCGACAACCCAAACCTCTCTGTATGGATAGAGTGGCGGCACACCCTTTTTGGGGACGAAATCATCACTCTCAGCGAGCCTACATACGTAACAGGCAGCCACACTTTGACACTTACGGGGGTGTCTGGGAACCAGGCCGGCTACTATCGATGTGTTGGGAGCACCTCCTGGTCACCAGCCTATTGGAATCCCACTACAATGTCTGGTTGGAGTTCCTTACCGCTCCGCTGTGAGTACACCCAAAACACATACTTGCCAATCCGCGAACATGATCTATGATGAAATAAAAAAAAAAACACTACTGGTTTATCTGAACGGTATTTCGTTGTATCGTAGTCGGGTATTCACGTGTTGTTCTAGAGTCCATTTCCCCTGTTGTGCCAGGTGTCCTAAAAATATTCTAAGGGACTTTAACTTTTGGTACTACAGTTCAATCCTTGTGATTTAATGTTAACAAAAGCTACTCTTTTAAGGCCAAAAAAAAATATTCGGTCTCTGGTCTCTTTTTACCTTTTTTTCCTTCAAGCTTGGTTTGTACAGTCAAGGTGGGGTACTATTTTGCTATTGGTGTCCTCGTGTACATTGGTGTTCTCCATAATTTGCCTTGGTGCTCTCGATCATTTGCCTTGGTGCAATTTCCCATTCCTTGGTGCTCTTTGGTAAAAAAAAATTGAGGAGGTGCGGCAATAGAGGGCGCTGTTGGAGCTACCGCGGAACATTTTGGAAAAAAAAAGATTGACGCGCATGATTAAAATCGACGCGCGCGCTGACCAGAGACCGACTTATTATTTTTTTTGGCCTAACATTTTTTTTTTCAGATATGATACTTCCCAGCAAAACCTTTAATTAAATTGACTGAGATAACTTTAATATATTTGCTAAATAAAACGACGTTTTAAGGTAAATCTTCCTGTGAAGTTGGTGCGTCCTCGAAAACCAGGCATGATTTATATTTTATCTGGAATTTCTTCACCATTTCCTTCACAGATCGCCCCGTATATATGAACAAGGACAGGACGTGGATTGGTGCGAACGACAACTACAAGGCAACTTTAGAATGCTTCGTTCGAAGCGATCCCCAGGCTACAGTCACTTGGTACGGTCCAAACGGTGCAAATATAACCGAAGACACGGATCCCGACCGAGTCTCAATTGAAGAAGATTCTTATCAGAATCCGTATGCTGGATATATAGTCGATAGTCTCTTGATCATCGATCCAGTGAATTCCAGCACCGATTATGGGATGTACAGGTGTAGGGCTGCCAACGCCATCGGTACATTTGTCGACCATGACATCGAATTGAAAGAAACAGGTAATGACGTTATCATTTGCCCTTGGTTTCAACGAAGTATTGAGTTTTGAAGATAGATGATTAAGATACCGGCAAAGGACATTAGTGTAAAAAATACACACAATCCGATCAGCAAAAAAACCCAAAACATCAAGTGAAAACTAAACGTTTCCTTAACAAAATATTTTCCTGCTTTAAAAAGTATTAGATTCAAATATTGCGAATGACTGTGTTTTATATTCTTCAAGGATGTTGCTTTTCGTTGTTGAGCGGACAGTTTTTTAAAGGAGGCACAATGTTAACGTTGATTTTGCTTAGTGTATTGGATCAAAAGACAAATGTCCTGAGGCCAGGCAAAGCTGGCTGGCTTTTTCAGATTTTAAAAGCCGGAGAAAGATGGTACAGGGTGCTTCCGCTTGTCTTAACTTTCAACTGTTCTTCACGACTCATAATGAGGATGAGAATCAGTGATTTAAAACTATCGTCATCACTTCTCTTCTAATTTAGGCCCTAATTATTAAGAATTAAAACTAGAGGTTCGCGTTTGGTGTTACAAACGCAGAGTGGTCGAGCAGGCAATTTGTTCATTAAACACTGCCGAGTTGAGTTATGAATATGGTATTTGTAAGAAGAAAGGATCACACAATTAAATCTTTTCCAGTACAATCAATTATTTTGTTAAAAAATGGATCTTCAACGGTGTGATAAACTTTAGTTAACATTCTATGCACACATACAAGTTATTTCTTGCTTGATTACGTCATTAATCTAAAAATACTGATTAAGTTCGGAGTAGATAAATGTTCATTGTGAAATTAAGCAACGTATGGAAATATGGTAATATAACTATGTATTCCTAACTCCTAATGTTCGGTTTAATGACGTCACAGTATTTGGAGGCAAATGGTAAACATTGTAATGGTATCGTTATTTGGGCTATGAATATATATGACATGGATCAAATGATACAATTAAATTTAAAATATTGTCGTGTCAAATTCTCAAAGAAGTAACCTCCGGTCTTATGACGTCATGAATTTGAAACCTTGCCAACTTATTTGTGGTTTATCAAAGAATATCAAGGTGCAATTTGGTGAAATTTTTAAGGATGATTTTCAAGTTAAAGGAAGCAAACGCTATTTAATATGCCGCTACGGAGCGCCCTTTCGAAAGATGACGTCATCACACTGTTTTGTGTCTGGCATTCCTCACTTTCATAATTTATTTTTGTGTAGTAAAATGCTTCTGCTTTTGAGTTAAACTCGGTTTTTATTGCACTTCCGGTAAAACAGGAAGTGAAGGTCAAGCAGCTTTGTGTCCAGGGCCAAGAAAATGTTTCTCACAGCATAGTCTACAATCTCACGAAAAAAAACCGAACGCAATACTATATTTAGTTCAAAAGATATAGCACAAATTATTTCGTCAAAATTTGACATTAAATCACATGTAATTTGATACATGATGACGTCATGATGACGCAACAAAATATAAAGCATCTTCGTAACATGTTACAAGTTCGCACTAGGTTTTTTAATCATACCTTAAACTGTATGGAAGAAATTTTGCTTGTTTTGATTTTAGGCTAAAGTCTTCATTTTGAATTCACCTAACTTTAACCTTCCGGTTGACCCGGAAGAAAGGGTCAAGTGAACGTACACGAAAAGAAATGTTTATCAATTCATTAAAATATAAACATCACTGAATATGTTGTTCAAGAGTGATGGGTAGAAGTAATTGGTCATTTTTTTTCAGCAGAAATCGCTTGTAATTTGACATCCGGTGACGTCATTATGACGTCAAAGTTCCTATAATGAACCGTTTAGGAGAAAACCCGCGGAAACGTGCCGTACCGGAAAAAAGGAAAGATAATTATATGAGAACAATTCCAGACAGTGTTCGGGTTGTGCCCGACCACTCAAAAATGCGTATCCGTTATACCACCTCCACCTGGATATATCTACCGGTAATTGAGGGAGGGGGAGGTTGAAGAGTCCAATGCGTTTGGTTTAGGAACCCCTTTTTTTATAAATTAATGAGTATTTTGTTTTACAGGACCACCTGAGGCGCCAAAGAACCTCGCAATATCTAACAACTACGTAACTAAGGATACCATCGGGTTCAACTGGGAACCAGGCTATGACGGGGGCGAGAAATTGGAGTCCTATTACATGAACATTCGCGAGATTCCGGGAGATTTCAATGCGTCGAACTGGATCCAACGTAGCCTGCAGGAGCGGTATTGGGCGTATACTGACCTCCAGCCGGACACACTTTACCAAATAGCAGTGTATGCGAGGAATAAACTCGGGACGAGTCCATACTCGACTCTAGATGTGCGCACTGCGCGTGAGTATCCTTCCAATGTTGCTTTTATGCCTTCGCCCTTTATGCTTTTGCATCACATGTATATGTTTGATGCATCGACCTAATTAATTCATTGGTGTATCCTTGGGGTAATGTGGTACGATTGTTTTCTCGCGAGTGGTCTTATTTTCACGATTGCCTTTTTTTTAATGTCCAGCGTTGGATGGCCATAAAGAGCAACGCCTATTATCCGAAAGTATAAAACTGTCATCAAAATGATGTGTTCATCCAGATTCCTGTTCAAAAAATATATATATAGGCGTATAAAGATAAATAAGATATTTGCACAATACATGTATACCTAAAAATAATTGTTAAAAATATACAAATAACGAGATCTTTAAAAATCGTGCACTTTGAACAGCGCCCCATATGAAAAATACTGAACATATCGAAACGATTTTTAGCACATAGTTGGATCATTGTCAGGGAAACAAACTCCAAAAGTGGCAGGAAGATACTGTCTTCAAATGGGAGAAATTAATGTTGAAAACGTTTGTCTGCGAACTTCAAAAGGTCTGTGTAACGGTAATGTGAGCTTGTTTTTTTTTTCAAAATAAAGTATTACGTGAGTAGCAAAATATTCCCTATATAGCAACAGGAAGACGGTACCTGGTTTAGACTAGGATAATATACAAATACCTGGTTATATTATTTTTATTTGGATTACTGTGGAAGCGTTAACGACGTCTTTATAGTAATTTTAGTTTGTGGCTTCTTTTCAATTTAATGATTTTCTGTCTAACATTGTCCTCGTTTTCCTGTAATGTTATGTTACAGCTTTGGAACCGGGTCAGTTGGGTAAGTGCACCTTTTCTTTTCGTTTTGTGCTGACGTATTTGGAATATATATCGTCACCGACACCACCAACTTTCACCCTCTGCATCACATGTGTACACATTTTTTTTTAAGTTAATTTTCTTTTTTGCAAAGTTACAATTGCTGAAATCATCTAAAATAAGCAAATTTTACTAATGAATTCTCAAGAAATCGGTCAATTCTGGTATTTTTTGTTACCACGAAGTGACCATGCACAGGGTGTCAGTTCGTGAAAACAAAAATTTGCGTGTTTTCGGAGAGTGTGCGCATGCATTAGCGTTAGGGAGTGTCAATTTGTGAAAACGAAAATTGACGTGTTTTTGGAGAGTGCGCGCACGCATGCGCAGTGTGTGCGCGCACTCGCCCAAAACGCGTCAATTTTGGTTTTCACGAACTGACACTCACTAAGCTATTGCATGCGTGCACTCTCCAAAAACACATACATTTTCGTTTTCACGAACTGACACCCATCTTAATCATTTAATTGCTAATTAACTAAGCAGATTTTTACAATATAACGTTCATAATTGAGTAGTTTAAGCATTTTCACGCTAAGTGATACTAAAACCTCTAAGATAGATGGAATATTTTACTGAGTAAACTCGTGTCAAACCTTTAAATGCGTTTTTCTCCGATTTGTATTTCTGCAACGCGCTCATATAACAGTTTGGAATTGGTAACTCGTCTGGATTATTGGAGCTCATGATAAAAAAAAAACTTTAGCTAATTTAAAGCCCTCGTGTGATAAATAACGTCGTGTTTGTTTCCTTTTAAAGGTAAAATATCAACCGGAACATGTTACCATTACACGTCAAGTGCTTGATTCTGACCTGGCTTATTGGTCGTTTTATTAATTAAGAATCTAAACCTTGACATTTGTCTTGTCTCTGTTACATCGTTACTCTGAAATTTTGCCATTCAAGTGTCAATAAGATTGACTTCAATTTGTATTTTGGTAGATAGTTAGCAAATCATTTTCGCTATTGGCGACGAATGTACTTATGGTCATAAAATCATGGGTGTCAGTTGTAACAGGGACACGTAAAAAGTTGATCCCAATATTTCGGCTCTTAACGGCAATTTTTAAAACAGTTGCACCATTTTACCATGAAGTATCACAAACAAAATATAAAGGTTTATTTTCGGATAAAGATGAAGTTTAGATAACCTAAACTAAATGCACAATTATTAACGCACTTTGACGATGAGTGTAACGTTCTACGTAATAAGGCAAAAATGCGTATGTTGCATAGTTATGCCATTTTGCCTCGTTACAATCAGGTTGCATCGAGCACAAAGAGGATGCATCTCAATATACGCCCTTTTGTCGAATAAATTAAAACACACAGGCCTAATTTTGCACAAGATACGCCCTGTATGCTATATTTAAAATGGAAGGCCATAAGAAACCCCTAAGTAACTTTATCTAACAAAAAGAAGAAGAAGACATATAATTCCAGTTAGGCCTCCACCCTTTCACCGTGAGAGGACCGATTTAGAAAATGACCCATACAGGTGAGCAGTACCACAAATGACATCGTCTAACTTTGATCGCCCTCAGGTATATCAGTATCATACATCAAGTCAAATGGGAGAATTGTCGTCACTGGCATGCCGACAGACGACGACAAAGGAACCTGCCTACGACTAGCGGGGCGGGCGACGGGAAGCGTGGATGATGTGAGTCTGAGGCCAGACCTGGACAACATTCAGCATGACGGCGAGTTCAAATACTTCGGCCCGTATTCCGACAATATAGTATCGTACTACTGCCGGGATGGACGGTGCGGTAGGAATTCTTACGTTTTCAAAGGTAAGTATACCTTCACATTAAAAACAAACGTTCGGCAAAGGGTTGGAATGTACCATCTGACTTCAGCCTCTGGCAAATTCTCCCAAATTTACCCACAAAAGGATGAATTTACACCAAAGTTTGGCAATTAGCATTGCTTACAGGGGGGACCGCCCCCCCCCCCCATAAAACCTTGTCGCCCCCCCCCCAGTCCCCCCCCCCCCAACTGAGATTTTGAGTTTCTAAAAAAATGATCATTGACTAAATCTAAATAGTCGCGAATGATCCACATGGTGACCACTGAGAAACGACCCTTCGACCGGCGACCGCGGACCAGTAAGCTGGCAACCGGCGTGACATAGCGCATAATGGTAATCTAAAATGCGTATTAACACCCACTGCACTGCTCGCTCACACCACGGAACACGTATTATAGACAGGTGGTCCGTGGGTCACACAGTTTCAGTCAGCGATCATGATAACACGCGAATTGGCCACACACAAACTTTTTCCTCCATTCAGATAAGCTAAATAATAATAATAGACCAATTAAAATTCCTTGAAATCAGTGGCGTAGCCGAGGGGGGGGGGGCGTGGGGGCGACAGCCCCCCCCCATGAAACCTTATCGCCCCCACCCCCCCAGACGCCCCCCCCCCTCCCCCCACTGAGATTTTCTAAAAAAATTATATTTGATCTACATGACGCCATGGGCGTCAATCCTGGGGGGGGGGGGGGGGGGGGGACAGGGGACTGGTCCCCCCCCCCCACTTTTTGAAGGGTGGGGGACACAATATCAAATGCCCCCCCCCCCCGATTTTTGAACTCGTGTCTCATTTACAGGGCCCTATTATGTACTACAATGTATCTTTTGCTTAGAAAATATTGGTTAAAGTGGTCAGAAATTGCCTCAGATAGCACAACAGAGCATTTAGAATCCAAATATTTTCGGGGCCCTTAATCGGTCCCCGAACCCCACGCCTATAGCTCAGAATTCTGGTAGCTGATTCAATGACTTCAACCTCGCAAACAATGTTCAAAAAAAATTTCTGATGCCTTTAGCTGAGAAAACCTCGAAAATTATGTTTAAATTGTTATCTTTTGTGCTAAGATAATTATTGGTTAAAGTGGTAAGAAATTGCCTCAGATCACACCAAAGAGCATCAAGAATCCAATTTTTTCGGGGCCCTTAAGCGGGCCCTGAACCCCCGCCTATAGCTCAGAATACTGATAGCTGATTCAGTGATTCCAACCTCGAAAACGATGTTCAAATAATTATCTTTTGCTAAGAAAATATTAGTTAAAGCATGGAGGAAAGTGGTATGAAAGTGCTTCAGATCACACCACAGAACATCTAGAGTCCATTTTTTTCGGGGCCCTTAAGCGGGCCCCGAACCCCCACGCCGTAAGGGCTTCGCGCTTCGCGCTCGCATCAATTCTGATCAAGGTATGTACCCCCCCCACACACTTTTGAGAAGCGATTGACGCCCCTACATGACGCCCCCCCCCCCATGAAATGTTCCAGCCCCCCAGCGCCCCCCCCCCCCCACACACACACTTAAATATTCCTGGCTACGCCACTGCTTACAGTGTTTTGCCAAACAATATCATTTTACAGGGTACAAACACATGTAATCGTGTAAAACTAGACCTTTTCCAAAATGAAATTCCATAAAACTCTCTGGTATTTTGTCTTTGTTTACGTAACTTGTGCAGTGTGGCTTTCCGTGACCAAGAACCCATCGGCACCTGTTTCAGAGAGAGGTGACGTCACGCTGACCTGTTTCCTCAACACCTACAACTCGGGATGGATCGAGTGGCAGTACACTCTCAATCAGGAGACCTCGACCAATCTCACCGAGCCGACGTTTACTGAGAGCAGCAACAGCTTGACCCTTGAGGGGTTGCTCAGGGACCAGGCTGGCTGGTACCGATGTGCTGGGAGGGCGTACTGGTCATCGGGCGATTGGAACCCGGATTCATTTTCATTCTGGACTGCCGTTATTGTCTACTGTGAGTATATACGACCCCTCCCAACGATCTCCACACCAGTCGCTATTGTAGACCTAAGCCCTTTACCTATTGTAGACCTAGGCCCTATACCTATCTATTTTTGTGTTCTTGTTAAATAAAATTGCAAACTCAAAACCGACTAAGACCGACTTGCAGGGTCTCATTGCCCCGGAATGGTGTTAACACCCTCAGTGTTTGAGCCACCTTGCGTGTACAACCTTACCACTGCCGTATGGGGTACCGAAACAATGGGACGTACCCCACAAGGAATGCCCCCTGACTTACTGGGTACAGTTTTAGCAACCCTCAATTTTTTACGAAATAGATATATGAATTTTACTCAAAAACTAGTAATTTTCAAGGAGGGTTGTTGTGTCGTAAATTGAAGAGTTTTGGAAAAGGGATATTAAGTCCGAATTTCAGCCCGGGAAATTTATTCTGGTTAGAATAAGAGCATTTTGAAATTAGTGCGCGACTTTGCAAAATTTTAGTACACGAGAACTAAGGAAGTACCCCACTTCTATGCCTGCGTGTGTGGGTGTGCGTGAATTTGTTTTACATTCACTATGTGGACTTGTGAACAAAAGATGTCCACATAATGCCGGTTGTATTGACGTTATGTTGACTAAGCCGTGCCCACATAACGTTTCGCCTTCTCTGGAAAACAGGTTTAGAGGAATTTTGGGGTTAAGTTTATCCATGGCAGAATGAAGAGAAACACTATAGGGAATTAAAAAAAAAATGGGTTGAAAGAGTTTTCACAGTTCAAGTAAAGTTATTTTTGTACCTAGTTTTCTTAACTACACGAAAACAAAGGAATATCCACATACATAGAGTATGTAAAACAAATTTTGTGAGTGTGTTTTTTTTTTTAAGATCACCTGTTGGGACTGTATACACATACCAGAGTGGTACGTCCTTCGTCGTTGGTTGTAAAAAAATAATTTTGATTGCTTGCAGTTACTCTTGAGTGGGGGAGTGTGTGGACTAGTGGTTAGGGTTCGTGACTCATGATCAGAGGGTCAGGGGTTCAAATCCAGCTGCTTGTCATATATTGTGTCCTTGGGCAAGCCACTTCACCCCCGCTTGCCCCTCTCCACCCTGGAGTATAAATGGGTACCGCCATTAGCTGGGGAGTAACCTGCGATGGACTAGCATCCCATCCACGGGGAATAGAAATGTTCTCAGTCGTTTCATGCTACTGAAACTGGATATAAACGCCGGCCTGATGAGCTACATTGGCTCGTGACAGACTTTACTTTACTTTACTTTACTTACTACTCTTGAAGCCCCTATATCCTGGATATGTTTGCGAGAGTCGCCATTGGTTTTGTACACGATTCCCAACGGATGACTTTTACCTAATCGCGGACCTTATTTGTCATATTTTTCTACCTCTTATTTTGTCAAAGATGGGCCTGAAATCATTGACAAGGAAAGAAGCTGGATTGGTGCGAACGACAACTACACAGCAACCTTAGAGTGCATCATCCAAGGCAATCCCCTCCCCAATGTCACTTGGTACAGTCCAAACGACACCATCATAACCAACAACACAATACCTGACCGGATTTCACTGGAAGATAACATTACAGGAGATGGGTTTTTTGAATATCATGTCATCAGTCACCTGATCATTTCTCCAGTGGAGAACATCACCGATTATGGGATGTACAGGTGTAGAGCTACCAGTAACACCGGTACATTTGACGAGCACGAAATACTTTTGAAAGAAACAGGTAAATTTAATTTGTTCTCATCATTGACTCGAATTAGGCAGTGTAGGCCTATGCTTGTTTCCCGAGAGCCTCTGCTGCGCGCATTTCAGCATCTGACACTTTTATAATCATTATACCTTCCACATTTTCAGAACTTCTTTTCACCTCATGATGAACATGTATCCTCTCATAAATAAATCAGTATTCATGTGCACATTTTAACTGGTGACGTCATCAAACTGTTAATAACGTGTTCGTGTACAAAAGATGATTTTTTTTATCAAGTAAAACGAATGATTAAACTCGATAGACCAAATTTATGTTATAACATAAAAAAAAAAATATGCACAACATATGCAATGTCCTATGAAATAATTTTCTGCCCGGTCACCCAAAGTTTGAAACTCAATAAATGCGAAGCTCTAAATGTTATGGTTTCTTCTTCTTCTTTTTTTCATGAATTTAGGAAAGCCTGAGCGGCCAAATGGACTTCGGCTGGATTACTTATCAACAGATTCAATCGTGTTCCAATGGGAGTCGGGATATGACGGAGGCGAGAAGTTAGAGCGTTATTATGTCAACAAACGCGAGATTCCTGAGGAATTCGATCCACACGCTTGGAGACCGAGCATGATTCCTGATATGTCGGATTATTTCCCTAACCTCAAGGCGGACACACTCTACCAAATAGCAGTGTATGCAACAAACAAACATGGCTCCGGTCCTTATGCGACTCTGACCGTGCGCACTAAACGTGAGTAGCAATAATAGTCACAATGGAAGCTGCATGTAGTTTTTTTATGTTAACCTGGACAACCGCTCGGATGTGGTATTACATCACATGTTGACACTGCTTATCAGAATTTGTGACTGGGTCTTCATATCCCGTTTTTGTATTAGTGATACATCCGTGGACACTCAAATAAATACAAACAGACAAACGAAACAAACAAACAAACACCCCAACAACCCACCCAGCAAACTACAAATCAACAAACAAGCACACACTTCTCATTAAATCTGCGTATGTGTACGTGTTCTACATATAACCCGAGGCCCGACACACAAAGAGAGAACTGTAGTGTAAAAAGTGTTTTTACTAAAGGTCTTAACTTTGGAAATCGGGATCAACGCACAAGATAAATGTTCACGATGGGAGCAGTGGTAACCAAACCTGCATTATGTAAATCCATGCAATCGGAAACATCGAAGACGGAAATGTAATTCGCACGTAAATTGCAACAGATGAAGGTTATCTTACTTGTGCACATTCTTCCAAACTAGAATTCTTGGTATCCTCTATAAATTTGCACGCGCACAGCGAATCGTGTATTGGGAAGTAAAATTAGTGTTTGATACATGATGTGCACACATACATGTTTGAACAGTGCATCCTAAGGGCAGATTGTTCAAGCCCCTCCCCCTCCCAACAACCACCCTGTCGCTTTTTGACTTTCCCAAGGTGCTAGTTGGCAGCTATAACCGAGTTATTTTTTGTCGATCAACTTTGGGCTTAATTACAATTCCTTTCTAACAGTTTTTCACTTCTGTTTTCCTTCCATTTTTGTTACTTTGCAGCTACATCCCCATATTATATGGGTAAGTGTACTGATTACGATGCTTTGCCTGTTTGGATGTTAAGTATGTAGGCTTATATTACAATTGGAGGTGGAATGCTTTTAAAACCACAAAGTTGAAAGGTTTCTAAAGGTTTTCCCGCTCAAATTAGCTAGAAATTCATTCACGTTTGTTTTAGAACAAAATATGAAAGCGATTTTTATCAAACTTCTTGTTCGGTTCTTATTCATGTTCATTACGTTCAATTTCGTCTATAGACATTCAAATTTGTTTCCAAATCAAAAATTGCTTCATTCAATATAAGATAACAATTAGCCGTCATTCAATTTGGCACACCTTAATTGAATGAGGTCTGTGCATTCGATTCTTATCTATTTAACATCCGTTAATGTGCAATCACTGAATTATATCACTCAAAATGAATACTTGCACATCAATAGGACGACAAAAGACTTGAAACGTTACGATGAAAGCATTTTTGAATTACCTTCTAAGTAAGATGTATTTTTACAAACAGCTGTTAATTTGCACAGAGCAAGGCATAAGTTATTGGACAATGCAGAATTGTCCGACTCTGTAACTGCAAACTGGTTGATAATGTATTTAAAAGAAAAAGAGTAGCTTCAAAAACGATTATCTCGTGATTCCCCTTTTTTTGCCAGATATGTATGATTTTGCCACTTCATGAGAACATCCGAGAAATGATCAATTTAATTTAAGAAATGTTTAAGGTTGACCCACCCAAAAAGCACGGGACTCTCGTTTTAAAGATGAAATTGCAGAGGTCAGTTAAATATTCCACATAGGAACTTGATTAACAATATTTGCTAACTTTCCCAGGTATAGAGGTGATATACATCCAGCCACAAGGCAAGTTTGTCATCACCGGTATACCGGAAGACGACGACGCCGGAACCTGCCTACGACTTGAGGTATATGACGAAGCTCAAGGGGAATGGGTGAGTCTGAGGCCAGACCTGGACTGCATTCAGCATGACGTGGACTTCCTGTACTCCGACCCGTTTCCCACAGTCCACTTCCACTGTCTATACTGTCGGGACGAGGTGTGCGGTTACTCGTCTCATGTTACGATTGGTAAGTTATGATGTGCGTCTGTGTACACATGTCTATTGGGAACACCATAAAACTTCTTTTCTAATTTCGGACATATGCCTAGTGCAGTATCCCGTCTGAAGTATCGATTCGTAAGTTAGGTCGCGTGTTATGTTCGGGTGCACATGTTTTATTTACTGTGTAAATCGAAGACACACTCGAGGTCGGCCTACTTCTTTTCTGATTGGGGACACATACCCAAGTGAGGCCTTGGACAATCCTTAAGTGGCAACATGTGCAAAACCAATGCTGTCAAAAAAGTAGAAACAAAAGAAACAGCGCGATGTCTTCGATTTACACCATAGACAAACATTTGTATTGGCGATCAAGAAATCCGTACATCTGCTTTCTTTTCAATTCGAAACTGGGAAAGGAATAAGTTGGATGTGGCATTAACACCGGTATCTCAAAAATCATTAATTTTCCATTCAAAATCCCTTAATTTTATAATAACGCTTGGCCAAAAGCAGGTTCACTATAGTCAGATTTATGAAGCTCATCGTCTCCACCTCGATTACCAAATATCTCTGTACAGTTACTATTACGACTCCTCGGCCTACCATACCAATTGCAACAGGCGATGCGAAGAATGATAATGTAGTGATCGTAGCTGTGGGCGTGTCTGTTGGCTTCATTCTCCTGATAATTGCGATCTTTGCAATGTGCTACTGCAAGTGCTTCAACTGTGCCAAGACCAGCCATCATGGTAAGCAAAATTAAAGCGAACAAATCCACTTGGTATTCTTGAAATATTGAACTCGGAATATATTGCAGTATATTCCGAGTTCAATATTTCAACAGTGGTCAATATATTGACCAGCGTTGAACATCGAGCACACGGCAGAAAAGGAAAAATCGACGAGTCAGCCATCATCAAACACTCACACGTACATTATCATCGCATCCACTGGGACCAAGCCCACACCATCGCCCTGGTCACCCACTGGCACCAAAGACGCATCAGAGAAGCCATCGAGATCCACTGCAACAACACAGTCACTCGAAACATCGGATTCTACATCAACGACATCTGGGCGCAGCATCCTGCATCCAACACACCCCAGCGCACAAACATCCAGCAGTCACACCCCACTGAACACACCTAGCCCTAAATCTCCAGCATCATCCACAGCCCATCACTCACCCTCCAGAGGACGGGCAGAGCACACTGTCCGAAACGTCGAGTTCTACACTCAACCAATCGTTTTTTTATAGATATTGCTTTCCACATGCTTTTTCCCGCAATCCATCTGCTTTATTTCATGCTGGTGATTATATATTCCGTTAAATCAGTATGCAGGAAAATGTGACTTGCAAGTAAATATCGCTTTTTTATTCAAAACATGAATAAACATTCAAGGCTGTAAATGTCATGTTATTCAGCATTTTGCTGCAACATGATTTTGATGAAATAAACCAATAAATATTGGATATCGCAAGTTTTCAATGAATTTCTCAAATGTAAATGGTGCAGAAAAACAACCGGAACACAACTTCCAAAAGCAAATAAAATATAAAAGGAATTTTTTTTTTCTCGATAACCCAAGGTAATCAAATTTATTTTAAATCACACATAAAAAATATCTCAATATGTAATGTACATCATCCCGACGCGTCCATCTTTTGAAAGTTTGGTGGCGGTACCCGCTGCTATATCAGATTCATACCAGCTAGCCGACCCCAGCAAGCTGGGTGGTCGAGTGGTCAGACGTCTGCCTTTAGTTAGCAGGAGCTCATGGGTTGCATCCCAACCCGAGTAAGATGTGGTTTTTTTTCACAACTTCTCCAGACAACACTGAGTATACACTGTTTGTAAACACACGTCGGTGAGTGGTAAAACTCAAAAAAGTATTTGTTTTCACCCAAACGCATATTCCATCTTTTGGACATATCTCTCTCTGATGTAAATTGTACTTTTATCATGTATTTATCACAGATGAGTTCATGAGAAATGGACCGCAAACAAATCCGTAAGTAATGACATGCTGTTTTTTTTTCACAAAAACGCAATGGCAAGAGTCTTAATACAGAAACACTGTCCATCATGCGAATTGATATAAACTTGACGTGCAAATACTGTGTGGCTAGGAAAATGTGACCTAGCGAACTATGCAGGCTTTTACCAGACGTAAAAAATTAAGATGTTGCTTGTGACATAAATTGCTGACTGGTCCAATGAGTTTTAGCCTTGTCAATGAAGTGCACGCTTGCTAACTTTCCCCTGATATATTATTCAGTTTTTGCTGGTTTGCTTTTTTGAAATTTTAAGAAAAGAATGTCCTCAAATGTATCTGTCATTTCGCCTCCATATCAGAAGGTATTATGTCTGGTCATCATTCATACCCCCCCCCCCCTATAGATAGCAAACTTGTGGTGTAGATGGTTAAAGGGTAATCTGTGCTATTGACTCAGTACACCGACTTGGACTTGAGTCCGACTTGATGGACATTTGTATTTCTCTCCTTTTTTCGAGTTGAATATTGGAAATAAAATACACGATTATAATTGCATACTGCATGGCAGACTCGTGGATATCACGCTTGCTATGTATGCTGAGCGCTAGCTGGTCTATAGGGCGGTTCCTCTATTACACCTGTTTCCAACACTAACTGGGTGGCGGTTGACAGCAAAACAGGTACAGCTCCTAAATATTTATATTTTCTGCTATAACTCTGAGCTGACAGGTTGCCTTTGCAGGAAATTTCACACTGGTAGATAGGCTATCATCTTCGGACCAAAATTTGGGCCACTGGTATTAAATGACCTAAAAGAGAAATGTTCATAGCGATCTTTGTTTCAAAGATAATATGGACGGTCAATTGAATAGTCTGCATTAATTGAGTTCAACTGGTTTCAACCGCAACTGGTACCATTTGACCTGGACATTTATGACTGGCTATGAACTTGCTTGCTTGTTTTGAACCAGTTAAACCAATTAACCAGCTCAAAATGAGTCACCAGTTTCCAGTAGAACTGGATTAAACTGTAGTTGTTTTTCCTGGAAGCCCCTTACTCCTAGCCAAGTGAAAGACTGACCTTCTCATTCAGCTACAATTTGATTGCTTTAGGCGGGTCAGACATATCGTTCATGCTAGATGGACGGTTGACTTGATGAATGCATGGAATAGGCTATTTGCTAGGCTTGGCGTTATTTAGAAAACTGATCGTAGGGTCAAGATATCAAAGCGTTTTGTCGTGCTTTTCTCTTAACTATTCAGGACAGTTGAGGTTTACACCCCTTCGTACGATGCACCTCCAAGCTACGTGCAAGCAGTTGGTAAGAACGCCCTGTTGGCCAACAAAGCCGACACACTATCCTTGAAATATTCAATCGGTGATTCCAGTTTAGTAACCCAGTGTCCCCGTGAATTGGCAGTGACATCAACTTAAGTAAGATTTGAAATTTTGCGTGGTGGCGGCGTGATCTGATGTACAAGCATTACATTCACCATGTATTATCTGTGGCAAAATGAAGAGAAACACTTTAGGAAATCATAGAAAAAAATGGGTTGAAAGAGTTTTCACCGTTTGATTAGCTGGATGAGTTTATTCACTGATATGTCTTAATAACTACAACATGAAAACACAATAACTACAACATGAAAACAAAGGAATGTCCACACCTGGTATGTACAACAAACATACATGAAGGTTTCGCGGTAAAACCCAGGAACCTCTTTTGAGAAGATGTATCGTTCTGAAAAAAAACCCACTGGTTCTTTTCAGAACGACACATCTTCTCAAAAGAGATTCTTCCACTAGTGTTATACCACAAACCCTCACTAGACATAAACTTTGCTTAGCATTACCAATGATTTTCAGATCAATTTCCTTAGGATCAGCTGGGTGCATGCAGCTGATAATCAGAAATTGAGTGATCTTGACTAAATGTCGGCTCAGAATTGGTTCAAGAACTCAGTGTCCTCAGAAAATTTTCATGGAAAAGATTATCAAAAGCAGTTATCCAGTGGCGATTTGCTTTCCTCTGTAAAATTGGGCTCAAAATCTTTGCCCGAATACTGTGTTAATGATATATTGATCAACAATATAAAACATGAACAAAACTCAGCGATGCCTAAATGTAAACATTCCCTACCAGTTAAGCTATTATGATGGCGCCAAAATATTGATATAAACCACGCAATCAAATTGGATTCAGCCAAACAACATTAGACATGATTGTGCACAGCCATGCATAAAACTGATCTAGATCACCTACATATTTGTTTTAATGTAGAAATGGATGTCAATGCTGGCAAAAATGACGATGAACCCCCACCGGCGTACGATTGTGTGTCATCTCACACATCCCAGCAGGCTATCAATGAAAACGAAGAACAAGTCTAGATGCCTATTGGACCGTGCATGCATCCACCAAGGCAGGCACATGATGACGTAATGCAGGCATGAGTCTCACTATCATCAGAACTATAAATGTCGTTGTAATTGTGTCCTTTATTTCCACTAGAATTATATTTCTCCGGGATATTTTAAAAATAATGTTCAATAATTATAATTCCTGAGTGCATAACTATCTCAAAACATTACTATAGGAAACTTTTTTTCAAACCATTGTATTTGTTCAAAAAATTTCAAAAAATCCAAGGTTTCTTAAAACCGCGTTCTGTGGCTCCAGTGTCATTTCTGCAAAACGAAAACTATCTCTGAAATTAATTTAATTTTAAATATAATTTGATTCAATTTATCTGTAGATTAAGGAAAGAATTTGGGTGACTTTTTTATTTATATTTGATTTTCAGAAGCTTGACGTTAACAAATTTGTGTCGTGGTTCTCTTCACAAAGCGTTGCATGAAGTGCATTGAAAACTATAAATCGGTGTCAAAAAGCTAGGTAGTTATGCATTGTATAAAAATACATGTTTAATTATTGTTCATCTCATTAATTTTGTATCAAATAACTTACCTGAGTTACATGTAAATCGCGTGTTGACAACAAACAAAATGTATTTTTCGAGCAGCTGAACAAGAATATGAGGACGCCCTTACAGAAATGTCTCTTTTATGAATTGAGGAATATATCGGATCGTTTTTAAATGTCATTAATGTCAGTATCTTTGTTTCCAACTGGGTAATTGTACAGATCTAGACTTTTCTAATTGTTTCTTAATGTTATGTGTGTATAAATAGTTGTTCTAAGTTACAAGATTTTACTTAAAGTCATTTGATTAAGAAAATGCTTAAGAGAGCAGGTTTAAATGCGAAGTGCATGTATATAGATATTTGTTTTCCATTACGCAAGCATATTTTTGGCAACATCTTTAAAAGTAATCAATTATTTATCAAAAGAGATCAAGGGTTATAATCGCATGTTGGCTACAAAGAATTGTATTCGGGCAACTGAACAGTTTTACGAAAACGTCTTGATAGACATTTCCTTTGGGGAACTCGCGTTAATGTAACGGACATTGTTTGGTATTGGAAGATCTGTTGCGATCCGCGAACTGTGTGTGAACCTGCCACTTAGTCAGTGTAATTGGCAATTATCGTGGCCGTTATCGATCGATTGAAAGTTTATTATTTAGCTTGACAAAAGGCAAGAGATGACTTTCTGTGGAGAGGACAGGATCCGACAAGGCTTTGTTTGTTGAAGACTGAGCATGTTAATGGTGTTTTTTGTGATGTACATTATGTATTTGAAAGCGCAATTTTAGGGGTTGTCAGTTTCACGGAGTTAGATCACTTGTTTATCGTGTTGTTTTGTTTGGCTTTTTGGCACCGGCCTATCGGTACAGTCAGACGGGTTTTTTTTAATTCATGAATTCCTTTGATTGTATTTTCACAAAGTGTGTGTTGCATTTCATTAGTTTTTGTTTTGTTAAGTTTCACATATGGTCACCTAGGGGCAAACTTTGAGTAAAGCGACCATAAGTGTTAAGGCGATAATTCGTTTTATTATAATTCAATGTTTCAATTTCATCATTCTTTTGCTTTATACAGTGCCTGATGAAGAACGGCTATGTCCATTTGAAACGTTATATTAAACCTCCTCAGAACAGCAATGACTTTGTTGGGTGTCCTTATCTTATTCAATGTATATATAGATCTACATAATAATTATAACTTTATTAAATGATGGTAGCTATCACCTTGAAAATAATTTTCAATTGGCCATCGAAACAGTATATTATACAAGAAAGAACATGCATTTTTGTAATCCTTAAAACAACCGGTAGTTTTTAACGCAATCTCCTTTTTTGATCTGCTTGTTTTCTTATGTTTTAGCTTGGGATCATTGTTCGTGGTATTTTGCATCCGTTAATTTATGTGTATTTTAAGCTGTTATAATTTTATGTGAAATTGGTGTATTATGTAATCAGCCTAACGGTTGCCAAGAAATATATTATCCTATCCTATCGTATTGAAAAAGAATCTTATGATGACAAGAATTAAAAGTCGCATTTTAATTCATTAAAATCCAGATGAAACTTTAAAAAACAATATAAATATAACATATCAGTGAATAAAGCTATATTTCAATTCCATTTGGCCAAGTGTACACTTGTAGTACTTAATTGTCAGTATTAGTACAAGAAGGTATTTCAAAGTCGTCTTCCGGATGTTGTCTTTGGAGATAATATCACAGGATGACGGCATCGTGAATGGACGATGCCGTCTTCGTGAGCTAAAATCTGAGGTACACTGTTATGATGTTTATTGTGTGTCGATTATATGCGTTGTTCTAGATTCAATATTAAATAGTTCATTCAAATTTCTCTACGAGAGTGGCTGTGATTAGAGTTTTCACTATGTTAAATATTCAACGTTTATCGGACCTCAATAATTCCTTATAATGCAAGTACTATTCTTAAAATAAGGTTGTATTACCATAGGCATGGCCAGCGGGGGTGGGGGTGGTTAAGTGGGAATCCCCCAATATTTTGTAAAGACTGCCCTTTTCCATTCAAATGCCCTTTTTTGCAAGCGCTACCCCCCCTTCTTTTAACAAGTGCTTTTTTTCTGAACGAGTGCCTTTTTTTAGTGTCTTTTTTTGTGCCAACAGCCGTTCTGCGTGCCTTTTTTGCGCATATTGTCGACCCGAAAAGCGCCATATATTGTCCGTTAGCGTTCATAATAGTCGTTTTGAACAGTGCCCCCATCGACAGATGGTCCCCCCCCCCCCCCACACACACACGCACACTATTTGATTTTACGGAGGCCAAGTGTCTGGAGAAAAAAAAACGTGTCTACATTTCAGCACGGATATGCGAGTGCCCTTTTCAAGAAATCTCCCCCCCCCTAAAAAATGGCTTTCCTACGCCCCTGATTATTTTATCTATATGTTAATGCACTGTACAGGCGTAGGCGTATCCTATATACATGTACTTGAGTATGTATAGTGACTGATCTTGTCCTAAAAATCTCTGTCAGGACAGGCAATAGATAATGGGTCTATTAATACCTTCTTTACTCATTCCGCGTGGTACCCAGTACCAGTTGAAAACAAATCAACATTTAACCTACTCTCTTAAGGCTAAGTTCGAGCAGCGACTATTTGTCAACCACTGGTCGGTGTTGCCTGGTACCAAGGATATATTTTGTTTACAGGCTACCAGGCAAAATTGACCAATGGTTGACAAATAGTCGCTGCTCGAACTTGGCCTTATAATTAGATAGCCTTTCCAGCGCCATTGGTTAATATTCAATCAAAACCAAAAGGGTCATCGATAATGAGTCCAAATTCCACAATATATGGAAGAAATACTGTAGTACTAAATATCTATCTCTAACGTCGCTCAAAACAGTACTGAGAAGATGGCGCATATCATGAAATACGCTGTTGTGGTGCTGGCGTTAGTTCAGATCTCTACACAATGTGAGTTCAGTCTGAATTTTCTTTAGTATAGACTAAATTCATTATTTTATCGAGAACGGATGTCTAACTCATACACCTACTAATCAAAAGCCCTAATGCTTTTTCATTAAATCAGTATACCCAAACCTGAATGCATATGCGAGATCAAAGACGTAAACAAAATCATCAGAATAATGTGTGACAAGAGACGGACAGGCAATTCCATGTATTCATTGATGACACCAAGGTCAAGGGGAAGGTCATATTCTGTCAGTAGGTTTTTACCACCAGTTATTTCTATGCCCTCATTTGGAAGTTTGTTTTATTTATCAGAGTGGTTTTGAAGTGTCTTATTTCGAAAAAATATTTGACATTTTTTTTTTTTTTTTATTGTTAAGCAGATATTGGTTGTGCATGGCAAACAGACATTATTTTGAGGCCGCTGCAATGACGCCATTTTGGGGCTTACAATCAGGCGTAACTCATAGGTTATTGACGATAGTTAACAGCACGAAAATTACATATGACAATCAATAAGTGTTGAACTGATGAAATAAAAGGATTTTTTTCTTCAGTATTTGAGTTACACCCACATAATGGCGTGGTTATACAGTGACCCAATTCGCTGCAAAATGGCACTCTGGTTTTATAATTATTATCATAAACTCTACAACGCGTCACAATAAACTTTGTGCAGGAAGAAGTCGCTGATTTGCTCAAAAGGCATGGTCATGCTAGCTAATCAAGTTTATATTATTTTATAGCCTATGGTCTTGTTTGCAATCAAGAAAATTCATCAATGCAAACCAGAGATATCGTTGATTTTGTAAGGCTATATTATTTTCCTCCTGCATAATATGCATGTTAACAAAGAACGTCAAAAGGGTCTTCACAACATTGATGCTCCAGTAATTTTCAATAACAGGATTTACCACGTATAAATACAAGCAAATATTTAGTGTGAAAATTACATTGTGCAGGTTGAAAAATACAAAGCCTTACCAAATCAAAGACCTCTCTGGTTTGCATGGTTGAATTTTTTTTTATTTTACCAATTATAAACAAGACCATATGCTTGAAAATGCTATAAAATTTTAATAGTTAGTCTAACCAACTTTTGGGAACATCAGCGATTTCCTCGTGCACAACGTTTATTGGGACATGCTGTATCTTGTTTCAATACATGGTATAACACTTTAACAGTTTTGTGCGCTGAAACCTTGCGTTTTATTATTCTCAGTACAACAAAATGTGCTCTCTGATTTACAGTGAATGTCTGTATACCAATTATTAACATGTCTTCTTTATTTTTATACAAAATGAGGGGAAGTGGACTTTTTTTCAAATATGGAATAAAATCTCAAAAACCCAGTATCAAACTAGTGACATCCATGTTAAATTTACAAATGCAATTAAACATCGAACATAAGCCCTAAAAATATAAAACTGGCAACAGCCATATTCGCTGTACAGACAGGGCTATTGAATATCAAATATCGAACTAAGCTATAATAGGCTCCGTTATCGTTATAGTGATTTATCTTTTTTATTGTTTCTGCACAGATTGGGCACTTTCCGTGACCAGCTCCCCAGGGGGTACTATTATTGAGGGCAGCAACGTCACGTTGACCTGCACCATCAACAGCGACAACCCTGACCTCTCTGTATGGATTGAGTGGGAGCACAATCTTTATGGGATAAGTACTCTAACCGAACCGACATACGTAGAAGGCAGCCACAATTTGACCCTAACAAGGGTGTCTGGGAACCAGGCCGGCTATTACGCATGTGTTGGGAGCATCTCTTGGACATCAAACTATTGGCAACCCACAACATTTTCGGATTGGATGCCTTTACCACTCCTTTGTGAGTACATTTGTATAACCCCCAACTTACATTCGTGTACATACCGATTTTTTTTTTTGATTTTTTTTTTTACTATACTGCAAAGGACCCTCATGGGCTTACATTGTTTTTGTATTTCCATATGGTTTGTATACGAAATCATTCCGAGGACGTGGCCTCAGGCCCTCGGGGTATATTGTTATCGCAGGTTCGAAGTCCTCAGACGCAAAACAAAGGCATGATACAATGCACGGTGCTTTGTTAAGGAAAACGCTCTAATAAACTAATTAAATGAATGGATTCTAAAAGTATTCACTTTATTTAGCTGATTTTTTGAGTGAATAGTTCTCATAAATTTTGATGACTATCATCTTTGATATAAACATAGGGCCCTCGTGGTTTGACAAACTATATGAATTTGGGGGCCGCCCGATAGTCCGAAGGTCCTATAGTCCGAAGGTTCTTTAGTCCGAATCAACAGTAAGGTCCGATAACCGAAGTGTACCGTATTGCCCATTCGGACTATCGAACCTTATTGTCAATTCGGACTATCGAACCTTATTGTCAATTCGGACTATCGAACCTTATTGTCAATTCGGACTATCAAACCCTACCGGGACTAATGAGTCCCTACGGACTAAAGAACCTTCGGACAATCGAACCTTCGGACTATCGGGCTGTACCTATGTGCTTTTGGCAGCTTGGGACATCAATTCGAGGATAAGGAAATTCATTATATGCCAAAGCTTAAGAAAGATAAGACAACGGATTTTACTGTTAAGTAATAGTTCCAGACTCAACGAGGTGCCGTTTATGGTGTTCTTAGAAAATAATGTAAGCACGGTGTAAGGCCAAAAACTAAGTCTCCGGTTCCTGGTATGGAGCTTGCCCAAAAAGTGGTGCGGCGACGCGGCTTTTTTTTTTACCTGATTTTTTTTGCCTCAAATGTCGACTGATGACTGCAAATGGTGCCCAACTAAACTTTAGTGCAAATATATGTGAGTCGCGGAGAGCCCACATGAAGCTTATTTTCGATCATAAACCCATCTAAAAACACGTTAAAATTGTGCAGCAGCAGGATTCCAGTCAAACCAGTGAGTTTGGCGGTTTTGAGTCATCATTTTTCATTACAAAAAACTTTTTCGTTTTGCCGACACGCAAGGCCACGGCGACGCGCGCGCATACCAGAAACCGGAGACTTTTTTTTGGCCTGAAAAATACACGCATTTTTTAAACAATATATTCCTTTTCAGTATTATATCGTCCGCTAAAGCCCTCTTACTTGTTTTTGAAGTTTTATGTCACATCTTTATCTTTTACTGTTTTAAGTCTGATAACTTGTAAGTCTGACTTGTAACTTTTTGTACTTTTCATGGAAATTTCGTGTTTCTTAGGTAGGAATTTAAGATTCTTTTGTAAATTACCTCACCCTTTTATAGATTTAAAAAAAATTACATTACATTTACATTTTGTGTAAAGCGCTATATAAGTGTCATTATTCCTACAATTGTACTATTAGGGAGACACGTTAGCGTAGAAAATTCGGTAGTAGGGAGACACGGGCTTAATAGGGAGACACCTAGGTGTCTCCCTATTGGCGCAGCCCCCCTTTAGAGACAAAAGTTTGGTGTCGCAATTGGGTTATATTTGTTGCTCGTGGTCTAATTAGTAAAAATACCGAAATTCGTGGGAAAAGGATCAGGGAATATTGGGTTAGGGCACATTTAAGTCGGAACATTTTTGTGCACAAGTCTATGGGAAAGTCTCCCTATTACCCCCATTGCCGGTAATTATTATTATTATATCACTATTATTATTATTATCATTAATATGCAAACAGCAA